TAAACCATGCACTCTGCTATTGAGCTAGAGTCCCCGATGTGGGGATGTGGAGTCCCAGGGCACCAAGTTCTGCAGGAAAAATGTGGAGATTATTGGAATAAATTGGGTGGCATGGCAGAAATTAGAGACATCCACTCCTCATAGGATTGTCAACTTTTTTCCCCCAGGAGAGCACCTGTGACAAAACTCAGCCAGGGGAGCATTTCCCATCACCTAACCTGCATACTGGAAAAGGCTTCACTCCTTAATTTTCATGTCAGTCTGGTAACTTAAGTATAAAGAAACCTGACTACAGAAACAGTTGGCAATCCTGGCTTCTCTGGGAAGGGAGATCAACCAAAGAAAAATGTGGAGTACTTTTAAAAAAAAAAGTTGCAAGGCTAGTGATAAAGTTAGAAATACCGAATACTTTCCCCCATACCCACCATTAACAGCTACAGAAATACTAAGCTTTCAGCCATGCCGATGCAGCAATGGGGAAGGGGAATGGGCCACCCACTGAATTGTTGCTCATCGCAACAGATCTTGAAAAGAAGTAGCATTTATAATTGACAGGTAACTATGTTGGTCAATCTAGAAAGTAAAATATAATCAAAAATAACCATAGACCTAACCAGTTAGTTTTCAGATTATTTTCAGATGTTAAGAAATGGGGAAGGAAGAAGAAGAGCGTATGACAAAGCCCCCAATCTGCCATTTGTACCTGTCCCGACATGGAGCACAAGGGATGTTGTGCGGACTCACACCTTGATTCTGTGCAGACTCAGGTCCTAATGATTCTGGGGATTTTATTTCAGGTCAGCATGCTTAGAATTGCACCCTTGCTTAGCACAGACAGTGCTAGAAGTGGGTGTGTTTGGTTTTTTAGCTCTTAAGTTGTCCCTATAAAGACACAATAGTTACAGCTCCATTAAAATTCTAAACTATAGCAGTACCTTGAATCTCCCTCTATCATTGATTGGAACTGACAGGTAACTCTTATAAGGCAAAAAGAGGTGAAGAAAAACCAAGCAAAGTCTTCATTAGTTTTTAAATGTCTATAGCAACTTCTTATTTTACTTTTTTAAAAAGGTTAGAATCAGTGCAGCGAAGGGCCACTAGAATGGTGGCTGGTTTGCAAGGTAAGCCGTATGAGGAATGAGGGAGCTGGGTCATTTCAGCCTTGAGAGGAGGAGACTCAGAGGGGACCTTTTAGCGACATACAGGTATGTAAGGGGGTGCCACGCAGAGGTGGGTCATGACCTTTTCCCCCCTGCAGTGGAGGGCAGGACATGTTCCAATGGAGCAAAGCTCAGGGAACCAAGATTTAGAGTGGATGCCAGGAAGTACTTCCTGATGGTTAGGACCCCAAGGGTATGGAATGGGCTTCCACAGGAGGTGGTTGAAGCCCCAACAGTGAGGGTGTTTAAGAATAGGCTGGACATGCACAGAGTAGGCATGTCATGAGTGGAGCGGGCTGGAGCCGGGGATCAGACTTGATGGCTCAGGAGGCCCCTTCTGACTCGCTCTGTTTCTATGTTTCTAATTGGGCAGTTTGATCTAGTGCTGGGAGGGTACATTTATTCCTCTATAGCAAATCTCCCACATCACTAAGTATGTAGACCTATGCATGGATGGACAGATACAAGTTTCTGTCTGAACTTGCAAAAGGGTGCACCCTAAGTGGTAGGTAGTTATCTTCCTCGGTTCAAGGTTCCCCTCCTCAGTGCCCAAATTGAGAAGTAAATGATGGTGGGATAATTAATTCAAGCTTAGTTATAACGCCCTGAAAACATATGCATATCTTCTTCCCACCCAACTTTGCGTGCTTGTCTTCTTGGATGGCTCAACTGGGTGTTGTCCTAAGCACATAAAACTGCAGATAGTTGTGTTGGTCCACTGTGTTGGTCCCATGGGGGAGGGAGGGTTGAGGAATCCTAAAAACCATAGCAGAATACAGTGGTACCTCAGCTCACGAACTTAATCTGCTCCACAACTCTGGTTGCGACCCAAATTGGTCACAAGCCAAGTCGAATTCCCCCATAAGGTTCAATATAAATAAGATTAATCCGTTCTGTAAATACTTTTTTGAATCACAAAAATTTGAACCAAAGTAACAAAGAACAAAGTAACAAAGTGCCATACAGTAGAGAACACTAACCTAGGTGTGTGGGGAGGTTATTGTTTGGAGGGAGAGTTCCCCTCCATAAGGACCTCGGGGAGATCTCCTTAAGCGGTTTCTTCTCTTCTTTGTCTCTTAGCTGCGGGGTCAATTTTGGTGAAAAATCTGCACGTTCTTTTTACCACCGTGCTTGCTCTACATGTTCTTTGGAGCCATTATTCAATAAGCTTCACAGCAAGTGACCACAGGTCCGTCTGCAACCGCGAGTGGGCAAGATGGCCGTGCTCGTGCTCGGGGAGAGAGGGGGAGACGGCCATGATCGCTATCGTGCTCATGTGGGGAAGATGGCCATGAAGACGGCTGTGATTGTGATCATGCTCATGCAGGAACATGGCCGCGATCGTGGTCGTCACCCGATGTGGAGCTCACGACCTGAGGCAAAATTTTTCCGAAATTTCTGTTCGCGACCCGATTTGATCGTGAACTGAAGCATTTGTGAGCCAAGGTACCACTGTACCTCTATTAAATCCAACTAAAAAGTGACAGAGTGGTGAGTGCTTGTTAGTGAGCAAAGTAATTGCAAGTTTAAAATCCATTTTTATGAAAGAAGAGCTAGTTAGGCCAAACTAGATCATAGCCCACTATGAACTAGGTAGGTTTCAGCCCCAGGGTCGCTTTTCAACGCCACAGCTCAAGTCAGGAACATGTGCAAAGCACCTGATAACCAGGCTCTGCCCCTGAGGCTGAGAGCTTCTGGATCAGCTTTCCAGGCAGAGCTGACCTCCTGCTTCTCTCTTTCCAGAAAAAAATTAACAACCAAAAACACACTGCAAAGCCCTAGCTCCTCTGCAAGTGGATAAACAAGAATAAAGCTCTGCAGATTTTGAGCTGTTGATAGAAAGCGGGCTTGCCCACCCACGCAGCAAAGTAACTTTCATGGCATGAGAACCTGGATGGAAGCAGAGAAGCTTGCAGGACTAGGACTCCTCTAAGATAAGATGAGGAAGATGCTCCTTGGAAGGTGTGAGCTGCAGCCAGTTAAGATTACTCTTTGTTTTTAGACCCTTAGGGCATGTATTTGGAAAGAAAAGAAAATGCTTAACTTTCAGTTTGAAGCAATGGCAGCCCAGTGGGCGAGGAGTGGAAAACAATAAACCAGGAACAGCAGCAGTCTCTCCTCCTTTCCCTTCTCCATCAGCAGAAGCTGGAAAAGGAAGGGCAGGAGGGGCACCGTAACTGCAAAGCCCCAAGGTCCCTCCCCACAGCAGTGCCTCCACTCAGCTTTGCTATTTCTGGGAACTTGCACGAAGTGTGCTAGCAAGAGGAGGCATCACCACTCGGGGCCCCAGAGCAGGGGTGCATCAGGCCCCCAGTGCGGGCTCTGGAGAGGAAGCCCCAGAAGATATCTCTGGTCAGGCTTCTTGGGGCTTCTGCCCAGAGACCCAGCCCTCCCTGCTTTGCCACTCAAAGAAAGGGAGCAAGTGAAAGGAAGCAGCCAGGCCCCCCCACAGTCGATCCACCTTGCTCTCCCGAGAGCTGCTGCCGCCCCACTTGTGCAGTTGCCTCCATCCGGAGCGACCCTCTCTCCACTCACGCGTTTGCCCTCTTTGGCAATGCAGCAGGTGTCATGAGCCGGGCTTCCTTCTTCGCATATTCAGGAGCCACAGACTGTTTTCCTTGCAAAGCGTTCTTTATTGCCTCCAAAGCACAAGGCACTCGCAATGAACCTCTGAGCATGCACAGAGTGTTTTGTTGAACCCAATCTGGTATTCACTTGCAGGAGCTCTCCTTATGAGCATGCCTGGGTCCCATCCCTTTGGGGCCTTCTGAAAAGGAGCATGCCTCCCCAGAGGTGAGCACCCCCACCCTCCTCTGTGGATGCGGCATCGTGGAGTCAAGAGCCGGGCAGCCCCGTCTGTATCTGAGAAACTCCCCTGTTCCAAGTCCCCTCCTGCCAGCTGTACATCTTGGCTATTCCCTAACCTAACCCAGTCCACCTGGAGAGTCTGATCTCAAGAGAAGGGTCGCCGCTTCTCTCATCTTACAGTCTTGAGATGGCCCACATCCCATTGCTTCCTCTGATTCTGATTCTTCCAGAGATCAGCCAGCAGTCCTGGAGAATGTGTGCCCAAAGCAGCCATCTTTCTCCCTCCCAACAGCAGGAGTGAGAAACTAAAACTAAGAGGGTGCACTAGGGCCAAGAGAGGCTCCAAGGAGTGGCGAGCTCTCCCTGGCTCTTTTCTAGCTTCTGCTGCACGTGCCACGGACGGCTGCAGCCTCTCCTTACCCATGTGCTGCTTCTCCAAAATAAAAGCAGAAGAATCGAGCACGCTTTTTCAAGTACGCGTTTAACATCACGAGCAGGCGAGCAGGATGTGTCGCCTACATGGTCCCGACGGCGAGCTCCAGGGGCAGTGCTAAGCACCCAAAAGATCCAGTGCAAAAAAGTGTGCAAATGCACATGAGTGAATTTACCTGTGCTGTGTGTGTATGTTTAAAGGAACCTGACTCTCTCTCTCGGTAAGAAGAGATGCATGGATAGGAGAGGAGATTTCAGAAAAATACTGGAAGTGGCGGATTCTATGGGGATAGCAAGAGCTGATGCAAATGTGGGCAGAAAGCAAGCTAATCCAGGGGGATCAGTTGCAACAGCAGGTGTCCTTGGGTAGCAGGGGGATTCGTTGGACAGCCTCCCAGAGATCCAGTGCTCCAAATGAAAGGTTTGGGGCTCCAGCCCTGGTGGGTCACTCATTCAGGCCACTGCTCTTGGGCTCCCCAAATCCTCACTTTAGCTTCACATCAACCATTTGACAAGACAAAGAAGTGAAATCAGAAGATGTGGCCTCAGGGATTGCTACTCCACACAAGTCCTTACAGTCTCTTTACTTTCCTTTTCCAGTTTGCCTGGAAGCTACAACCCTCACCTGCGCCGCTGCGTCACCTGCTGACACCTCCTCGCACCCGCTTTTCCTGCACAACACACAGGCTGGGCCACCAATCCCCCAAGCCCGGCCTAGCCTTGGCCGGGACAAAGGCCAATCCCTCAGAGATGGGGGTGGCCAAGACCATCCGGCGTTTCAGCGGGAGTGGCGGGGTGGGAGAGCTCCGGGAAGAGGTGTCCGTGGAGTCCCCCACCAGCCTCCACAATGGCAAGTCCACCCGCGTCCGGCAACGCAGCCGCTTCGTGAAGAAAGACGGTCACTGCAACGTGCAGTTCGTCAATATGAGCGAGAAGGGCCAGCGGTACCTCACTGATCTCTTCACCACTTGTGTGGACATCCGCTGGCGCTGGATGTTTGTTATCTTCTGTCTCTCTTTCGTCCTCTCCTGGCTCCTCTTTGGCTTCACCTTCTGGCTCATTGCTGCACTGCACGGGGACCTTGCGCCCAACCAGCCCCCAGACTCCAAGTCCTGCTTCTCCGAGGTCACCAGCTTCATGGCCGCCTTCCTCTTCTCACTGGAGACCCAGACATCCATTGGGTATGGCTTCCGCAGCGTAACAGAGGAGTGCCCATCTGCTGTTCTGGCTGTGGTTTTGCAATGCATTCTGGGATGCATCATTGACGCCTTCATCATTGGAGCAATCATGGCCAAGATTGCCAAGCCCAAGAAGCGCAACGAGACCCTCGTCTTCAGTGAGACTGCTGTGATTGCCATGCGTGACGGGAAGCTCTGCCTCATGTGGCGTGTGGCCAACCTGCGGAAGAGCCACTTGGTGGAGGCCCACGTCCGGGCACAGCTGCTGCAGGTAAGGGCGATGTAAAGAGCTGGATGACAGCAAAGTGTTTGGAAAACCTTTGAAATGTGTGTGTGTGGGGGGTTGGAATTCCTAAATCAGTGGTTTCATTTGTTTGTTTATTATATTTATGTCCTGCCTTTTTTTTCCTTCCAAGGAACTCAAGGCAGCTTAAATAGTTCTCCTTGTCTCAATCTTACACTCACAACAGCTCTGTGAGGTAGGTTGGGCTGAGAGTCTGTGACTGGCCCAAAGTCACCCAGCTCCAAGGTTGCATGGGGACCAGAACCCTGGTTGCCCGAGTCCCAGTCCTGCGCTCTTCACCACACCGGCTTCATACAGGTAGAGAGATGCAAAGCCAAGGGCGATGGAGGAGGACAGTGGTGGCTGGGCAAAGGTGAATGAAAAGAGACGGGGGATCAAGAAGATGGATGCACAGATGGCTGGAAGGGAAAGAGGAGCAGAGGCGCTAGCATTTATATTAGGAGAAAGGCAGGATGAACGAGTCTGGGACGGAGAGGGAAAACCGGAAGGGGACAAGGGAAGGTAGGCATGAAGGTGGGTGTTCTCAAAGTTACAGCAGACTAGTTCACACATGCAGACCAGCTGCATGTCATACACAGGAGATCATGTGGAGAAACCTCCATGTGAACTGGCCTGGACATTGAGACCATCTGCAGTGCCCAGCAGGTATGTCCCTTTCTCCAGTCGCAACCACGGAAGTAGCATGGCAGAGATACAGCTTGGAATTTAATCCCCCTTCTCCCTTTGTCTTCCCTCCACAGCCCCGTGTGACCCCTGAGGGCGAGTACATCCCCCTGGACCACAATGATGTCAATGTGGGCTTTGACAGTGGCACTGACCGCATCTTTCTGGTGTCGCCAGTGACAATCGTGCATGAGATCGATGCCGAAAGCCCCCTATACGAGTACGGTCCCGAGGAGCTGGCCGAGGCGGACTTTGAGCTGGTGGTCATCCTGGAAGGCATGGTGGAAGCCACCGCCATGACCACACAATGCCGCAGCTCCTACCTGCCCAGTGAGCTGCGGTGGGGGCACCGCTTCGAGCCTGTTCTCTTCGAGCGACGCGGCCACTATGAGGTTGACTACCAGCACTTTCACCGTACCTACGAGGTGCCTGGAACCCCCTCTTGCAGTGCAAAGGAGCTGAGCCACCGCAAGTACAGGGCGCCCCCCGCAGGAGCCACTGCGGCACGTGCCTCCTTCTGCTACGAGAACGAGGTGGCGCTCAGTTGCTGCCGTGAGGAAGAGGAGGAAGAGGAGAGGCAGGGAAGCCGGCGGGTGAGCCTGGAGAATGAAATGGCCACCGCCACGTGACACCGCCCGTGTCCTTGGACTGAGGAGGGCTGTGGGGAGGCGGGGACCATGCCAACACCACAGTTTGCATAGCTGGGCAGCAGAGGTAGCTGGACAACGGATAACACTGTCACACTTCACCCGTCCTGTCCCCACACAAAATAACCAGCAACCAGGCCTCAGCTTTTTGGAAGAAGCTGTGCTGCTTATATCTCTAGCTATTGGGAGAAAGAGAGGGCATTCCCTGCCATTATGGCCAAGATGGTAGCCCTGGTACAAACAAAGGGATTCCCCACGATCATTCCAGACAGGGAAGATGACTGTGGGGTTCTGGATGCTAGTAGGGGGCCCAAACCAAATTTAAACACAACAGGGAAACTTGAGGGAGCAGAATCCTTCCATGGCCCTCGAAGGAAGGGATGCATCTCCTGATGCTTATGGCAGAACTTGTGGTTGCGACCATCGAGGTGGGAGCTGGAAGGCGAGCTTCATGGACATTTGAGGACAATGCTGAATGCTGCTCTGCTGGGAATGCCTGCCCTTGTGTGGACTTGGGCTGTGGATGTCTTATGTATGGGGCTGTGATATGTAGCAGGGAGAGGGGTTCCATGAACTCCGGAGGCCACTGGTCAGTGGAATTCCACAAAACTGGAAAGTATCTGGTCTGTTGAGCTTATGAAAATGCAGGTAGGTGGCTTGTTCTGTAGTTTTAGAGGTGTGTGTTTCTCTTCAGATACAAGGGCTAAAAAGTATGTGCCCGCAGGGCGAGAAACTACACATGATTTGAACACCCCTGAAACTTGTTTGTCAAGCCCTGTTGGGGAATTCCAGCAAAAGCAACTGGACATCGCTGTAGTTTTAAAGTAACTGGCAGGTCTATTGTGGCTGACAATATCTGAAGTAAGGTGATTCTTTCTTTAAAAGGAGTTGCAGAAGTTATATAAAATGTGATCTGCCAAAAAAGACAAGTGTTCGCATTTTTAAAAAAATGAAATTCAACCCTTTCTAGCCCAGAGTGTTTTAAGACCTATAACCGATTCAAAAGGGAAACCAGCAGGACACGATGATCAAAAAGAGATCTGTCTATCTATCTATCTAGTGCTTTTTTTGTAAAAAAAAAAGGTGCCGGAACTCACTTCCCCGCCCTAATCCCAACTAATCCCAAGCCGAGCAGGGAGCAGCAGAGCAGCTATCTCTCACTATCAGATAGCAGATAGGAGACACAATAGCAGCCTGCAGGCACTATGTTAATGATGTTTGCTGCTGATCTGCTACTCTTTGTAAAATCCATTGAAAAAAAGGTGCAGGAACGCTGTTCTGGTGGGTTCTATGACAAAAAAAAGCCCTCTATCTATCTATCTATCTATCTATCTATCTATCTATCTAAAGTACACTCATTACTATGTCTGTGTAGTAAGTATATGGAGACCAGCCAAAGTATATGAATTCATCTCCCCACAAGCCGCGCGCGCACGCACACACACCCCGAATGTGCAGATTTCAGTGTGCTCAAGAAATGAATTAAGGAGAGAAATGTGAAGAACAATAGATTGGGAGCCAGATCTGGGCAGTCAGACCATTGTCTGCTCCAACTTGCAGTGAACTTCCGGGGGGGGGGGTCTTCCCCATCACCTCCTGCTTGATCCTTTGAATTGGAGATGTCAGGGAACCTCTTCATGCGAGGAGGATGCGTTCTTTCTGCTGCTGCACGGTGCTCTCCCTCCCATGAGGAAATGTCTTCCTTCTAGTAGGGGATTCTCATTCATGTCAACAAGGCACAAGGGAACATTCTGAGGAACTGTGGCCCGTGGACTCGATCGGTCAGTCCCCTATTTTGCCTGTTTCAGGAAGCCTGAAATCCACCATGGGCAATATGGGAGAGGAAATAAAGGTAAGTTATCTCGGCAGCAGAGAAAGGATCCCAGCCTAACATCTGCTCCAACCCCCTGGCAGGATGTATCTCAGTGCTGTATGAGAGATCCCAATAAAACAGCTGCTGACCAAGCTGGTCGGGTGACAGCGGCGTAGACTGAAGGTCAGAGCGGTGACAGCTCAGATTGGATTCTCAGCTGGGAGCTTAGATTAATATGACACAGTTCATCCATAATCCTGGCTGCTTTGCGCCAGCAATGCCGGGCAGGGGCGACACGCACAGTGGGGGGGGGGTTCCCACCCTGTTGCAGCTCCCCTCCCTGTGCCTCGAAGTGCTGGCGCCCACTTGTCACCCTGGCACTGCCAAGGCAATGCGATTTCAGGAACTCCTCAGCAACCACTATGAAGCAGGTGACAAGATCAAGTGGAGAAGCATTCTCTCTGGGCCCAAAATAACTCCCCTCAAGGCCCCAATCTCCAGTCCTGAGGAACTTATCAGATGGGAGTGTGAAGGTCATCACAGGTTGGGAACAAGGTCAAACATGAGTTCGTACCTCACAGCAGCCGGCGGGTGACCTGGCCTGTCCTTGGCCCCATTTGGCCAGTTCAGACTTGAGCCATGATCTCATCCCGCTGGTCTGGAGGACATCCGCTGTCATTTCTAGAAATAAGATGATTTTCCCCTACGCTTTCTTCACCTTTGACACTTGAGTCTATCACTAGGCTGGCCAGAGCTGTGAGCTCTGTTAACATATTCCCATTTCTATGCAGCACAAAAACACCTCTCGGGGGGAATATTACCCATGGATCCGATCTGTCTTCTGCTTTGCTGGTCCTCATAATGTCTGAAATCCACTACTGGCTCTACTGGGAAGGGGAGGGAAGGGAAGGGACTAGGGCCATGGGGAAGAGGCACGGGGCCATCTGGGGACCCCCAGAGTAGACTCCTGGGACTGAGGTTCCCCAGTCCTGGAGTAAAAAATCTTGGTCTAATTAATTCCTTCCAGTCAAGTTGATCAGGCAATGTGGGGGTGCAGGGGAGGCAAAGAAGTATCTGTCTTTCCCTTTGGTTCATCTCAGGGGGCAAAATTTCAGGAACCTCTGTAGGACAGCAAGCTATCAGTTACTTATTATGAAAGCCTTTTTACCCCAGGATGAGGGGCTGGATTTATTTGAACTGATATATTTGCAGTTGGATGCATTTATTCACCTCCAGCACTGATATGTCTTGGGCCATTTCCTGTAATATACTCAAAGCTACACACTCATATAAAGAGGACCTTGTAATTTCATTTTACAATTGGAGACCATACAGGAAAGTGACTAAGCAAGATCAGAAGATGAGTGAGGATTTGACTACGGACCTTATTTCTGCTACTGTTCCCTGGCATGGCTCCCATACCTTTAACAACTGCCAGGACATACATTCAGCAGCTAAAGCTTTTCCTGGTATGGAGATAGGTTACTGGCTAGTCTCCTCCACCCCCTCCAGAGGGGTTCCCCAAGACATGTTTTGCTCAAGCCCACCCTTAATCCTGAAGACAGCTTTGTAATGATGTATTTTAGATGTGCATTAACACTTTACAGTAAAGCCAGTGTGACCTGGCCTATGAAAACACTTATAGAGGCAAGGCCAGCTCAGCCATTCAACAGTTGGGACATGCATCCTGGACGGGTGGAGAGGCTGCCTGAGGCTGAACTTTGTAATGAAGGGGTGGAGGAACTTGGTAACTAAAAGGTGGGACCTAGAAGATTGGAGTGGAGCCTAATGGCACCTCATTAGTCAGGTAAAGAGCCTGCACAGAGGGGGAAGGTGGTCAAGCAAGCACCAAAATTTCACAAGTAGCAATGTACAGATGTTATAAACTTTGGCCCAGCTGCTCATCTTCCACTCAACCACAGAAGTAGATTTTGCACAAAAATGTTGGTGAGCAAATTTGCAAATTCCCACAAATGTACACCCCCTCCCCCAATACACATCTCTCTAAAAAATGTGTATTTTCATGCTTTAGCATACAGGAGAAAAATTCATTTTTGGTCAGTGTTATTTTTCTGTTTTTCCTATTTTTCTACAACTACATTTGCACAAAATAGTCTGCAAGCCCATAGAATCCATGCAACTCAGGAAAGGCAGTCCACTGAAGATTGGATTTTTAGAAATTGAAATGCATTTGAGTCCACGGTGGATTTATTTATTTATTTTTCGGTTTATATCCTGCCTTTTTCCTACAAAGGGCTCAAGGCAGCTTACATCCTCCTCCTCCTCCATCTCATCCCCACAACAACAACCCTGTGAGGTGGGTTGGGCTGAGAGTCTGTGACTGGCCCAAAGTCACCCAGTTGGCTCCATGGCTGAGCGGGGACTAGAACCCAGATCGTCTGAGCCCCAGTCCCACGCTCTTAACCACTACACCACACTGGCTCTCCAACATCTCTATGCACAAGCTTGTCTGCTTCCTAGCTTCTGGCTCCACAGACATCCTGGAGAAGCCTGAGACACTAAGACTCCAGCCAGATGGGGCAGAGAACAGTCCCTAGCTCCACCTGCTGCTCCATCAACCTAGTAACTGCAGTGATGCCTAGCCATTTTTCTCCCCCTTTCTCTCAGTTAGCTCCTCAGCTGTTGCAACACATTGGTGTTGTCCTGCTGAAAAGAAAAGGAGTAGCTGAATTACTCTGGTTTTCAGAGAGAGGCCTGACAAGACAGAGAAGAGATTGGGCCCTTATCCACTGCACTCCAACTGCCTACATTTCATCTGAATGCCTCTCGAGGGGGAAGGTTTATGGCAGCCCCTGCTAAGGTGGCCACTGATTCATTGCCAGAAAGGGGGACATGCATCACCAAAAAAGAGGAGTAAGGGGCACCAAATTGTATAATATTTGCACATATATGTGTACAGGAGCAAATTTACAAATTATAACTGTCATTTAAACAGAAATATGATATATCTCATGAGAACTGAGAAAACTCTCCAAATAGAGGGCTACTCTCTGTAAAGCAGACACCTGGCCACCTGAGTGCCTCCTCTGGTTTATTTCTGTCATTCCAGTCCAGACTAAAGGTCAAGTACACTTGTGGAACACTTGTACGCAAGGACGATCAAAGATACGGATGCTCAAGACAAGGAATACAGCAAACTGTACTGTTGCCCCAAAGGAATTAATTTGTGGGGTCAGGGGGCTGCAAATGAGTTTGGGGCAAGGAGGAAAATTAAGACCCGGAGGAATGGCATGAGCACAAACTTGATCCTTCTCTGTCCTGTGTTAGCACTGAATCCATCACTGCTGAACTTGTTTGGCCTGCATCCAACTAATCAGCCTCCTCAAAGAGCAACTTATCAGAGACAGATGGTTCACCAGTGACTCGTCAGCCTGACCTGCCAGCAGCCCATCTGACACTTCTGCCTCAGGCCTTCACCCACTGCTTTCTCCAGTTCCCCCCTCAGATCTGCACTGCGCCCATGAGCGCGACCCACAGCAGCCGGGGTTCACCTGCATTCATTCCCTGCTGTCCACTGGGTACCCACAACAACCAACAGGATAATGATAATAAGAAGGTTTTGGATAAATTGTTTTAGCGTACCCTCTGGTGTCCAAAACTGAGATTGCAAGATCTTCACTTTCCACCGGCATCCCTGTTACTTTTATTACTACCCTGTTTCCCTGAAAATAAGACCTAACTGGAAAATAAGCCCTAGCATGATTTTTCAGGATGTTCGTAATATAAGCCCTACCCCAAAAATAAGCCCCAGTTAAGATCATCAGCCAGACGGATTCATTTAGTACGTCCGTTGCAACACAATTCGGGGTTTGGAGAGTTGTGACTATGTTCCAGAAGCAGATGGCATGATTGTATTTGAATAAATGTAGATTTTTGTACATGGATAAATGAATAAATGTAGATTGGAGTACATGAAAAAATAAGACATCACCTGAAAATAAGCCCTAGGGTGTCTTTTGCAGCAAAAATTAATATAAGACTTTGTCTTGTTTTGGGGGAAACACATTATATTGCATTTTATCCCACCTTTTTTCCTTTGACAAGAAACCCAAGGTGGCTTCCACTGCTTCATTTTATCCTCACAACAGCAACCCTGTGAGTAGGCTGGGCTGAGAGTGAAGGACCTGCCCAAAGCCACCCACTGAGCTTCATGACCAAGCGAGGAGCAGAACCTAGATCCACCAGTCTGCAGGCCAGCATTCAGACCAGCACAGCATCCTGGCTCTCACCATTTTCACTGCCCAATAGGGAGCTTAAATCCACAACTCTAAGATTAAGAGACTTAACTTTTACTGACTGAACTACCTGAGCACTGAGTATGCTGTTTAAGCCCCAAGTTTTTGGCCCATTTGAAAAACTGAGAAACTGCTGTAGATACCACACAATATGACTCCCACAGAGGATGTGGTAGACTTGTGAATCAAAGAACACATAATTAACCCAAGAAAATGAGGATCTCCAAGCAAAGGAAAGATCTGGACTCCAAAGCCAATCCATATATTTGACCCCACAAAAGCACAATTCGGGACATGTTTAAGGTTGCAATTCGATACATTCTTACATGGACCTGAATGGAAATTACTTCTGAATAGGCCTACATAGGATTGCTCTGTACATCCTCTCCATTCAAACACATCTTTTCCCAGCCTCAAAGAACAGGTAAATTGTCCCAGGTCCAGGAACCCCCTTCTCTGACTAGTGCCCTTCTACTCTCCAAGTCCCTATATCTGGGAAATTACTCAGTGTGTGCATGTGTAGAGAAAAAAGGATGGGAAGGGAAAGAAAAGGAGCTGGGCTAAGAGCTGGAAGGCAGAAGAAACAGTAAAACTAAGTGTGAGGGGAGGGGAAGAAGACTAGAAGCTAGGAAGGGGCCTTTGCTTTATTCTACTTATTTATTGTAAGCCGTCCTGAGATGTTCTGTAGGGGACGAAATAGAAAAGCTTTTAATAAATAAATAAAATAAATAGAAAGGAGAGAAACAGCAAGGTGAAATGCAAAGGAAAGACAAGTGAAAAGAAAGCACAGGGCTGCAGTCTAGGTGTGGAGAGAAACAGAGAGATAAAGGGGTAAGTGAGAGAGAAAGAGCAAGCCTAGGAGCTAGAAAGGAAGAGAAAAATGTGGCTAGGGTGGGGAAGGAAGAGGAATGGCAAGCAAAGGGGTTCAGGGCAGTGAAAAGTGTGGTGAGAGGCTAGGAGTGGAGAGGGAGAGTACGACGGGACGAGCTCCTTGTTGGCTGAACAAAATTGGACAGGACTAAGGCTGATCAGTGGCACACGCAGGAATAGGAGAACTTGGTGCCTCAATGTTTTTCAAGAATTTACCCAAAAGAAGCTTTTGCATAAAGAAGAAAGAAATGGAGAGCTTCGTAGGCACCACTGGCGGTCCTCCACTGCCATAGGTCATGGGCACCCTGTATCATTCCCCATTCTGTTCATTTAAAGATCCCTGCCCATCTTAGGCATGATAAATACACTTTACTAGAACAACACAGGCGCTTCTTTCATATCAAACTTGCTTCTTTCTGAGTGGATCACACACCATTCTGGTGGCAATGCTGATGTGATCTATCCCACATCACATGCTCTGGAGCTAAAACTCATGTTTGTGTGAATTAGAGCTTTTAAAAAATCTCAAATACAAAAGCTTCCACTTTCACATATTCTAAAATGGAAAACACAAGCAGAAATTTATACGTGTAAGAGTTTAACTTAAATAGTTTATTATGGATATTTTGTGCACAGAAACCTGCCTTCCAACATTTGGCAGGTGAAAATAGGGGCATTTGTATATGGTTCTAATTCTCTTCTCCCACTAAGAATCATTGCCTGTGATTTTGGCTGTAGACGATGGTGGCTATTTATATAAATACTCTGTGCCCCCATGTTTGTGTACTAACTTAGAATGCAGATGGCGACGCCTCCTCTCATTCCCGTTGTTTTGATTTTGGGACTGTGCAATGGGTGCATGGGTGAGCGGGAAGCCAGAAAAGCAACTCTGGAAATGTTTGCACAAATACACTAAAGATCCTCAAAACCAGGACAGGCACAAGAATTTTTTTTCTGAGCACACACCCCAGTACAAAATGTAACAAGAGAACCCCTGATAGAGGTGTGGATGCACAAGACTGGTCCTGGGGAGTAATTTTTAGTTTCAGTGCAAAAATAGTAATTTTATTCATGCCTACTCAGAGGAAACCTCTATGCTGTTTTCAGTGGTACTCATTTCCAGGTAGGTGGGTTGAAAACTGCCTATTTTTCTTAATATTATTTCTTGGAGAAGCAAATATATATAAACAAACAGATGAGATTTCTCCTCACCTTTATCAGATAAAGTATCTATCTGGCGATATAACTGGCAATTCTGGTGAGAAAAAAACGGGTTTAAGTTTCAAAAGAGGATTATAGTTACTATTTCAATATTCCTAAGAGACTTGATTTATTTCACTGAATTCCTAGCTAAAGCTATAGGAGCCTTTAGCAACTGAGTGTTCCCTTTCTAGTCTGGAAAACCGGCCCAAGACAGACAGACAGACAGACAGGCAGACAGAACCTTCTATGCACTCCCGGCTGGGTTTTTTGCGGGTCTCTCGCCCTGATTGACAATTACACCGCGAAAGAGAGACTTAGAGAGTGACATTTGGACTTTTTCGCTGTATAAACTACTATACTATAGATCGGCAAACAGACACTATCCTCCGGGTTAAATTCGAAATGCCATTTTGTCTTCCCTGAGGCAAAACTGAAAGCTGCTCAGACTGTTAGAGTAGCTCTAATGGAAGGGGCCCTCCCCAAACTTTCGGAACAATAAAAAATAGAAAAAGAAAAGTGGAGCAGCAAAGGCAGGAGTTCGTAACCCCTTTTAACTGAGGCTATTTAGCAGAGCGGTGGGACTTAGTTTTTAAACCGCTGCCCATCTGCATGCAAGCTGCTGAAGCATTTCTGCGTGACACTGAACGCTGAATCTTGGCTAAGAGGAAGGCTGTGCGGGAGATTTAACGATCGCCGGTGAAAACTGAGTGGGGATGGATGTATGCCGATTCTTCAGCTGCGGATCCAAGCCAGCCTCAGCCCAGCCTCTAACCTTCAATAGCAAAGTATTATTAGCGTTATAACACCTAGTCTGCTCCTCTGCCATAGGCTAGCTGAAAGCTTCCGAGTCCGTTTCAAGGTACTGTTTATTTATAAACTCTTACCTGACTCACGACCGTCCATGCCCAAGACGGAGTGCCTCTTTCCCCATGAACCTAGCCGTACGTATGCTCTTAATCTAAAGCACTGCTCCCAACTTCCCGAAGCGGGCCTTCTCAGTGGTGGCCCCCGATTATGGCATGAACTCCCCTCGAGGTCTAGCTGGTGCCAACATTGCTACCTTTCGGGCGCCAGTTAAGACCTTCCTCCACTCCTAGCCAAGACCGTTTTTATATTATGCATACTACTGTGTTTTAAAGTCTTTCAACAACAGCTAAAGAGCTTTGGCTATTGGGCTATGTAGAAGTGTAATAAATGAAACGAACGAAATGTCTCCGTTGTTTTGCATGGGTAGAAATAAGACCCGCGGAATCTTTCGCAGACAATTCTCACCCTATCGTTTTCCTATCTCTAGACTTGTAAGGCGGGTCAGCTCCAAGAGTACGCAGCGCCCATTGCACATCTGCGAAGAATATCGGTAGACGGCTAGGAGATTTCATTGAATAAATACCCTGTCAATATCTCTACGGAGAAGCCCATTAGTCGAGATTGGTGTGCGGCTGAACGATGAGGCCATCCACGCCACTTCTATTGGCGCTTTCTCTTGGCAGTCAGGTGGGACCTAGTGAAATATCTCTTTTCTATTGGCTACGTCGTTTGGGTGGGGCGGAACGTTTTGTTCAGTGTGCGGCCGGGCGGCTGCGAGAAGAAGGCGCAGCCTTTGGAGCCTTTAAAGAAAGGAGAGAAGGAGAAAGGGGAGCTCCCCTTTCTCCTGTGCGGGACATTCTGGTCACCATGGAGGACGGTATTTATGGTAAGGAAACCCCTTAGTTCGTTGGCAACCGTAAATGGGAGAGGGAAATAGCCGGAAGGTACCATTGTGGGACCCGCCCAGGGACTACAATGGAAAAGAAGGTAGGTGGACTGAGCCATTCTGAGAAGACGAGGGGGCGGGGCTGATCCCTTACAAAGAAAGGTGGGATTGGGGTAAACCGTACGGATAAAGGGGAAATTTGAAGGTGGTGTGTCCCATTGCAGTAAAGCTCTCGCGCGACCTATGCTAATCTATAGCATTCCTGACCGGGCGGGGCCTTTTAAGCCTGTACCATTTCAGTGGAAGGGGAGGGATGGGGCTGTATCATTGCCATAAGAAGGCTGGCGCTACCTATGGTATCGAACCAGTCAAAGGGAACCGAGACATGAGGGGGCGTGTGGGGCGTGCCATTCCATTGAGAAACGGGGGGTTGGTGGCTTGAGCGGAGGAGGAAAGGCGTTAAGAGGAAAAAAAACACCGTTGCAATTTAAATGACAGGCTGTACCATTCTTCTTTTCTTTTGTTTTTTTGGGGGGGAAGGGGGCATTGAACTGGATTTAACCATACTGGGTTTCGGGGGAAGGAGTTGCGACTCATGGAATCCTCATTAATATTACTGCTAATAAATTGATTATTTTATTTTATTTTTAATAAGCTGCTTTAGGAGCCCAAACTTGAATGGAAAAGGGACTCATGAGCAGCTATTACTGTTGCTAATTAATTAATGATACTCAGCATTTTATGTAACACTTTGGAGTATTCAAAGCAGACATCACTGGAACAGCATTTCCACATACCTTTGATAGTGAAAGACCACAATTTGCCTAAATAACTACTGTGAAAATTTAAATGGGAGGCACAGTTCACATCTGCACTCACAGAGGTTTCACCTTAGCTTGTGTGTAAAAATATGAATGATCGCACCTTGAGGAGAGTGCACACACACAGAGTGACCCAGTTTGCACCATTACATTGGGGCTGAGAAGCCACGGTGGCTAGTCAGCCCTGCCATGCATGCCAGTCAGAGTTACCCTACTTACCCAACTGACATGGCTTGTGTGAGGGGCAGTGACCACCTGGGTTCATCCAGTGCAGCGAGCTGTGCCAGTGAAGGAAATTAGGCAAATCTGGCCATTAGACACTGTCGGGAAGAAGCCCCCATGGCTTGTTTCCCCTGCTGCAATCATGTTAATCAGTTCAGCAACTTTCTGCCCAAACCACTGTCTTTTCTACCTGGGTACCCTTTCACCAGTTGCTGGGTTGGAGGCATGGGTATATGTGTGGGCAATTAGAGAAAGGCAGGGTGCATACTAGAGGACACGATTTCCTCCAGTTTGGTCCCACTTCAGGGTTTAGTTTGCATTGGCATGAGCAGGGCATGATCAATCCTCATGCTCAGTCCTCTCCTTATTCAGTGCCTCCAGACCTGACGCCAGAGGAGAGGCTAGAGTTGGAGAACATCCGGCGGCGGAAGCAGGAGCTCCTGGTGGAAATCCAGCGATTGCGAGATGAACTCAGTGAAGCCATGAACGAGGTGGAGGGGTTAGAAGCCAATGAGGGAAGGTGAGGGATACCTTTCTGCCTAGTCCTTGCTCCCTCTTGACTCATAGCAAGATATTTCTTTACCTAGGTCCAAATTGTGGGTACATCCTGGATATTTTAATTCGACTTTCACCAACTTCATGGTCTCAGCCTATGTTGGCCTACAGCTGCCTGCATTCCTGGGCATGGCCATGCTGCGAGGGTGGATTAAAACATCTGGAGAGCTTCGGTTTGGGGAAGGCTGACTGAGCAGCTTATTAGAACTTTTCTTTTTTTAAAAAAGGCTAATCAACTAAAAGCCCCTGGTCAGCAGGAAATCATAGGATTGTAGAGTTGGAAGGGGCCAATAAGGCCATCAAGTCCAACATCCTGCTCACTGCAAGGCTCCCAAGTTAAAGCATCCTGAACAGATGAGTGTCCAACTGCACCCTGAATGCCTCATGACCACAACCTCCCTGGTTCCATTGTTGTGTTGCTGTCACAGTCAGGAAGTTTTCTTGATATCCATCCAGCTTCCTGTAACTTGAGCCGATTATTCTATCTCCTGCAGTCTGGGATGATAGAGAAGAGAGAGAGATGTTTTATAAAAACTGCAGATGGCAAATACTTGCTTATGAGGCATTCTGCTTTTCACAAATAAAAAGAATACCTCTCCTAAGAAGATGACTGCTGCCACAGATGGGTGCATAATCTAAAAATAAGAATATGCTGTTTGCTTCACATGTACAGTGTAATCATTATTAACCCGTTCACAGTAAAACATACAAAGAGCCCGGCTGGGTCAGGCCAGCTGTCCATCTGCTCTGCCATGCTGTCCACACCATGGTCATCCAGCTGCCCAGGGGAAACCTATGAGCAGAAAATCAGTGCAACAGCTCCCTCCTGCCCATGTTCCCCAGCAACTGGTGTCCATACATAGAAACTAAGCGAGTCAGAAGGGTCTCCTGGGCCATCCTGTCTGACCCCTGGCTCCAGCCGGCTGCTGCTTCTGAAGCTGGAGGCGACCTACAGCCGTCAAGGCTAGTCACCATTGATAGCCGCCTCCTCTCTGAATGTATCCAGTCCCTTTCCAAATTGGTGGCCATCACTACAACCTGTGAAAAGGAATTCCAGTTTAACTGCACTGTGTGAAAAGCTGATGTGTAATTCATTAATGTATGTAAAGTTAGGTTACATTTCTAATTTAAACTTTCCCTGGCTCAAAAATCTCCCCTCACCTGTCATCCATTGAACCAGTTGCACCCTGTGAGGGGTGGGGGGCTTTCTCTGCCACTTCGGTGGCAGGCTGCTTAGTTTTGTTCAGGGATGAAGGGGGACTGTAACTGGTATATGAAGTAAAGGCTCTCTCCGACTTTCTCTTTCTTTTAAACAAAACATAAGGATGTACCACGGTTTCTGGAAAAATGTTAGAAGAATGAAAAGCTGCTGGGGAACAGCTCCCCTTTTCCTACTTTTTCCCCCTTTCCATCCCTGGGAACTATACAATAAAAGACAGACAGACTCATGGTAAATCCAGTACACCTCAGAAATGTGTAGTGTTCACCTCACTCCCAAAAGAAAGCCAGGATCTGGCTGCGCTGCACTTCACTCAGTGCTGATTCAACCCCACCATTAAGCTGCCTCTCCTTCCCTTTATTTGTAGCCCATGCCAAATGAACCATGCTTGCATTCTTTTGGTGTTTCCCTGCAATCATTGGCTACTTAGACAAAGAAAGGAAAAACAAGAAGGCAGCAAATGCAGGAAGAGAGGAAACATACCTTTGCTTTATTTTTTTCCCAGTGACTGCTAAAGACCACCATCAAACTATCCCTGAAAAGTTCTGAATGCAGGTTGAAGGTTGCATGTTTGATCAGTTTCCCAGATTTTTTTTTAAAAAACACTTCATTTGAAATAAGTCGTTCAGAGGAATTTTCTGGGCTGGTTGTCTCTCTGAAGTGTAGACTCCCATGTATTTTGGGATATATTGTTATATTTTGTGTGTGTGTGTGTGTGTGTGTGTGTATAACAACAATTATATTGTTAATTTATATTATTCTATTTTGAAGTTTATTTATGGTTGTGAGCCGCCCCGAGGCTTCGGCGAATGGGGCAGCATAGAAGTCTCCTAAATAAATAAATAAATAAATATTTTTATATGGGACGTATTGACTGTTTCAGACCTTACAGGCATCTGCATTCTGAGGTGTAGGCTGGTATAGAAATGAAATACATAAGAATAATTATTTTCTGAAGTCTGAAATTGCATAGAGGTTTTCAGTCCTCCTTTAAGAAGCAAAGCTTTACTTTCTTGCTTTGAACAGTAAAACTCTTCAGAGGAATCGGAAGATGGGAATGGGACGCAAGAAATTCAACATGGATCCCAAAAAAGTAAGTACATGCAATGGACTGAATGTTAAACTTTCTAAGTTTTGTAGAAAAGGAATGTCAATAATTTCTCATGGAACAAGATCTGTTGGGGATGACAGATCCTGGCTCCTCTGCAATTATGGTTATGCCAGAACTGCAATGAGGGAGGGTAGGAGACTGGAGCACCCAAAGTTACCTGAGGAAGGTGCCCGGTGTTTCAGGCTCTTGATGGGTGGAAACATCTTTGTTCCAAGATGCCCAGGAGCACTTGTTTCTTCTTGGCTTGGCTTATCAGGGAATCCAGTTCCTGGTGGAAAATGAGCTGCTGCGCTCCACTCCTGAGGACATCGCCCGCTTCCTCTACAAAGGGGAAGGACTCAACAAGACAGCCATTGGCGACTACTTGGGCGAGCGGTGAGAAGGGCTGGGGACACAGGGCAGAGCAGAGGGAACCACCAAATGATGTGGCCATATATACTGCAGACCAGGCCTAGCATTAGTATTTCCGAGCGTCCCAAAGCATTGGAAAAGATAATAGAGTGGGTAACCAGGGGGAGGGAAATGTGTTTCAATGTTTTCGAGTGTGGTGGGGAGTTTAAAAGAAAAGCCAGTGGGGGAAGGGTGTCTTGTTAGATTGTAGTGGTGACTGTGCAGGAGATGGTTTGAAAGGAACAGGTTTGATTTTCTGTTTCTCCACTTTTTATCTAGGGAGGACTTTAATATTGCCGTGCTCCATGCCTTTGTTGACTTGCATGAATTTACTGACCTCAACCTCGTGCAGGCACTCAGGTGAGTCTGCAGATGAGTCCTCTGCTAGAACAGGCCTTTGCTAGCGCAAGTTGGTCTCCCAGCTGCTGCATCCCTTATTGTGCCAAAGAGGGAAATGGGACCAGCTGGGGCGGCTTTCCCTCAGGCAGAGAAGGGTACTCTTAGCGTTGTCCTGTCTGCCTTCAAACATGTGCCAGTCTTGAGCTAAGCGGGATTATGTGGGGATCGTCATGGGGCGTGAACAAAGGGGACACCTACCGTGTTCTTCAGCATGAATAAGAGAGAAAACATGACCTTTGCTCACTTTACTCAAACACTCGCCTCAAGTGTTTCCTGTTCCCAGTCCACTTGCATATGGGCAAAGTTCTTTTTAATATGCCTTTGGTGTTAATGTCGGTGTTACTGTGTTGGAGCACTTTCCTGTATAGGAAAACATCACTGCCAGGAAAAGTCACCATTAGCTACCTTCCTAGCTTCTTTTGCTATCGTGGTTAAGAAACCAGATGCATCTAGCAGGTAGGAGCTAGAAAGTCACTGGGACCTGACCCAGATTTAAGATCTGTTCATCCCTCAGTCGTATTAACTTGTGCAGCCTGAGATGCTGGAATATCCATGTAGAGAAGAAGAACAGACTGGGCCTCTGTGGAGTAGACAACACAGGCTGCTTCCCAGTTGCGTGTTCTGCTCATGATCTTTCTGCTACCCACTTTCCAGGCAGTTCCTGTGGAGTTTCCGCTTGCCTGGCGAGGCCCAGAAGATTGACCGCATGATGGAGGCCTTTGCCCAACGGTATTGCCTGTGCAACCCGGGGGTCTTTCAGTCCACAGGTACAGTGTGCCCCGGGAAATGAATGGAGGCTTGCTTGGTTGCAAACCTGGGATGCTGGGAATCTAGGACTCCAGTGCTCTCTGACATGGAAACAGATTCTGGCACAAGTAGATGATGAATGTTGAAAATGAGGTTGCCTTGGCTATTCATTCCTACTGTGCAATTGACTTAAACCTTGCAGAGGCTGTTTTGTTCTTATTAGAAGTGGGGTTGGGCTGGGGCAACCACTGTCTTAAAAATTAGAGAGCAAGAATTTTTACAGAGCTTAGACTATAGTTGATGGGTAGGACATTTGTGGTTTGAGTTAAGCGGTTAAAAGTGAGTGCCCTTACTTAGAACGCAGGTAGTGCCTTGCAGAATCAGAGCACAGGCTAGGGCTTCATCCTAGCTTCAGGGCTTCATTGTTCTTCATCCTGTGCAGCAGCCTGGAAGCTATCAAGTGCTAGGCAAAGGCCTTGTTAGCAAGTGGCCTACAGGAGCTGAAACCCTGAATCATTCCCTTGGAGTTCCAGATCTGTGGGAAGCCTGCTGTTCATGGGCCCTTGCTGAAATAAAGGTCCAGGGGCTCAGATGATCTCTGTTCCTTTTGACCCATTGGATTTTCTGGCTTTTTGCCCACTTGTGCTTCACTGCCCCTACCTGTTGAATATTTCTGCCAGAGGGTTTTTGCTGAAATCCTATGCCCTCCTCCTAGAGGTATTCAAGATGTGGCTGGACAGTCATCTGAGAGGGATGCTTCAACTTGGAGTCCTGCACTGAGCGGGGGGTTGGACCCAGTGGCCCTCCAGCTCTACCATATTTTTGATCCTCTCCCCTGTCCATGAATAAGCAAGTCCTCAGAAGACAACAGGATCCTTTAAAGACAAACAGAGAGACATTAGAGCATGTTTAAACTAGCGTAGGCAAATGGTGCATTTCCGTGTCCTGTCTGAGCCCCAAATATTTTCAGTACCTGGGACCACCCCAACCATGGAATGATCCACCAGTGTGCCACAATCTTGTCATTTTCCCATCCTTGTTAGGCTGTCACAGCTGACCTCTGATGGGCCCACAGTTCTCTCCACTGGTTTAATCATAAAGGGTTAAGTGTTCTAAATCCAAGTCAGTTATAGGGAGAACTTAGAGCTTTTCTACCTGTTATACAAAATAAGGTGGTAGAATTGTGAGCTTTTATCTACAGTGTAGTATCTTTTTTAATGCCCCCCTCTTATTAAAAAAGAAGTGTGCAGTAACCTAGAACTTCAGATAAATGTTTTGCATGACCTATTCTTCTTGAGCTGCTAGTGCTACACTATGCAGGAACTATTAAGACACACATGCATCTCTTTAGTGGAGCAGTTTACAATTCTATCAGTTCTGTACTCAGCATGAAAATCAGCTGGATGACTGCTAGGACTATAAAACAACCAGCTGTCTAAGTCACAAATAAAATAGTGGAATTAGAATTCTATCAGGTCTGCAACTTATACTGAGAAGCTACAGTAGGTAAGACTAAACCAAAATAAACCCTAGAGGAGTAACAAGACAGATGTGTTGGGATGGACACTGAGTTTGTTCTTGTATTGCTCTTCCCCCACCCTGTGCTGCAGATACCTGTTATGTCCTCTCCTTCGCGGTGATCATGCTCAACACCAGCCTCCATAACCCCAACGTCCGCGACAAGCCCACAGTCGAGAGGTTCATCACCATGAACCGAGGCATCAACGATGGGGGGGACCTACCTGAGGAACTGCTGCGGGTGAGAGGCCAGCAAAGGGGAGGCAGCCCCAGGTCAGGTGGGATGGGTCTCCTTGGTGTGGCTTTTTCGTGTGGTTTTCACAGTTCAGGGGAGCGTTTCTACCCTCTTGAAAGTCCTCCAACCGCTGGTGAGAAGCTTGCGCTTCTTGCTGTCATGTAACGCTCTCATTGCAACTGCTTTTTTTTTTTTTGCATCAATTGCAACCAGTTTGCCTTTTGATGTGAGCTCTTTTTTCCTGTGTGACTTTATTTCCCCCCACTGTATGCTTGGTGCAAGATGGTTTTGGTGCTGTGCCAAAAGTGCACGTGCCCACACACAGGTCTTTGCTCCTTGCTGTGGGAAAGGGTGTGGCCTGCCTATAACTCCTCCCCTTGCTCCCCTCCCCTCAGAACCTGTACGACAGCATCCGTAATGAGCCCTTCAAGATCCCCGAGGATGATGGAAACGACCTGACACACACTTTTTTTAACCCTGACCGCGAGGGCTGGCTCCTCAAGCTCGGTGAGAGGCGCCCCCACTTCCCCTTGAACACTGTGGCCTTTTCCCCTTCCGTTCCCTGCTGCCCTCCCCCTTGCCCTCCCCCATCACCACTCCCCCACCCCGCGATCTTTGCACGTCTCTGCGCTCTCCTCTCTTCCCCCCCTGTTGTGTCATTTAAAGCATGACCTCTCTCTTCATCAGATCAAAGGGATCCTCCTGAAATCCACCCTGATATTCTTCCCATCCCCACCAACAAATGCACAAAGCCCACTGGGATCCACTATTCATCAGGTTGCAAGAATTTGGTGAGACCCCCCACTTCCTCCAGCTCCTGATTGAGGTGGATCTCCTCTGACAGATGATGAGAGGGGTTTGCTGGGATTTTTTGGTCATCCTCTGAGAGCTGGGATCCAGTGACGATGTCACTAATGGCACTGACCGCCCCCTCCCAAACCACCAAGAGACCTGTTAAGCCCCCTCTTTGGCCTCTGATGTTTCGCCAATCATTGCTGGCATGTTTTTGAGGCCATCTTCTGCATCCATGACCACAGAGTTTTTAAAGCAAAGCAAAGCAAGGTGGCATTTTAGGGTGCTGTTGCCTAAGCTTGTCCCCAGATTCAGCCCTGATATTTGTCTGGTTCTTAACCATTCATGCTCTTAAATGATGGAGCAGGATGGTGACACATCGAGAAAATTCCCTTGAAGCACCACATTCACGTCTGCCAGGCTTGCCGTGGAAAGTGTGCCAGTGGTGGGCAAAGTTGGTGTGGGTTGGTGTAAATTGGTGTCCTGCACTAGCAGGGGGTTGGACCCGATGGCCTTCATGGCCCCTCCAAACTCTACTATTCTATGATTCTATGAAAGTTGTGGAGTTTGACTGCCAGGAGCACCAGTTCCAGACGCCCCCTTCAAGGGTGACATTTGGATAAAGGCAAAAGTGGAAACTCTTCCATGCTTGCCTGGTGATAGTTTCCTCTCATATCATTGTCTCCTGTACTCTGACCTAATGGGGAACCATCACTGTAGTCATTTTTCACAGGCAGGTGAACAGCACTATGTTACTGGCTTCAACTTTTGAGTTGTATGTGAACAGATAAAACAGAGTAAAGGGCAGATGAAGGACTGTGTGGCCAGAACTTCAAGGTGAAGGAAATAAGAGGGGGGGAGATGCTCTGGGGAAGATCTACTACTTACCCCATTATATCTGCATAGAAGGGAGTGAAACATTTTGAGAAGGGTGGCTTAGAACTCTGATTACTGGCCTAGTTAGGATGTAAACTGAAGCAGTTCAGGGCTTATAGCAACTTTATAAAGGTTATTGGGAGCCAGTGTGATATAGGGGTTGAGAATGTTGGGCTGGGACTCAGGAGGTCTCGGTTCAAGTCCCCACTCATCCATGAAGCTCCCAGCATGACTCTGGGCTGGTCACGGACTCCCAGCCTGACCTCCTCCACGTGGTTGTTAAGAGGATAAAATAGAGAATAGGAGAACTTGGAAGCCACCTTGGGTTCCTTGCAAGAGGAAAAATGGTGGGATATAAAAGCAATGATAATGTTCGGGAAACCATTGCTACAGTTGGTTTTGCCAGTGCCAGCTGCAATTTCTGTAGTAGGTTTCCATGCAATGTGTCAGAGTTTGAGGGGGGCTTTTCATTTAGCCTACCCACCTCAATAAAATTTAAACCCTCCCTGTGCCCACCCACCTCCCAACCCTGTTGTCCCCAAGTACCTGTGTCTGTGTCGGAGGATTTTTGATTTGACCATGTACTTCTACCTTATGTTGATGTAACTTGTTCTCCTTTCTCTCTCTTCCTCTCTCTCTCTCTCTTTCTCTCTCTTCCTCTTTCCTCTCTCACCCCCATTCTCTCTATCCTGACTCCCTGGTCCCCACCTTTCTCTGCCCCCTCTTTACCCACCACTGCTACCCTGCCCCCCTCTCTCCTCTACCATCCCACGGCGTGGACTACCACTGTCTGAATTCTGCCCCCAACCCAGGAGGTAGGTGAGAAGAGGGGGCATTTGACTTTGCAGCTGATAACTGTTTGCCTGGTGTACTTTGGAGGGGAGAGGGGACTGTGTTTGGGGGCTCAAGCTGCGGGGCTGGCAATGTCATTCTGTGTGAGCAGAGCGGCGAGTTAGCCCTGGATGTGTAGCCCAAGTATATTGGTTGTTTGGTCATCTGCTGGTGATTCAAGACCCACAGGTGGGTCAGCCCTGACCTAAGGTGGCTGGCAGGGCTGGGGTCATTATCATTATTCTTTCCCATCTGCTTTTCTTTTCCTTTAAAGGGGCAAAGGAAATGTGTGAATGGGGGTGGGGGTGACTGGATGCAAAGGAGAACAAGCTTCAGCTATTTTTAAGTAGTTGTAGAGATGGGGGATAAATGGACATTCTTTGTTGACCGAGAAGAGGGCAGTTCCCTTCAGCCCTCCTTGTTGGCTTTCTGGGAGCAGCAGAACACTGGATGATGTGGAACTTTGATCAGATACAGCAGGGCTCTTTCGAGGTTCCAAGAAGGAATTTCAGTAACCTGTAGCATTGAAAATCCTCCTTCATAGCTACTCGAGTGGAAGGAGCCCTCCTTTGCTTTGCATCTGGTTGCCCTAGAGCAGCCTTCCCCAACCTGGCACCTTTCAGGGGATTTGGACCCCCCCCCCCCAAATCTGACAAATGACCTTGCTTGGGAGCCTGTAGGAAGAACACAGGATGAAATCCCAAATTTCCTTTCCAAATCAGCTTCCCCAAAGGGTTGCCATTTTGTCCTGTATCTTCTAGGAAGACCCTCAGCTACCCACAGGCACATAGATTTACATCATAAAGCCTTTGTCTTTAGTGAAAACAGCTAGGAACAAGTCTGAGCTTTGTGTTAATAACTTTCCCCAAGCTTGTAGCAACCAAGTACTTGTTCTGCATGCTGAGGTTGGAAAAAAATCTCCAAAGGGCCATGCCATGGCCTTTTTCTCAGTACATAGATCTGCATTCTGGAGAACACAATATATCGGCAAAAGCTGCCTATATAGAAAAATCAGAGGCCAGGAACTTCCCTAGCCCATCCTAGGAAGAACCTTCCTTCAAGCCAGGAGTGACTGTTTCCTTCACAAAAGCAGCAGGGAAATGGCTTTATCAAAGTAGCTGTCTCAAAGCTTCCCCGCTTTGCAGAGTGTAACCTAAAGCTGGGAAATATTAGCTGTGAACGTTCAAGAGCAGTTCAAATAACCCTGAACTAAGGCTACTAGCATAAGTGATGACTTATGAGGTCTACATAGAGCGAGCTCTGAATTGGACTCCAGTGCCCTATGCTTCCATTTCCTTTTAAAAGGAACGGAAAGGAGTCTACACTTGGAGGCCATTGGGCCGACTCTGTGTCTCTGCCGCATTCCCCAGATGCCAACAGAGAACAGAAATACTGTAAGTAAGGCAATGTGTGTGGCAACCAAATGTTCTGGAAGGCCACTTTAGAAACTCTGGCCTACCATTCATCACATCTTGAACCAGCCCACCAGAATAACCGGCGTGTATGAACTAAATCCACCCTTGTGCAGGGAAGCAGAGTTCACAGACTCCTATTCTAGAGCAACTTTCTATTTTGAATAGTTCACTTTGACATACTTACACTCAAAAGAAGGTACCATTCTGGGGTTCTCCTTTCCCAGTCATCCCCCTTGTTTGCTTTTTGTTTGCTTCGTGTTGTACCTTTTAGTTGCATTGCCTTTCTTCATAAGCATGACTTCTTGCCCCTGGTCACCAAGGTTGGGGAAGAGTTAAGCAATCTGAAGAAAGCATATTTAAAAACCACACACCAATCCCCCCACTTTTGCTTTCAGGAGGGCGAGTGAAGACATGGAAGAGACGCTGGTTCATCTTGACAGACAACTGCCTCTATTACTTTGAATATACTACAGTTAGTACAGTTTCTCTCCCCCACCCCTTCCCACCCCTATTCCCATTTCCAGCAGCCTGGAAGCCCAGAGCCTGGTCCAGGTCAGTGACAAGGGCTGCTGCTCAGAACTAGAAATGGGCAGACAAGGGGAGAAGGCGCTTGCCCCTAACGTGAGCCCTGGCCTTGCTTCGGTGGCCCAGGACGCTGCAATGATGTGTCAACTTGTGGCGGTGCCGTTGCTCAGGGCGCATTCTTTGAGAAGACGTGTGGACCCAGACAAGGCAGGCTTTCTCGCTTTCGCGTTCTCACTCTCTTACACTTTCCTAGCTTCATACTGTTTCATGCCATGGCCACAAACGAAGAGCAGCTCAAACACACGAGTGCGCATGCCACGTGTCAAAAGGCCAAGCGCTAAAGTGAGCACTGAGTGCTCGTCCCAGCCAGGGGAACGGTGGCAGCTTGCTCTGCCAATGGCAAAGTGGAGGTGTGTGTCATTTCACCCTGTGATCTTTCCCCACATCCCAGAACAAGCTGATCTAGCACAGCCCTACATCTCTGCTCCCTGCCCCTCACCACCCCCATCTGCTTGAGTTAATAGGGCTGCTCCCATTTCATCCATACTCCGATATTGCTTGATAGGACAAGGAGCCAAGAGGCATCATCCCACTGGAGAACCTGAGCATCCGTGAAGTCGAAGACCCACGGAAACCAGTGAGTGTCTGTGCCTTTCCCGTTTTGCTTATTTCAGCAGTAATCATGCGTGCCTGGGGCATGTGGCGTGGGGTTGGCCGTGTTTTACTTGTTCTTAAAAACCATTTTATAACCCCACTTCTCTGCCCTCAAGAGCTTGAAATACAATTTGCAGTTTTAAAATTCTTAATTTGCACATGGTGGGCATGTCGTAAGCGGAGCTGGCTGGTGCCGGAGGTCAGACTAGATGGCCCGGGAAGCCCCTTCTGACTCACTCTGCTTCTGTGTTTCTATGTTAATGCTCTCTGGTGGATTTTTGGTTTTGTGCTGCTGTATTCATACTTTAATTCTTGTCATTTTTTAATTTCCAAAGGGGGATTTATGCCACACTGTTGTAGCAGAAACAGCGAAGAGTCCTATGGCACTCCAGGAGCTCTCTAAGGGCCATAGAATTGCTTCCTGATGCCTCTTAAACTGGTGCCTAGCATTGGCCCCTGATGGATATTGCCTGGGGAGGAATTCCATAGCCATCACCCACAAAAAAGCCCTGTCCCTAGATGCCTCTTCCCTCCGTGAAATTGGGCTATAAGTTAAGGGAGATCTAGGAATCATAAATGTGCTTAAAACTTTAAAGCCATACTTGGAAAGAGTTCCTTGTAATGGGACAGACATTAAAAAGAAAAAGAAAGCAGCTCGCTTCCGTGGCAGCTTTTGACACATTTGCTGGTTGCTTGATTTAGCGCTGCCAGTTTCCTGCCACCCTCCTGCCCTGCCCCCCTGCAGTCCACCGCTTCTGCCTCCCTTTCTTAAACTGCTGAAAAGGCTTGAACGTGGAGGTGCTTGCAAATGCCTGCCTTCTCAAGGAGCTGCTCTCTGTTCCCCTCTGCTTTGACTGCTGTCTTTATTTTTTTAGAACTGCTTTGAGCTCTATATTCCCAACAACAAAGGCCAGCTAATCAAAGCCTGCAAGACGGAGGCAGACGGGCGTGTGGTTGAGGGGAACCACATGGTCTACCGCATCTCAGCGCCTACACAGGAGGAGAAGGATGAGTGGATCAAATCCATCAAGTGAGAATAAAGTTACATGCCATTCAGTGGGATCCCAGAAATCTTGGCTTCCTTTTTTCCCCTCCTCCATCCTCTAGCCTATCTTTCCCCAGCCTGCTGTTCTCCAGATGTTTCACGTTACAACTTCTAGAATTCCTGACCATTTGCTTTGCTGTTTGGGATGGATGAGAGTTGAAGGATCCTGGAACAGGGAATTGGCCATACCATTTGTTTGTTTATTTTTTAAGTTTTCTGTCCCACTCATTAGCCATAATGAGACTGTGGGTGGGTTTTATGCACGCACACACGCATGCACTTCTACAGTCATTAAAATATTTCTTCTAAAACTAAGATGAAATAAAACACCAATTCCTGAATAAGAGAAACTTGCAGTGGAATTGCAGTTGGAAAGTGAAAGAACTGATCTGACAAGAATCTAAGAACAATTTAAGATTAGAGAGATGACACCTCTTGAGAGCTACAGAGTAGCCTGGTGGGTGGGTGGGTGGTGCAACATCTGTGGTCGAGGCACTGTGGGTCTCTGTAGCTTAGGTGTGACAAGTTATTCTGGAAACAGCAACACAAACAGTCGTTCATTTCAGCCCGTGCTGGTAAATTCCCCTGCTTCACAGGTTGCTTTGAGAAGTTCTGCTTTCTCATAGAACTAGAATGCAAGGTCTAGAGGAGCCCTCTTCTGTACTGAACTCAGCAAGCACACCGCATTTAAGTCAACCATAAGCCATGAGTTTATGGAAGACTCTGTGGCCCCCTCAGATACTGTTGGCTCCCTTATTCCCATTATGCCTAGCCATCATGCCCAGAGGTGAGGGGTGATTGGAAGTGGAGTGCAGCAACATCTGGAGGACCACAGGTTCCCCAGCCCTGACCCAGAGTACCTAGAAATCCTGGCTGTCTTACATCCCCCATTCTTCCTCATTAAATTACAGTTCTGTTCCAGGAAGAGGATCATGGCGCCTTTCCTCCCAACATTTTTTTTGCAAACAGGAGTGGGAGGGACTTGCAGCAGCATGGAACCTCCTCCTACCTGCCTTCACTCCCCAAATGTGTATCGTGTGAATTCAGTAATGAATTCCTCTTCACCCTTCTCTTCATTCTTTAGGAGAGTTGTATCCTTTCCCTCCAGATGTGCCCCACAAATGCTAGTAGTGCTCACCAGGAACTCAAACTCAGGGTGGCGGCAAAGTGAACCAGAGCTCAGGGAATCCAGCAAATCCCCACCTCCAAACAGATTCCTTGCACAACCATTTTGGTAGCTCTCCAAATATTTTAAACTTCAGCACCCAGGAGTCCATGCCAGCCAGGAGTGCTGGGAGTTAAAACTGAAACATCTGGCGATCTGCTTCTTGCCCACCACTGCACTATGCCAGACTGGTTGGGGTTGAGCAGATGGCAGTGCAACACAAGAGGCTCTGCCCAACCCATGACCACAACCTAGCCTAGCCGCTGCCTGAGAGGTGACTTAGCTCTGCACCTTCCTCTTCCCTCCAGGGCTGCTGTGAGCGTCGACCCTTTCTACGAGATGCTGGCCGCCCGCAAGAAACGGATCTCAGTGAAGCAGAAACAGGAGCAGGCATGAGGTGGGGATTCTCCTGCGCCTACCCTTTTCTCCCTGCAGTGTACCCTCCAGCATTTCCTCTTGGACCTGCTGACACACCCACCTGGGTAGAGCTCCATGAAACCAGCTACCCCTCCTGTGATTTTTGGACCACCATGCAGCTTTGCCAGTCTGGTGGCAGACCAGTGCACCTGAAGCCCCCTTTCTGTCTCCAGAGCTTCTGCTCAGCCTGCCGGGACCTTGTGAATTGTCCCACTGTTGTGTCTGCCTAGTGCAGAAGCCAAATTCTCTTCATAGGCCGTCAGCAAAAGCAGGAAGATGGCTCCGAAGTGTCTCTGCTGACTTTTCACAAAGACTTTGAAGGCTACAAAGGTGTTAAGAGAACATTTCCTGCTCAACTGAACCTTTTGATTCTATCTATTTATGCCTCCTGACTTAGATCCAATCTACACTTTAGCAAAAAGAAAAAGAAAGCCCCTTAGGGCTGTACCATTTCAGAATGTGTGGGTGGATGGGCTTGCAGTGGACCACTACATAAAACTAGCACCCTGCACACCTAAACCAAGCACATCAGGGAGTAAGCTGGTATGTCTCTCTGGCATACTAGGTTTCTGTGCTTGGGGAGTTTTTGAGCGTGGGGATCATCCAGATATTTGATTCAGCTGCACCCTGGTTTTGGTATAGTCATGAGAGTGCTGTACCATTTACTTTTTCTTGGCAGTGTAGATTGCCCCTTAGAGTCTGTTGCCAAACCAGCTACACTGTGCATACATGAGTCCAGTATTTTGGCTCTGAACCAATACTATGAACAAGGGCTGCACCCTGTTATATAGCATTTGTTCTGGAAAAGAAAGAAATCATGCCAGCAACCAGCAGAGGGCAGCAGGACACCAGACAACTAATGCCCGCACACTGATGCGTTTTGAACACTACTCCTTTCCTCCAGTGGGAATAGCCAGCACACACACAGAACTGACAGCTTTGTATTCCTAACAGCCAGGGTTATGAACTCCTTGGTCTCGCTTTACTGCCAGCTTCAAGAAATTGAACCATTTCCCCCACCCTGCCCAAGTCCTTGCAGATTCAACAGAACTTTTCCTGTTTTATTCTTTGAAATCCTCTTTTCGTCAAGATTCACCATCAAGAGATGTCCATTACTTCCTGCAGGAGGTATTCCAAGGTGTTTCCATTGCTTTACAGAACAAGCTGATTGAGAACATCCCCATAATGCTGTTAGAGCTCTCTGGTTAGGGTCTGCCATGAATCCAGTGGCACATGGAAGGGGGTGACCTTGGTCTGGACAGTACCAAAATTAGAAGTAATGTACACAATGTATTTTCTTTCACAGTTTAGACTTTTGGTCTGAAACCAGAAGGTTCTTCCTCCGCTAAGTTATCTCAAATCCACTTTAACCTGTTTTGACTAGGCAAGATTGGATCAAGCCAACTTTTTTGATGCCTGTTGCAGAAAGGAAGAAACTCGACTTTGATGGTTACAAGGTCAGAAGTCTGGATTCTTCCAGAGTAAAAGAGCATGGCATTGTCCATGTGTTGAAGATCTAGTCTCTACAGCTTCTTGCCACACAGCTCTAAATTAATGGGTGAGACAGTGTACCTGTATCATAAAAAATCTAGCTTGAAATCTAGTCTTCCACTGTTGCCTTCCCTCAGGCCTTCCCTTTGTACAACTGCTCAGGTTCTGCTGGGTTTATTGCTATTTGGAACTGAGCTTTCTAGATCCACGCAAAGCAGTTTGCACCAAAGTTCATGTCTTTGCAAAGGGGCAAAGCATTCATCACAAAACATTCATGAGCCTGTGAAAGTCTCTGGCTGCATCAGGAATCTGGCCCTCTTTTAGTCCATGTGCATTTCAATCTGACCAATGTTCCCTGTTCCTGAAAAAATGGAAAATGGCCAGTTCAGATCCTGTTTTCAGGTTAAGCAGAAAGCAATGGTAGATCTGGTGTAATGCCATGTATCTTGAATTTTAAAGGGTTGTGGTTTTGTCACTGTCAAAATGAGAGTTGCTCTTCTTTCCACAGAGAAAGAATGCAAGCAAACTAGGTGCAGCAAAGAAAGAAAGTGATTTTTTATTGATCAATTTTCTGTTGTGGGTGTGCATGCATGTATGTGGGGGAGAAAGAAGAAATGGTGATTGTGTTCGGGTGTAACTGTTGCAAGTGGGACCAAGCTAAATCAGAGCATGGATTTTGTCCATTTGAATTATATTTGAGTTTGGTCACTTCAAATTAACTGAAATGAGTAATCTGATGGCAAAAGGAGTATATCCTTCAGTTATCTCAAAATTACAGGAAGGTCTCTTAGTTCAGTAATTCTGCTTGACAGGTTTTCCCTTCTCCATTTCAGTTGTTTTACTACACCAAAATCTCTTAGAAATAATTTCTGTTGTGGGATTTACCTGCCCCTGTTATGAGGCATCTAAGCCTCTGTCCTGATATTGAGACCACATCATTTGGCTTATTACGGACTTATGTGCACATAAACTTCAACTAGATTCTATCCTTTTCCAAGAAATCCCCAGATCCTAACAGTCCTTCTTTTATATTCTTTAATCCCCTTTCTAGGAAACTCCAGACACCTAGTTCATGCCCTCTCTATTAATACCCACTGGCTTCACTGCCTTCTTCAAAATACTAGTATAATCCCCTTTTGGAACTTAGATGAGCTCCATCTCAGTTAAGACCAAGCATTCAATGCACATCATTCTCAGTGCAAATAGCTGCCAGGAGAGGGTGCTGAAAATTATGGGGTGGGAGATAATTTAACCCTCCTCGCCTCAGTTTTGCCCAAAGATGCTCCTCCAAGCTTGGAGTAGCAATTTTCACCAGGACTGTAGCAGAGGAACAGAAGAGTTCAGTTTCCTCTCCCTCCCAGCTGCTGTCCTAAGCATTATTGCAAACTCCCCACAGCTGCTCTTTGCTTAATGATAAGCAGTTTGTCCCATTTTTACTGACACCTGAACCACTTCTGGCATGCTCATACATGCATGCACTTGTGCATACATGCACCTCTAGAATCTGTCTTATTTTGGAACTTGGGAAGGTATTTTTAGCCCAGTAGCTCTGGAAAATTTTCTTTGAAGCATCCAAACCTGACACAGTTAAGAAAATTCCATACAGCCTTGCAGAATTAATTCTTCAGCAATAGCAGTGGTTAACCCCACCCACTCTCTTTATAGTCAGTTTCAGTACCTGTGCTGCAGGGGTGGGGAAATCAAGCAAACCCCTTCACCTGCTCCAGGAGAAGAAAGAGAAGGCAGGGCATTTTTCTTGTTTTTAAACATTTCCTTTTTTTGATGATGTCTTTTTGTTTTTTTTAAAAAAAGTTAATTGTTATTTAAAAATTTAATGTATGCATCTCTGGATGATATGTAAACACTACAAACTCGTCTGTGTGTTGCTGGAGTCATTATTTCAGTAAACCATTTTGGTTAATGGGCAGTATAGAAATCAAATAAAGAAAGAAAATAAATGCATATTTTGTTATTAAGAATCTAGGATAGCCAAGGTGGAGAATTTGTTCAGCATGCACTGGAACAAGCTGCTTTTTCCGGTCTCAGCTGATTCACAGCTGAGAAACCTGTTTCTTCTATGTAGTACAGCACCCTTTACTCCCATGAAGCAGGTGAATATGTTTCAGAAGTCTGTAATAACTTCTTGACTGTGGGTGTGCATGCAGATTGTTGAAGCACACCCTTTCCTGGGTTTTGTGAGGCAGCAGATAGGCAGCCTTGACCTTTGAAGCTGCAGTGAGTGACTTGCCCCTGGCTCTTGACTTACATACAACTTGCTTAGAAATACCCCACTTATAAATTAATTCAGCAGCTTGGTCCAAGTAGATAGGGAGTCCTCCCCCTCCACTTCTTGGTACTGGAGTGAGGGAAGTCTTCCTTCTCACTTGTCACTGCAGACTGAAGACAAAGCTTGTACATAGACCTGAAGGAACTTATGGTGCAGGGGAAGATTGGTGGTCAGACAGGAATGCATTGCTGACTTAATTTCCTCCTCTCAAATGTCCTTTTCCTCACGCCCTGCTTCCCTGCAGCCTGGCTAGATCTCTCTGTTGCCCTGCAGTCAGAAAGCACTCCTTCCTGAGGCCAATAATACGCTGTTGCTCTGGTGACCTGACACATCCGTCCCACTGCCACGGGGGCGGATCTGGCCAGAGTTGCCACTAATGAGATCAAGAAAAAGCGAGTGACCTGCCTGGGCAAGAGCCAAATCGGAGCTGAAGCTGCTTCGCTCCTACAGAAATTCTCAGTTTTCTGCCTTGTAAGTTTCAATGTCAACATTGACTGGATGTTCTCTGAAAGCTCCTTGTAATTGTTCATACTCTGGTCTTGCCTTTTTTCATAACACTGCATATGGTTGTAAAGGAGTATCCCATCTGCAGACTTTATAGGGCCAAACTTGACTAAGCTTTCTGAATTGTTTTGCCAAATATTCACTTAAGTATTTCATGTCTCTAGGCAATACATTTTAGTTGATTGGAGAGAAGATGTATGTCGCTTGCATGCAATTAAGGGTGCACGAAAATTTTTAGGGAAGTACAAAAATGTTCTGCAGGCACACAGATGTGCATTGGTACAGATCCCCCCAAAGTTTTTTTTAATGCTTCATGGAATCCTCATGACTCAGAAAAGATGGTCTGCTGCAGAATCTTCAGGTTGGATTCAGAGACACCCGAACTCATTTGAACCTGTTGCAGATTTCTCTGGCATTCTTGTATTATTATTCTTATTATTATTATTATTATTATTATTATTATTATTATTATTACATTTCTATGCCGCCCCTTGCCAAAGCCTCGGGGCGGCTTACAACACAATGATTATGCTTGTAGCAAGCATAATCACAGAATTGGTCCTTGCATGTGTGAAGAAAATAGGAATATTCCTTTATTCTCCTACATCTGCAATTTTTATACATAAAAATTCTTAAAGAGAAAAAAGCCTGTCACCCAAATTATCAGGAAAGCACTTTTTTGTCAACGAAAAGCTTGCTGAAACTTGATTAATTTGGCAGTATTTGATCATTGGCATGCAGTTGTACTTAAGACTAGACAGGTTTTGATCACTGACTTTGTATGAAATTTCATTGATGAAATCTTAAGACATGTTCCTAAACTAAGGGTGGGGTCCTATAAGCATTTACTAGTTTTATTTTTTATTTTGTGTTTTTTGTTTTAATATGTTTATATATTGTAAGCTGCTTAGGAAGGTGCTTATAGGTGGCTTATAAATGCATGTAATATGCCATGCCATTTCCTTCTCTGAGGAAACCAGCAGAGGATTGGGCAGTACAGATGTTCTCAGGGTTCAAATGCTGGAGTAAACATACATAGCTCCATGCCAGCTGAATGAAATGTTGATAAATCCCAAAACGGGTGGGAGGAATCATACTTTTGGTTTCCTATGCCCTCCCTGTTTGTGAATTCCTTGTCTATCCAGTTATACAATCTGTTTCTGAAATGCAGTCAACAGGCTGGAGTTCACAGGTGATATTTAGTAGTTAAAAGTTGATTAAGGCGGTAGAGTCTCCAGTTCAGATATTGGACATCTTCTATCAGCCATGTAGTCACTGCCTGCCCTCATCTAGCCCCATCAGTAACAGTTGTTTTGTTCTTTTGTTTGATCTCTGTGTTGCAAAAAGAGCCACTGAGTACAGAAGAGCAGCATGATAAGAGAAGCCATTCTGACCAGGTTTCCTGCTGTAGGTTTTCTTGCTTTGTTTTCTTCCCCTTTCAGGGTATCATAACAGGATCTCTAATTCACTTCAGAAGAAAAGTGGCTTGGAGGGAGGTGGTTTTAGCACTGAAAAAATATTAATGATAATTTTAATAATTAGATTAATAAGCAGATTCTTCTCCCATCCGAACATTCAGGCATGGCATCCAGTAGAGCGCCTTTGGGAAGACGTGGAGGGAGATCAGAATTCAATAGCAGGTTTACGAGCAAAATACCCTGAAAACACACCAAGCTTCTAAGACAGTAGAGAGAAGAATGTTGGATTCTTCAAAACAAAACATACTGAAACCATGTGGGGAAAGGTTGCAGTTTCTTTGGCAGGTTTATTGCATCCAGTTTGATGTAAGAAAATACAAGATCATTAATGTTTATTCCATACACCCATCCCCTCCTGCAAATAAATACATACTGTCATAGTTAGAAAAATCAAGTATTTACAAACGGAGAGAGATAGAAAACCTTATGCTAAGGAGATGTAGCTAAAGATTAGATATTTCTCACATGCAAAAGAAGACATTGGATAATCTTTTGAGCAAGCATTCTTCAGTTTTGTTCAGCTGCATCTCTTGTTCTTTCCAAAGAATTCAGGATTTCTGATTTCTTCTAAGCCCCTCACATTAGAACAGACATGCTATAAAGGTACATGACCTGCTCAGGGGTAGCAGTTGCTCATTTTAGACTCGGGGCATAAATGTCTTAGACTAAAAGTCCCGAGAATTCAGACATCCTGTCTTCAAGGCACACCCACTGCTCTTTGATGTGCTGGATTTCATTTTTCCTTCCAGATGGTCTATTCTCATTAACCTCTTGGTGTCCACCTATTTCAACTGGTGACAGTACAAACATAATTCCCCACCGCCACCTCCCTGTAACTGACTGAACAATCTAACCAATCTATCTGCTATGACACGCAATAGAGCTCCACAGACCCATTTCCCCAGGTTTCTTTTCCAACCCATACTGATGCTTTTCAGTCAATCGGAGTTGAATTTGCATGTAGAACATTGATTCATGCCCTTCAGCATGCAACCAAACATTTATTTTCTACCTGATCTTCTGTCTTGCTTCATGTCATGCTGTGAAAGTCAATGTTAATGCGGGTTGCACATTGAAGCACTAAAATGTGAACATTTGAATGCCCGCGTTGCCACAGCATATCAGAATGCTTGCCTGCAACAAAACCCCCGCAAAACACGAGTGATGTGTGATATGGCTTTACAGTATTTCCAAAATCTCACTATATCCCATCGACCCGCACTGACATTCACCTTTTAGGATTACATGACATGATTCATGTAATTCAGCCCATATTCAGATTGCACAGTTGATCAGTATCTGAAAGATTTTCCAGAAAGTGGTATAACTCAGTGTAGAATTCCTGATGTCAATAGACCATTCATTGAACCATTTTTAGGAGTAGTCTAACACATGCAAATTCAACACAGCACTGAAATGGAACTACTAGGACTGGGGAAAAGCCCAGATAAATGGCCAGGTGAATCCCCCTTGCAAGAGATGCATCTATGTAGAGGCACATATTTTGTATTTCTGTGTTAAGAACAAAATATTGCTACAGATCTGCCAATCTTACAAAGCAGGCCTTTATACTGCAAGTAGTTCTTGAGGAGGGGAAAAGAAAAAACCAACAGCAGGATCAGAATCTAGTTTCACTAAGTTTGGGATCGGTCCTGAAAGGGCTGAGAGTCTTACTAGGATGTGCAGTTGATTGGATGAAGGAGAGAGGTGTATTCCATCAAAGAAAGCAACTAAGCTAAGGTATGAGTTCACAAAATACTATTAGGATACTAAAAATAGGATCTTCTGAAATGAAGTGCTGGAGATATGTCCACACCTTTCAAGAGAATGTGGCCATCTAGTTCCTCATATGAACATTGCTTGGAAGAAGGGGAAGGGTGGGAGGGAATGTCCAACTCCCCTCCAATTCCTGGGAAGTGTATTCCACAAAGGCAACAGAAGGAAGCTACCACCACTAGTACCCAAGAAAAGGAGTTCTTTCTAGATGGGAGATGTTTGCTTAACTCAGTTTGTCAGAGAATTCTTCAGCTCCATACAGCCACTCCATATAGTGAAGCGTATCAATGCTTCAAATATTTTCTTTGTTTTTTAGATAAAAATTTGATCAGGCTGAAAGTCCAATCTTTCTGCTTCCCAAATCTCAAGTCTCTCCTTCTCAAAAGTTGCCACTTGCATCTCATTTTCCTCCCAGGAACCCTGGAGTACCCTGTCCCGAATTAAAAGATTCCCACTCTTTCCCCCGAAAGCCCTGGGAACTTAGTTTCCCCCCACCCATATTTTAACACCACTAGTTTCCCTTTTCTGCCTTTTCCCACAGCCTGAGCTTCTGTCCTGAACCACTACATTTTGCTCTCCTCTCAGTGAACCCAAAAGTCCCTGTTCCTTCATGGCTTCTTAGTGGCAGGCATTAAACGGTAGCTTGACCACTCCTCCATGAAGCTCCATGGAGGCTTCAGCCCAGTTGATGAGGTCACCACCAGCATAGCTAGTGCAGGTTGCCATCTTGTAAATCTCACCCGGCGTCAAGATATGGCCCCACATGTTGAAATCTGAGATTTCTCCAATGAAGGCTTGTGTAGCATCAAAGCGGCCACCAAGAGTGTCCTGTGGGAAGCAGAGTGCAGAAGGATGGTGAATTGAGAGAAACAATGACTCACCTGAAGTGAGTGACAGAACTTGTAGTGAAATGGCTCTTTACCTGTTCCTGACCCAGTACGAAAACACCTCCTGGTTTCACTGGATGCCAGGGAGCCAGATTCTCCCCACTCCCTCTTCGGACTCCATCCTGGTATGACTCCCAAATGCCATCTCGAGTTGACCATGTCACACAGATATGGTGCCACTTCGCGTCATTAATAGCCAAAGGCAGTGTGGCAGCCTGCAAAACAAGGGCAGAAGTGTGCAAAAGGGTGGGGGAGTTTAGTCAGGGATAAACAAACTCATGGAGTCCTCAGTATTACAGATGTAAAAAACCCCTGAATGCTGTAAACTGCCCAGAGAGCTTCAGCTATGGGGTGGTACTGAAACGAAAATCAGCACTGCCACCATGAGGAAGAGCTATGTGGCATCAGGTCAAGCATTCTGCTCACACAGTGGAGAACCAGATGCCTAACAAAAACCTGCAAGCTGGACAGAAGTGCAACAGCATCCTCCCAATCATGTTCCCCAGCAGCTTCTCTACATGGGCACACTGCCTCTGAAACTGGTGCTAGCATATAGCCATCACGACTGATGGCTATTGATATGTAGGTGTTTCTACCAGGAATTCGTTCAGTCCCCTTTCAAAACTGTCTAATTGGTAGCTATGTGTCATGATCTGGGAGTGTTGGATGCTTGCATGGCTTTGGATCCAAGAGAAGTGGCTTCAAATCTGCCTGGGCAAACTTCTCTGAACCCGATCTACCTTGCAGAGGCCAATTGTAAACTTCCAACATTTTCTAGAGGGAGAACAATAAAAACAGAAGAGGCAGAATGGAGCCTGAGGTATTTTGCTTCTCCACCTGACAGAAACATGGAAGTTTAATGTGAGGCCTCAGTATCTATTCAAAAAAGGCTATGACTATGTTGTAAGGGCAAATAAGATAATGCAAATATATAAATGAATTTCAGGAAAATTTTGTGTGACAGAAAAAAAGTCATACAGCACCCACTATTCCCAGCCAGCTTGATTGGAGCACACTGCAAGTTGTAGGATGTTTTCTCTGTCTAAATTATCGTACATAGAATTGCGCCCTTAAATAATTAATTAACAACGTGGGAATTAAACATAGATATGTATGGTATTTATCTATCTACAGATAGTTAATCTCTCAATGTATATTTTTCAAGTGCATGTATACTGGGGTTCCCAGTTATGAGCTCTTGCCTGAGAGCCCTCCTGGCCACCTGCTGAGAACCTGTCTAAGGTTCTGTCAGGATTTACAGCCCATAGTGCTTGACATTGCAGTGAATAAAGCAAGCTCCAATTGCTTACATTTATGGTCAGGATTCAGATCCAGAGAAATGTCACTGAGTTGGTTCAGAACAAGTGACTTTGAATACTGGAAACTTGAACCAAAACGTGACCAAACTACAGAAATATAAACTCTTTGGGAATCCCGCAAACATATCTTCCCACCACCCAAATCGGCAAGCTACTGTCCTAGCTCTAAGGCCCACAACACCAGCCCCAGTTCTGTACCTTGTCGTTGATGAGCAGTTCCATGGGGTTATTTCCCCACTCAATGAGCACTACTTCATTGGCCTGGCCAGGTACTGAGTATGAGAAGGGGGTGCCCATGCCTGGTGCTGAGCTTGATTTGAGCCAGAGGCAGATGGAAAAGGCAAAAATTTCATGATGGAGGGTACGCTTGACCTTAACGTACATATAGTTGGTGCGGAGTGGAAAGCCCACGCGGAAATCCTCGGAGTGTTTCTCCACTTTGTGCCCTGGAGGACAGAGGGGATCAGAGATGTGGGACTGAGCTACCAACAGAGAGAAATGGAGGGGAGGTAGGTTCGTCCATTCACGCACGGCCAACTGACCTGGCTATCTACCAAGCAGCCAGTCCAGACTTGCTTCCCTCTGTTTCTCCATACCCATGTGCCTGTGCCTGTGCCTAAACAGGTCAGCTCTCACGGTCTGCCTGGGAAACTGCAGGAAGTGACCCTGAAGGAACTTGAAAGGCTTCTGCTTCTGTTGTTCCATCACCGTCTCTTCCTCTTCTGCATTGCCCTCCTATCAACCCCTTGCCCTTTCTGGTTTCTTCCTTGTGCTGAATTTTGCACCGTGAGCTCCTCAGGACAGAAATGTTTCCTGTCTTTTTTAATGAAGCCACCTGCCCGCTGACTGTGTGGCATGAATAATGATGACATTCACCCATCAAACTCTGTTCCAGGAAGGAGAACTACTTTCAGCCTGAGGCAAACTTCCATTTCAGAGAACTTCTCGGGTGCCACAACCTAGTGCTGGGCAGGGCCAGGCACCAAATGGATGCAGCAACAGGACCAAAACTGCCAGCCCTGTTTAGCTTAATGCTCTTGCTGCCAGTAACTGAGCCTTAGGAGAGGCATCTCAGCCTTTCAGAAATGGGGAGGCAGCATGCGAAATCTGGAAACCCAGTGCAGGTCCACCTGTCCAAGGAAAGGGGCATAGCCATCTGGGCAACACTTGTGGGAGGACTTGGCCTGCAGCCATTCAGTCATCCATTTCCATCCAAGCTATCTTTTCATCTCTAACTCATGCCAGCCACATGTGGGTGGTTTTGATCTAATAATCCAGTTTCCTTCACCATGTTACTAATCCCCATGTCTTTTATCCTGCCTTTCCACAGATCCATCCCTCCAGCAAACCACTGATTGTCATTCTCTCCACCCACCCCTCTACCCATCTCTGTTCCCAATGGATTATGATTCAGCCCACTACCTAGTTAGGTACACTCAGCCATTTTGTTTGTTTTAAAAGTCAGATAATTCAGGGCACAAACCTGTCATAATCCCCGAAACTATGAGGCAAATGTTCATAGGATGCAGAGCACGAGGAGTGGCGGAGGTGATCTTTGCCTCACAGTTCCTCCTGGTCTGCATTTTTTCTAGGTAGCCATTCTTGGCTGTCCTCAGCATTTCAGGGGGTGTTGCAGCAGCTTCAGGGGACCTTGTACCCTGGCCACTCCAGTCTCCTCCCTTCCACTTCTCCTAACCCCATGATGCCCCCTTCTTCCCCTTCCTGGAGTTGCTTTCTGATATCAAAGCACGGCCTGTGCAGTTCTTTCCATGCTGGCTGTGAGGGGCTGAAGGAGGGGATTGGGGCTCTGATTCCCACTCCAAGCTCAGAGTATTCTCTCTGAGCTCAAAGCAGGGAGTCCAACCTCTGCCATGGCTCCTCAGGCAATGTCTAGGGCCATAAGGTTGTTCCCTTATTTAATACTTTATTGAGGTCCAAGAAGGTATAGCAGGCAGAGCTTTGAACAACCAACACTGTTATAACAACCAAGGCCCAAGTTATAATTCTAAGCCAGCTATGCAACTCACGAGGTGACCTTGAGCCTGTCCCTTAGCCCAGCCTACCGCACAGCATTGTTTGTAAGGATATGGAGAGAACCTTGCATGCTGCATCAAGCTGCTTTATGATATAGAAATGCAACCAATAAATTTGAACAATTCTATTTATCCATTAATCTCTTCACATCAAATGATCTCTCTACATCATCACAAGCATTTATCAGCCTGTCCTCTCTGCTCAGCTCCCTATCTTTAATCCATCTCATTACCTAAAGCAGGAGAGTGGTACCCCTCTCAGCCCAAGGACTGAATTTCATTTCAGAGGCTCTCTTCAAGCCCACATTCTAGTTGTGGATGTGACCAAAGGCAAAGGAGTGGGGCCAACATGCCGGCAATACTAGCATAGTTTTATGGCCAATAACTAAACCTTAGAAGAGGCATTTCAATGTTTTGGAATAGGAGGAAAACTGCACAGATGGGATGAAGCCAACAGAAAGGGGAAAGGGGGGGCTTTCTGGGGAAACCCAAGGGCCAGATTAGGACACCCAGTCTGAGGATCTGCACCTCTAATTTAAACCTGTCTCTGGCTAACAGTTTCCTTAATCTTCCATCCATGTGTGCATTAGGCCAGAGCGAAATTCTTTCTCCTCACCCTGATCCCAGCCAGCCTCTGGTAGTGTCACTCACCTTTCTCAACACTCTGTCCTTGAGAAGCATGTTTGTGCCTCAGCCCAGCTGCTGTTGGCCCACCATGAGTGTGGTTTTCAGAAGTGTTCAACTTCTCATGGATCTGATGCTCCAAGAGGGTTATCTTCTTTTGCAGAGCATCCCGCAGGGATGTGGAGAAGACGGAGCTGTTCCGATTGTGCTGGTGAAGAGAGGACAGGACAGAGTTGTGTTAGCAGTAGTTTCAGTGATTCCATCTTTGCTGCTGTTGTGGATGCCCTGACATTCACCTGGAACTCCCTCCCAGAGCACCTGTTAGAAGTTGCCTCTCTCTTCCTGCTGTCCCCGCATGAAAGCCACCATTTCCTCAAGCCTTCTGCACAGCCTCCTAGTTCTGATCCCCTTTAGCCTAAACCTAAGTATACACAATGAAACAGAATGCCTTGCCCTGCTGTTACTCTTCCCTCCATCCGTTGCTTCATCTGCATGCAATTTTTGATTGCTAGTATCTCAGGGTAGGGAGACCTCTGTTTAATGCCTTGATCATTCTCTCAAATGATCTGCTACATCATCAGTTATTAGTTTTATTAATATTAATGTTCCCTGATCTCTGGAAGCCCATTTCACCTGACTTCAGGTCTCATGGAACAAATGGCCCACTAACCAGGCAATCCTGTGCATGTCTACTCAGTCCTAATGAGTTCAATGGGATTTACCCCCAGTTAAGTGTGCATAGGATTGCAGTCATAGTCAGCTTTCAGGGGCAGCCCTGCCATGCAGCCGGTTGAAACAGCCTGCTTCAGGTGGCACTAACACGGAGACAGGCAGGAATTAGTATCTGAACAGTACAACAAGTGTTGGCCCTGGTGTGAGGAGGAGGAATCTGGGCCCTGCTTCAGGCAGCAAAATGTTCCCATGTTTCTTTCGCTGTCCACACCCTGGAATTGCTAGGTCTAGCGATTTCTGTATTGTCTGCCTGATCTCCAGTTTGGTGTGGGCATGGATATTTAATTCTTGATTATGTATTAAGGGGGAAAGTGAGGGAAAAGCTCAGCAGATTTATTTTTGGTTATCATATTTAGGTTAACACCTTAATTGCTCTGGTAATCCGTGTTTCCACCCACAGCCATGGCAGGAGAGTCATCCTCCATTCCCTCCTCCCAAGCCTAGTTTTGTACAAGCCCTCAAGCACAGAGACAAACCACTGAGAATCAGCAGAATTGAAGCTGATCCTGGATGTCCTGGCTCCTGAGCATTCTTCTAGCACTACTCAGTTAAAATTCCAGAGAAAACATGGGAGTCCTGCTTCATCCTTTTCCTGTCACTTGGTTAAAACATAGCTTGCATGATGGGTGTTTCTCAAACTTGAAAACTGGTGGCCATTTTGGTAGACTAACAAAATTTTGGCTTGTTCTGTACATCAGAGCAGGTAGTTCATATTTTAATCACGTTCGTCTGGCATTCTTATTTAAACAGCAACATGTATTTGCTTGTTTGTTTATTATATTTATATCCCACCTTTCAGAACTCAAGGTGATTACATGTGGTACCCAGGTAGTCCCCCCTTCAAGCTCTGGCCAGCCACAGACTGCTTAGCTTCAATTATGTAGCATGAGGCTGTATATTCATGCAGTGTTTAATATTTTTGGTAAATGAATTCCATTAATACATTCAGAGGTTTCTGTAAGATTATTGGGCATTTTTAAAATCTATAAAATATCACAGATGCTTGGTTTTACAGTTCTCAAAACTGTAAATCTGTGTCTGCAGAGATCACATGCCTATTCTTCACTGCAAAAATGTTATAAAATAAATATACAGAGTTGAGAAAAATACCATTAAGTTCTTAATCCCACTGTTTCTTTGCAAATCTATGTACACAGAATCAACCCCATTACTTCTAAAGTGCCAAGTTTCAAAAAATTCAATGAATAGAAGAAGATTGTTGGGAGTGGAATAGATCTGTACAAGAATCTAGGTGTGAGGAGGGAGGGGCAAAAAGTAAAAATGAAAGTGAAACCTTTTGAACAGTCTACTCCACAAACTTTTGGAACTTTTTGTGTGTAGCCTGAGTTTTATATTATTCTTTCCCAAATGAGATGCTTCTCATCTACTGTTGTATTAGTATTTGCATTACAAATTATTCACATTCAGCCAGTTAATGAAAGAAGCATTTTTAGCCAATTAAAGGGGACTTTACCTTAACAGTTAATAGATTAAATCTTATTACCCTACCAACAGTATTTTTAGGGGAATCAATAAAGCCACATGTGCAAGAACTACACCTTAACGTCCAGTGTAATATTGTAAAGGACACCAGAGCACAACTATCAACTAAGTGGCACTGCCATTCTGGGCAGTATGATGTTTTTCATGGCTCTCCTCACCTTGTAGATCCCATGCTCCTGTGGGAGAACCCAGGAATCCTGCTCTCAGCCTCAGTTTTCTCCCTGACAGATTGATCAGTGCTCCTGGAGAGAGATGGGGTTTCTTTGGCCTGTGTCATCTGCTCAGACCCTTGTTCAACTGAATAATTGCTGTCTTAAGATTTAGTACACAGAGGTAAGGCCTACACAGAATAGTCTGCAAGGCGGCAGATTCTGGTAGTTTTGTTGCAAGAGCAAGTTAGACTCAGGGAAAGTGAGTGCAGATTTGAACCCAGATATCCTGAGTTCTTGTGCAACACAATACACCACTCTTGCATATTGTAAGAGAGCCTGGATAATCAACCAGTGTGTCCCCTCTCTGCCCCCAGTATGTTGTCTTACCCTGGAGTGGTCAGATTTTCTATATTGTCCTCGCATGTGGGAAGGACACTCTTCAGTTACAGATAGAATCTCAAGTGGATTGGACATCTGTTTGGGCTTTTTGCTGAATGTTTTTGAAAAATGTGTTGTCATTTTTTTTTTTTTTGCTCTTATAATGATTTTAATGTTGCAAAAACACTTCACATTTTCTTCAGAAAAGCACTGTTGTTATTTATATTCTAATCTAATCTCTCTCTCCTGAGAGGGTGGGATTCCTGGCTTGCACACTACATGCGACGACACACTACATGGTGTGACTTCCTGCTGTGGAGGGGTGCAGTCAACAGTTGCAAACCAAGCAACTTGCTTCCTGGAGCCTTAATTAGTCCCACTTGAGAGTCAGCCAGCTTCCCAATCACTTACAGCCCCAGACAGACTGAGAGGGAGGAGGGAGGAGGCCCAGATGCACAGGACAAAGGGGACAGGGCCTATTAGGGAATGGGCTCCCATGAGGAGTTAGCAGAAAGCACCTGTGCTGGGGGAACTATGAAGAAGAAAGAAGAAGACATGGCAGGGCTGTGAGGCAGGACAGACAACTACAAACATGCTTCTGCGTGAAGGGAGAGGACAGCCCGTGCACTTGATCTGCCTCACCGAGAAAGCAAGCTTCTATGCGAGTGCCATTCCATAGTTTTATCAAGGCCAGGACATGCTGGCTACTGAAAAGAGCAGGTGATTAGGTTCACTAATTTACTTATGCTCTAAACTCTGTGTGTCCTTCTAAGGCACCCCTATTTCTATAAAGGGATGTATCGGCAGGGGAGAGGAGGGTGTATGATTTCGGGAAGACAGAAAGATAATGTGGGGGAAGGCAACAGGAGGTGAGGAACATGTGGGCAACAAGCTAGCTAATCCAGGGGGATCAGATACAACAGGGATCCTCAGGAATTTCAGGAAAAGTCCATGGAAAGCAGGATGGTGAGGACTTTGGCCTCCCTTGTGGGCCATCCCCTAAGGCCATCTCTGATCACGGTCCCCCTGACATGGCTCCTGCGGATGGGCTCAGATTATGGGTTCTTGTATTGTTGACCCTCATAATGTTACAGCACCAAATGACCACCTGGGTTGCCTGCACAGTGGGGCAGGATCTGTATTTTATATTTGGCCTTCCTCTCTTCCTCCCTCCTAATCTTTTGTTCCATCCTTCTTATCTGTCCTTACATCTCTACTTATTTACTTACTATGCATGCAATCCATCTATGTGTTCTGCAACATGCTATGTCTCTCCTTATCTCTTGGTACCCTTAGCCCTTTTCACATGGCTATTTGGGGAGGCACTTCATTTCTCCACAACTGAGGGATATAATTGTAAGCGACAGAAAGTATGAAAGGTTTGACAGAGAGACCCCATACTGCGTGGACGGCGCAGGTTACCGGGATGGTATTTCAGCTCACACAACAAACTTATGAGGTGAGGCTAAGGGGCAGTCTGGCAGGCCAGGAGAAATCCTAAGGCCACTTTCAGTTTCTGTCAGGAGCAAGAGAAACAGAAATGTAGCATTTGATCTTTGTGTTTTGCCATTCTGGAAAGTGTGGTAGCCCTGAAGATGGAGGCCATTCTGTTCTATGAGTGGCAGATACAGTGGAGGCTGGGGGAAATGAGGCCTTGTGACCTATCTTCTTTCCTAGGCCCAAAATGCTTCTTACAGGCCCTGCTCTTATGTGAGCAGAGATAGATGGATGCATTTATGGAAAAATAAACTTGTCCACAGGAAGAACTGGACAATAATTGTTGGGATATTTCCCCCTCAACCAGAAGGCATATGAAACAGCATTGTTGTTCATGGTACTTAATGTACACATTTCATTGTTGTTTCTGGTCACTGGGTTTTGAACTTTTTCTCTAACATCCCAACAACTTTAACATGAATAAGAGGCAAACACAATATATCATAATATTATATTACATGACATTACATTTATATTCCACCTTTTCCTTTTTGCAAGGAACCCAAGGATATTCTATTTTATCCTCACAACCTCCCAGGTGTGTTAGGCTGAAAGTCAGTGACTGTCCCAGCGTCACCCAGTGAGCTTCACGGTGAGTAGGGGCTAAAACCTGGATCTCCTTAGGCACTGCTCTAACCACCACACCACACAGGCTCTGGATGTGTAACCCCAGGTTGTGGCTTCTGTCCCACAACCTTCATCTCTCAGCTCTCTCCTACTTCTCCACACGGATCAACAGCTGAAGTGCACAAGCTGACAAAGGAGAGAAGAAAGACAGGGCATATCCAGGAATTGGGATGGAAGAAGGGAGAAGTAGCAAATGGATGCTTGGCAAGCTGATAACATATGACAAAAAGGGTTAGAAGTGTGTCATTTAAGGAAAGGTTAAGGAAGCTGTGCACATTTAGACCGCAGGAAAGAAGATTAAACTGGGACTAATTTGGAATCTCTTATCTATTTTAAAAACTGTCCCAAAGAGGGACGGCAGCAATTTAGTCTGTTCACAGAGACTGGCCCATGGGCAATAAATTTGCACTGCAAGAATATAGTTTTAAGAAATAGAAATCTGGGAGTGGGGAGGATGGATGCCTTTTTAACTGGAAGAACTGTACCTTGTATTTGCTAAGCCTAGCATGGTTCAAATATGCTTGGGGATATTGAATTATATTGCATAGGCAAAGGGTATATAATGCCATGTGTAAAATTTTCATGTCTACAAATCTATCCTTGAGCACAATAATTTTCACTGGAGTTAATTCACATTAATTCCTGTGTTTTTCTGAATGACAGTAACAATAAAGTAGGGTTTGATGTGCAGAGAAATTATGAGGTATGCACCAACCTATAAATGTTCTGGGAGTAGAAATTTTGGAAAGTGCTGGAATAGAGACCTCATGAATACAGAGAGAATGTCCTGCTTCATAAGATACATGAATAAATAGGCTTCTATGCTAGTTGGTGAATTGGTGTTTGGGATGGAAGGGATGGATAAATGAATGCACTGATGAGTAAGTGATTCTGCCTGTCTTACTTGGGGTCCTTGAGAAATAGAAACTATTTCCCCTCTAATAGCGACAGACCTCAGTATGTGATTTTCCCATCCAGATGTTGGTGGACTTATTGATTGATTTAAAACGTTTATATGCCATCCTTCATGTATAACATCTCAGGATGGCTTACAATCTTTGAAGTCCACCCCTGGTTATAGTAGAGGTGGGCTTCAAAGATTACATTCTACCTTTTGCATTAAATGATCAAATTATCACTATAGGATAAGATTTTAGCTGCATGAATTTCTGTGTGCATTGGGCAGATGTGAAGAGGCAGCAGAAAAGATGGTGACTCTGGTAGGAAAAGCATGGGGTGTGCAGGGGAAAAGCATTGGGAAAGCTGAACTTACAGTGGATTGTGTGTTAGATGTGGTATCTTTTACAGGGAAAGGATGAACGGCACTGTACAGCATTATTTTTAGTGGATACATGGATTGCCAGGGGCAAACAAGGAAGAAGGAAGGATTAACTGATAAACATAAATTTGAAAATATGATTACTTGCAAATGAGCATTTTGTGACGGTAGATAGATTTATGGACAAGGGAGAGAGAGAGAGAGGATGAAGTTTAGGGATGAATTCAAGAATGGATGGTACATTGGGACAGTAAAGGATATTTTTTATCAAGGAGACGTAACTAGCGTACAAGCCTTGGTACCTGTAGATGTTCCAGTCTCTCCTTGAGGGATTCCAGCATCCTCTCCATCTGGTATACCCCTGCAGATGTCTCCTTGGGTGGATCCTCCATGGTGTTTGCAGCTGCAGCTGTCTTGCGAAAGGCATCATGGGTGTTGTGCCCCACCTGTAGTTCATGGTGCTCCCGTTGTCCAAAATGATGGTACTCATTCTCTCGTGCATGGATTCCTTCATGGAGATCCCGGTGGCCAGCCTCATGGTGGACCCTATGACCATCTTCATGATGGCCTTGATGACCATCCTCACGATGACCCTGATGAACATCTTCATGATGTGTCCTGTGACCATCCTCATGGTGGGCACGATGGCCACCCTCATGATGGCCTCGATGGCCACCCTCATGATGGCCGTGGCCATGCCCGTGGCCGTGGCCATGGCTGTGATTCTCTTCGTGGTGGCCACCATGGTGCTCCCCGGTGTGCCTGCGGGAATGAGCTTCACAACGGCTCAGCTTGGCAGTCAACTCCCGTACTGTCTCCCTTTGATCCAGGATCATCTCCTTCTGGTGCACCACTGTCTCCCGCAGATGCAAGATGGTTTCCTTGGCTTCCTCAAGAGTCCCTACCCAGTGCCCATTATTCCCACTGTTTGCTCCTGTTCCATGTCGCTGCTGGCTGGCTGACTGGCAGCCGTTATCCATGTCCAGTGGCATAGGACTGCAGATAAATTTGGGCAAGCCATATTCAGAGGCTGGTGCCAGAGGGGAAAAGATGAGGCAGAGCAATGCCCAGTGCATGACCATCTCCACAGCAGCGATTTCTCTGGCAAATGGGAAAGGTATGGAGATGGGGGTGGAGAGAGCAGCTTGGGATGGATTTGATAGCCAGGGAAAGAGAATAGAGAAGAATCCAGTTAGAGGCCACTGGTTTAGAGACAAAGCACTCTGTCATGCAACAGATTTTGATGCAACATCGATCATCCAGACCCTCTCTGAGAAGACCACAAAAAATCCCAAGATTCCTGTTCAGTGCCACCAATGAAGGGGTTGAAGGCGTCTACTAGGAAAAAGATCCCAACGTCTTTGATGGAAAAGTGGAAGGTAATCCAGTAGAGCATGTGATGGAGCTACTCAAGGCAAGTGTGGTCGTCCAAACATGAATCACGTCTCGCCCCCGAATGCCCCCAAATCTTGATGAAGATCCTGTTCTCCCTCGCCTAGAACCTGTGCCTTACTACACAGCTGAACCAAACTGCCAGCAAGCACCCCAGTGTTGTAGGCAAGCAGGATTTGTGCTTTTCCTGCCTCTCCTTCCTGTCTAATTTGCCAAATCCGCGGAGATGTGGAGAGAAGCATCGTCTCCCTTGGTGACTGAGAAATTAATGGGCTTAAGGTGTCATAGCAAAGCTTTTTCCTTCATCCTTGCCCAGCCTCTCCACCCTGTTGCTAAGGCCTCTGCTTGGCAGCCTGTATACAACCCCTCCTCATGCTACTGCACCAGCAGATAAGCAATTGATAAGGTAAAACTCTACTCAGAGGAATTAAGTTACCAGCCAGAGACAGAGGGGCCAAGCCTGAGGTTTGAACTAATTCCCTGGTTTGTCTTCTAATGATAAACGCTTATATGGAGTCCATTATTCATCGGTGGATTTAAATACAGGGAAAAAGAAAGGGCAGAAAGCATTTGTAGTAGGTTCTCCATTAGATGAGGTATCCTTTAGAGATGTCAAACAGACAATAAGTATATCAAGAATACTTATGATAAAGATGGGTAGACCCTCCCTTTCCACACAATGGACAAATAAAGTAATTAAAAACAACAATTAAAAATGAAAAGCAATACAATTCAGTATTTAAATATTAACTTGTGGTATGTATGTATGTATTTCTATACCACCCCATAGGCCACAGGGCTCTCTGAGCAGTTTACAAACATTAAAACACATATGCAAACAATAAAATACCCAAGACAAAACGATGATACAGTAAAACAAGCACTAAAAATACTAAACAAATAACTCCAACATTATAAACGTTAACCCCTCCCCCTATACAGCAACAACAATAAGCAATATTAAAATACATAAAATTTTCCATCTTTTAGTTCTTAAAATATCTGGTAAATCTGCCTGGTGCCAAAAAGAGAAGGTGTACCTCTCTGAGGAGCATATTCCAAAGATGGGGTGCCACTAATGAAAAGGCCCTTCTCCTCTTTACCAATCCCTTACTTTTTTGTGGGGGGCTGTTCCCTGAGAAGGAACTCTGTAGCTGATCTTAAAGGCCAGGTAGGAACATATGGGAGCATGTAATCCTTCAGATATCCTGGCCCCAAGCTGTTTGGAGCTTTAAATGTTAAAACACTTCGAAATGGGCCTTCAACTGGTGTCCAATGCAGCCAACAGAGGACTGCTGTGATATGATCTCTGAATCAGTTGAAGTTTCCAGACTGTTTTCAAAGGCTGCCCCATGTAAAGCAAACTAATCCCAGAAGTAAATGATGAAATTAACAAGGATATTGACAAAAGGCAGGCTGGAGTGGCTAGCAGACAAGGTGGTTTTGCACTCTTGCCAGTTTGCACAAGACCCTCAGTATCTTTTTAAGTTTGCAAACATGCTCACAAGGGCTTTGAAAGTTATAATGTGTTTGGCAATCTCATGCAGGGTAGGAGTTTTCTTAGTAAATCAGCCACTTCACTGGACCAATTGCAGAAAGAGGGCTGGCACAGAGAATGAGGAAACGATGGTTTCTTCTACGAAGGTGCCTGCAATGTGCCAGGAGGAGTTAGGGAGAAAACAATGCATAACAAGCTGCAGTGCTTCTAACAGTCAGAAGGAATGTGGGTTATCAAGTGTACAACCAGCTCATTGTGGCTTATCTTCAGAGTGGCTTAGCATGACATGCCAATTTGCTGAGAGAGTAAGAAAGTCCAGTAGACCCTCAATAGGTGTCCTCCCCTTGGTGACACAGGCACTGTTAACACCTTCATTTTCTTATAAACTTATTTAACCTCTTGAGAACTAGTAATAATCAGCAGCAGACACAACCAGGGCTAGCCCCTGCAGCAGAGGTAGTCTGAATACAATAGGTTGCCTTTGCCAAGCTTTGTTTCCTATAATCTGATCCACCCAATTTATCAGTACCACTACATTTGTATATTGCCATTTGCCCCACTTACAGTCTCTAAATCTGTTAGCCTTTGCACAGCTTGGAGATATTAGCATTACCTGAATGGGATTACTAGTCTACTGAATTGCATCCAGACTAAGGAAGCAATCCTATATATGTTCAATGTGAAAAAAGTTCTACAACACCCAGCATACCCTAAGATGTGTTGTGTCTTAACATGCGTAATATTTCTCCCACAGTTTATTGCACTTGGTTCCATGTACCTAAATGAGACACACACCAATCATTGCTAGCTTTTCCCACTGATTTCAATGGAATTTAAGATCAATAAATATAATTTGGATTCAGCCTGCAATCCAGAGTTATAAAGTTATTTTTCCAGGTTCAAATATATTATGCATATAGACAAGAAACAAGCGTCATGAAATGCAGAGGTGTTTCTTCTATAAAACGTCACAGAAGTGTATCTTTTAGAATAGAAATTTTGCATACAAATCTGATAAAATTCTAAAAATTGAGCCTTTTCCATTCATGTTATTGCTATCACTGTTATCATTATTATTATGTCTAAGTTGCTTCAGCAGTTAAGCACTGTTCAGTACATATATTAAACATTATAAAAATTGTACATAGGCTTATAATCAGCCTTCAAAATCTTCTTGATTCCTTTCTAAAGGATTTTAACAAAGTCAAATCCTAATTCTTTTTCAGTGAATCTCAAAGCAAAACTATTAAGCATCTGTTCACTAGATTCAATATTTTTATATTTCTTCTCCTCTAGATGTTTTACTTTCACTTGAGACAATTCATGCATGTCCTACAAGTCAGTGTTCCTTAGGCATGTTCATGCAGCATCATTCTAAAAATACTGAAGCTTCCAGTGTTGCAAAATATCATAGAACAGTAGAGTTGGAAGGGGCCAGAAGGCCTTAGGGCCAACCCCCTGCTCAGTGCAGGACACCAAGTTAAACCATTCCCTGTCCAGCTGCATCTTGAATGCCTCTAGTGTGGGAGAGCCCACAACCTCCCTATGTTATTGGTTCCATTCAAGTAGTTTTTCCTGATATTTAGCCAGAATCTGGCTTCCTGTAACTTCAGCCTGTTATTCCATGTCCTGTACTCTGGGATGATCAAGAAGAGATTCTGTCCTTTCTTTCTGTGGCAGCCTTTCAAGCACTTGTACATTGCTATCACCTGCCCCCAGTCCTCTTCTCAAGGCTGAACATGCCCAGTTCTTTCATTATCCCCTCACAATACTTTGTTTCCACTGGTTGCCCTCCTCTAAACCTTTCCAGCTTGTCTGCAACTTTCTTAAGCTGTGGTGCCCAGAACTGGACACAGCACTCCAGATGAGGCCTAACCACGGCTGAGTAAGGGGGAACTAGTACTTCACATGCTTTAGAAGGGATACTTCGATTAATGTTGCCTAAATATCACATGGCCCTTTTGCAGCCACATCACACTGTTGATTCATATTTCACTTATGATCTACAACAATTCCAAAATTCTTCTCACTTGCAGTATTGGAATGATGCATTTGGTTTCTTTTTCCTGGGTGCAGAACTTGGCATTTGTCCCTATGGAAATCCATTTTGTTGCTTTCAGCCCAATGCTCCAGCCTACCGAAATCACCTTGAATCAAGGCATCCAGAACTGGCAATAGCAAGAGCAGCATCTGCAATCCCATTTGGTCCATTCCATGGCAGTCTCCTCCCCACCATCAGCTACTCAATTACATTGAATTGCAAGTGCTTTTGTTCTTGTTCTCCACAGTTCAAGACCTCATGCAGTCTGGTCCAGAATACATCCTCAGCCTCGGGGTTCTCAGGCCAAGTGAGGTAGCAGTCTTGCTTAATTAGTTTCCTCAGTCGATGATAGGGAGACAACCTAGGAAGGAAGGCATGACTGAAATTTTCCATTCTCTAGTGCACACACACCTACACAGAGAGAGAAGGACTTCATGCTGATGCCTGCTGGAACAGGCAGATGGTCTGTCTACCCAGTATCCCACTTTCCACTGTGACAAGCTATCTGTCTCTGAAAACCCACAGAGTAGAGGGCCACAGCATTCTCTGGCTACTGCTCCTTGGCAACTAGTATACTCCCAGACATGGAAATTCAATTAAATTCAATAAATCCGATAAAATTTAAAGTGAGTCAGCGGCCATTGATAGAGCCATCTTCCAAATCTAATCTTCTTTTAGAGCAGGGATGTGCAACTAAGATGACTACTTGTACCTTTCTGAAAAGGAGTAAATGGTCTACTTAAAAATCAACCGGCATCAACTATGCACCTGCTAATTTATAGGAAAAGACACAAATTTAGAAGGAATGACGATAAGTTAAACATGCAGACAATACTCTTAAATGGACACATATATGGATAGTTGGTCTCCCTTAGTTGAAGCTTACGCATTTTGGATATATTAAATTTATGCAGTTTTATGGAGAGAGCGAGCAAAAACAGATTTTGTTCTGTTTTGTTTAGGTGAAATTCATCATAATTATAACGCACAGAGAAATTCAGCAGACCTCACCAAAGGGGGGAAGGCTATGCCCCAGGTGACCTCTGTATCTACTTGATCTGCCTTCCAGATGTTTTTATTGCTAGGCAATTTCAAGGAGGTTCCTGCCCTGCTCTCCATTTTGATGGTTTATTATATTTAGGGTTGCCTGACATGTGGCAGAACACTCCGTGCGCGTATTGGCCTTATCAGCCACCTGCAGACACACCCTGGACAACTCACAACCCGTTAGATGTCACGGTCCCCATTGAAAACGATGGACGAACATCATATTTAAATTGGAGTTAGATGGGAAATCCCTTCAAGGGGAAGAACAGACCATCAAAAAGAGGACCTCTTCTGCAAAGGTAGGACAAATAGCCACCCTGTATGCAAGGTCTGAGTATCTGTTCTAAGCATGCCCACAGCACAGCCATTTTTCCTGGTTAATACCCCTGTTCTGCACCTGTTTTAAAGCTGTGTTGTGACAGCATTAGGCATTATGTGCATAGAATTCTCTTGTTTGTCCCAAATGTACCACTTCTCAAGTTCACTGGGTGACTCCCAAGTTCTAGGATTTTTTAAAAACTATTTATTTATGACACAGGTATGCCCCCCTCAGAGCCCAAGGGCTCTCTAGATGGCTCACAAAAATAGTGACATATAGAGCAAAACCAGCAAACTTTAAAAAGTAAAATCTAATATCTTAAAAAACAATAATTAACATGGGAACAGGAGGCAATGCACATCAATAAAAGCAGCCAGTAAAAAATAAATAAAACTGTTAACTATACTAAAAACAAGTAGCAGATAAAAAATGTCCTCACCTGTCAAAGGAAACTAAACAATGAGGGGGCCAGTCACACTTCCTTAGGGAGAGCATTCTAGAGGTGAGGCACAATAATAGAAAAAGATCTTTTCCTTGTTTCCCCCTTTACTTCATTTGGGGTGGGACTTGCATAAAAGGGCACCTTAGAAGATCTGGTAGGGAAATAAGAAGACTGGCAATCCTTCTGAAAGTATTAAAAGGGGAGGAGCTGCCTCATCCACTTCCACAGCATTATATATCATTGTATAACCCTAAAGTCCCACCTTTCCACCCTCCTCAGTAACAATGCAGTGATATGAATAGCTCTGTTTTGCTCCCATTTTCATTCTTCCTACTGTGTGCCCAGTCACTCCCCACTTTGCCATCCCACCCACTGGAATGCATGAGGAGAGAAACCTTGCCTCATCATTTTCTTGACCTCACCTCTTGCTGATCAGCTATCTCCCCTTACCTGTAGTTGGGAATTTCCTCCAGAAACACCACAACCAGAGGATCTTGTCCATGGTAATAGAGCTTGGAGCAAGCAAGCTGGATTTCCAGTGAACACCACTCACTCTCTAAGTAATTGTTGTTCACCAGGCATAAAGTCTTGCGGCTTTGGCTTATCCCATTCTGGACATTGTCTATGTAATATTGTCCTGGGGCAAAATCTCTAGGCCCAAAACAGAACCGGAAGCCGGGTTCTCCTTCCTTTTCCAGCTTTTCCAGTAGATTTCTCACTACCCATTCATAGTCCTGACGAGAACAAGAAATGTAGGCATCATATTGGTAGTCCTGCCCATTCTGATGGTGCCATTGCCTATGGCCCCAACCTCTCAGCAAGAACCAAGCATGCCTAAGGGTCCAACCAAACTTGGCATAAACCAGAGTTGTAATCAGGAACAAGACCGTGAACAGTGTGGTAACAGAAAAGAAGTACAGCGCCAAGTCATTAAAACAGAAGGACAGGTCTTCATCAGTAAAGAAATGATTAATGACCCCAGGGCCAAAACATTTATAGGTGTCCAGCTTGGCCACTTGGATATTTGGTTCAGACAGAGACCAGTTTTGGAACCAAGCATTCTCACAAGAGCATGTCAGGCGGTTGTCAGAGACATCCAAATATTTTAGAGAGGAGAGTTGATTAAGCAGTAATTTGGTAATGTTCCTCAGCTTATTCTTACTCAGGAAGAGCTGCTCCAGAGCTGACAGATCAGAGAAGACTTTTTCAGGCAGGTCCCAGATGGCACTGTTTTCTATCCAGAGTTGACTTAGGTTATGTAGCCCTTGGAAGAAATCTAGACGAATTTTCCAAGAGTTAGTCTTATCTGGGACAATGTCAGAGAGGTCTAGGGACTCTAGGCTGGTCAGGTTAATAAAGGAAAGGTTTAGGAACAAGGTACTGGGATTACCCTTCAAGGAGAGGTACTGTAGATTACTCAGGCCTTGAAACAGGTTGTCAGGGGGACAGATGGGCATACGAGGAGCCTGAGAGCCAAGGTCCAGCTTACGAAGGAAGTGGAGACCAGAGAAGGGGCTTGGATAATCATATTTGTTGTAGGTAAATAGATGGTTGTGACTGAGATCCAAGGTTTCCAGTTTTTTGAGTCTTGAAAAGATTCTCAGGGACAACTTGTACAGGAGATTTTGATCTAGGGCAAGGTAGGTCAGAGAGCTGAGACTATCAAAGGCACGTCTCTTAATGGTGAGTATTCTGTTTTTTGAAAGCAAGAGAGTGTTCACATGCTTGAGCATAAAAGCATGATCCTTGAGTAGTTTGATGCTGTTCTCCCTCAAGTCCAAGAACTCCATTTTACGAGCATAATGGAAAGTGGCACGGGTGACAGCCGTGATCTGACAGCCCTGTAGGATAAGTGTCCTCAAAGCTGCCATGCCAAAAAAGGATCGCGTTTGGAGATTCGTCAGGCGGTTTTTTGAGAGATCAAGATAGCTCAAATGTGTCAAAGCTTGGAAGACATAATCCTGCAACTGGGTAATTGCATTTCTCTTCAGGATCAGTTTACGTATCTGCATATTCTTCCCCCAGGCGCTAGAACTAAGGTGCATTATTTTGCACTTGTCCAGGGAGAGGAACTCCAAGTTCTGGAACCTGTCAAAGACTCCATTTTTCAGGTTCTTATTCCCTGTGGTAGAAAGATCCAGCCACGTGAGGTTAGTGCAGGAAGCCAACTGCCTCAGTTGAGTGTCATCCAGCTGGGAATGCTTGATGTCCAAAGAGGTCAAAGATGGCAGGTTTTGAAAAACAGAGCACGCTGCTGACATAGTCCAGTTCATTGATGGTTTCATACTACTGAAGTGCAGCATGGTCAGGTTGGGGAGAGATACGTTGATAAGCTGGGAGATGTTTAGGGGGTTCATATCCAAGGACAACTCCACCAAAGCAGGAGTGGCTTGAAATGAGTCAGCCATCACATAGAACATGTTGTTGTTGGTTAGGTTCAGTTGTTGCAGGTTCGGAAAGGAACAGTTGGACAAATCCAGGGTGAAAATGTTGTTGCTGTTTAAACTGAGGTTTCTCAGGACAGGGAAAGTGACCCAACTGGGACCCATACATGGAGTCGAGATCTGATTGAAACTTAAATCCATGTAGGTAAGATTGAGCAAGTCTTTCACCGCTGTTGACACTTCCTGGAGACTGGAGAGATGGTTGGAGGGAAGATGAAGTTTCTGAAGAGACCCTTGGAATATGAGGGAGCTGGGGTGCAAGGCAGCAATTTTGTTGTGTCCCAAATGCAGCTCATGTAGATTTGTCAGGCTGGTCAACATGTAGGGCCCCAGAAAGGTCAGATAATTCCAGCTCAGATCAAGTACCTTAAGATCCCTCAAGCTTTGAAAGGCATTTGACTTGATGCTTGATATTTGGTTGTGGTCCAGATAAAGTTCCAATAAATGAGGAAGTTGGAGAAAGTCCATAGAGGTCAGCTCCTCTACATTATTGTGAGAGGCATTGAGCCAACGTGTGGAATTGGGCAGATGGGAGGTGACAGAACTCAGGTTGGAGATGGGATGGCCAGTACAGAGCGCAAGACCTGGTGTTGTAGGAGAAAGGATACAGTGACTGAGCTGAAAAGAATCAGTGCCCCAGTGCGGCCATGAGAAGAGGACTGGCAGCAGCCAGAACATCAAAAGGACTGGGCTGAAATGGGGCATAATGAGACAGAAGCACTGTGGGTCTATTCTCTGTATTTCACATACTCTGCCTTTTATCCTGCATGAGCCATTCTCCATCTTGCAACATCTTACAAATATCATGCAGCAGATTCATATGCTCCTAAACAGAAAGGCAAAATGGTTTTGATTAGTTAAACTGGAGGTGGAGTGAAACCTATGCTAACACTTGGTATGATATGAATACAGGTACTTCTATACCATTTATTCCCTTTTTATATACACAAGAGAAGTTTATCGTCTACTTCCTTCAGAAGACTTCACAGTATAGCAGAATTCTCTCATTCATAATTCATTCCAAAACAGCATGTTGCATTTATAGATGAGACTGGATCAAGACATTCTGTTAAACTTAGAATAAATTAATTGAAATCGCTGGGACTTTGGTTAGCTATAAGCATTAGGTTCCCTTGCTTGCAACGGGGATGCTTTCAGTATGACTACAACTGGATAATCTAACCCATAGAACGAAACTGTCATACGCGAGGCAGTGATCATCCCCTCTATGACAGTGTGGAACACCTTGAGAAGGACTGAAGATGGTTCCTTCAGTGCTGCACATTCAGATTTTTTCAGCCTCTCCAAAGAATGCCTGCCCAAAAGGCAATTATATTGACTGGGTTCAGACAACACAATAACCCAACAGTTGTGTATGGATTGTTATTGACACATGCACTGTTGTTGAAACATGATTATTATGTTGTCTGAATCCAGCCAAGATTTAAAAAACCATGATAACCCACAGTTCGTAACAAACCATGCATTCTCTTCATGGGTTGTTCAGAGTTAGCATGCCACAGCTAGTGAGCACAGCTGGGTTCAGGCAACACAATTATCCATGTTTCCGCAACAACCTATGATTCATCAAGAACTCCCACTCAGCCCATACTAAAAATGGGTTATCATATTGTCTGAACCCAATAACCATTACAGCTTCTGGGGATGGTTTCAGGTTGAGTCAAACCCTCAAGCTCCACTGGCTCTGCAGCACTGGCCTCACAGGCCAAGCCTGCCAGTAGGACGAGAGCAGGCATTGTTGTCTGAATAATGCAAGGTGGGTGGCATGTGTCCTACTTTACAGAGGACTGTCCTCTATTTCAGAACTGTCCATTCCAAGTCTGCTATAAAGAAAAACAGCAAGCAGGAATACAGCTCCCCTGCCCTACTAAAGTAAGATGTATTGTATTTCTATTTAAATTACTGTCATTATTTCTCATTTTTCATCTGTATGTGCAAATTATTATTATTATTATTATTAGAACATTTCTATGCCGCCCCTTGCCGAAGATTTGAAATTGGCATGTACAAACCTTCTGCAAAGCACCACTCCTTTATTTGTTCTTCTGGTCACCCGTTTCCTCTTTTGGGGTGCTGTGTTAGTCTGGCAATCAGACTTTTTCAAGCTCTGAGCCTAGCAAACGATGGAAAGCGGAAGCCCTTCTGTGTTCAGCGGCAGGCCTGGCTTGTGCAACTGAGCCTTAACTCATTCAATGAAAATTATTTCATTTCCTTTATTTCTCCCCCTTCAAGTATGGCCCATCAGCCAGATGCAGCTGTTTCTTTCTGTGTGGCACTTTGCAAAATGTGAGAGGCCGGGCAGCGCTAGTTCCAGGTTCCTGAGGAGCCATGGGCACAGCCCTCCCAAGGGACCTCTCCCCTTGACGAGACCACCCTCTCACCACCACCGTCTGCCACTGCCTTTGTTCCTCACCCTCTTCCTCACTTTTATTTATTTATTTAAAACATTTGTATGACGCCCCCATCGCAACGAAGCCTCGGGGCGGCTCACAACAGAAACAAAATACATAAATAAATAACAATATAACAATAAAAAAATTATTTAAAAACCTCCGGTGCATCTCGGCTAAAAATTTAAAATCCTATAAATACAAATAATTTAACCATTAAAATAAGTTTTAAATAAAAAGGTCTTAGCCTGATGCCGAAAAACAAATAACGGCGATGGCGCCAGGCGGACCTCTCTGGCTCTCACCATAGCCAGCACTTCCCTGCTCAACAGGCAGAGAGCCGCGGGGCGGGGCGGGAGCTGGCCATGCCTCTCCCCTCCATCTCACTGCCACAGCTAGTCCAAAAGCCACAGAGGGGGGCAGGGGAGCAAGCCGGGTGCCATGGTGCGACTCTGGGGATCTCTTCCGCGTGGGCTTCCGCTGTGGTGGGGCCCTTGGCACATGCCCTGCCGGCCATGCCTACTGTCACTGCCCATTCTGATCTGGAAGTACCCCAGCACAGACTAATACAGAGAGCTTTTGAGTGGTATAGAAATGAAGTAAATAGTAATAGCGATAAATAACAACTATGGCTTGTAACCATTCTGCAACTGAAGCCCAGTAGATCTTTGCTGGTGGTGCTTTCCGTCTGTGCCAGCCCTGAAGCCAGGTCTCTGCCCAGAGGGGAATGCCATATAAAATGTATCACAATGAAAACAACAGAAGAAGGGGAGCACGGTGGAGGGTGAAGCAGGATTGTAAGCTGCAAGTGCGAAGAAAGAACAACAGGAAATTTTGGAAGAAAGAAGAGCAGCCAGTGCTGGCTCTAAGGTTAGGGGTCTTTGGGAAACATGCTTTGCCGGATCGCCCTCCAGGAGAAGATGGTCAGGAAAAACTTGCTTGCACTGAAAACGCATTTCTTTCAAGGCATAAAGTCCTCTACCTTCGCTATGGTCACTGGACTATTACTGTACAAGCTGTGAGGCAGGGCAGAGAAAATACCCACACATTCCAATCTCAACATTTCCTCTTTGCTCTCCCCTTCTAAACTGTTTTACCAGCTGTGCCTGTCCCTAACACCAAACTTCCTAGCCCAAAAGGAGCAGACCTACCTTCTGCCTCTGATCTTTGAACGGTCTTTTCTTTATCCATTAAAACCGCTCCTCAAATGCATCTTCTCTCTTTTGCTGCAGTGTAAGAATTTCAATTTACGTTGCGGTTATTTCCCCAATATGTGGGCAGCCCCATGATCCAATGCCCTCCTTGGCCTGCTTGAAAGTGAAACCTCTCTCTCTCTCTCAGAAAAAAAAGATCTTTAGTATTCGAAATGAAAAAAGGAAGTAGCAAGAAATGTTCCTTCTAGCTGGACTACCCTGGGAAATTTTCTTTTCTCTCCACCTTGAGACACACACACCCAGCTCCACATAGTTTATTAAACCCTCATGCAAGGGGAAAAAAGTGCACCACATGCACAAAACCTCAGTACACTCAAGTCAGTGATTTTGACCCCAGGAGGAGCAGTGGGAGGTTTTTTTTCCCCACTCAGAATCGTGCCACCAAATCTGTTGGCCCTGCAAGCACAGTGAAGTATTCCATATATGTGTTTGCCTTTGAATTCCCAAGCACGGGGGGGGGGGGACACAACAGCTTGAAGAGGGGCAGTATTGAGAGGAAATAAATACTGTGGGAAAGGATTAAATATTCATCCTCTCTCCTGCTGCCTTTCCAAAGACACAGCTTCCCAGGGGTACTTTTTTCTTTCAAAAAACAAAAGATTGTTGAGGTTTCATTACATGACTCGGGTATAATATAGTGGGGTTTTATTTGAGGTGGGGGGATTGCATGTTTATCTTGCCCTTCTTCTAAGAAACTCTGGGTTACACACGGTTCCTCCTTCCCCTCTCATTTTCACAACAACCCTGTAGGGTAGGTTAGGCTGAGATATCGCTCAGATCACCCAGCAAGCTTGACTTTAGCAGGGATTTTGCCCCTCCCAATCTTACAACGCCCATGAGCCAGATTATACATTTAGAAAGAAATCAAATGGTATAGGATTTCATAGACTGTACCATTTCAGTCTGTAATTAGGGGAAACACATGTTGTGTACCTGCCCCCACGAACACAACAAAACCACCGCACATGGAAAACTAATGTGAAATTGGGAGTTTTAAACTCTGAACAAGCCTTTCTTTTGGTTTTGAATGGTCAGTAGTTACCTACCTTCTAGTCACTGAGAAATGACAGCACAAGAAAATTGCTGCTCTCTTGCCCCCCTTTGGCCTTTCTTAGCAGGATCCGACTGACCACTGCCGTAAGCGGGATGCTAAGCCATTGGTCATATCCAGCAGGGCTCTTACCTTCTTATATTCACAGGAAATATTTTAGGAAAGTCAGCCAACCCATAGCAAGAGACTTGTAAATCTATACTTATTGCTTCCTCATAATTCCTCATTGTTATTTTACATGCTCACGAAGATGCTCATTTAGAAAGTATTACTTCACGGATCAGATGCTTCTAGTTATGTTATTTCTTCAGGAATGTGTGTGGAAAAATAACAGGGAAAGCCCCTATTTTCTGGTCCCCATTACTCATAGATCCCTGTCTGTCTTTCACCCATATGTTTGTCTTGTAAGGTACGGATGGCTTCTTTGTATGAGTTTGACTCGGCATCCTTCAGGGTTCACTGCTTTACACAGGCTTGTGGGAAGTTAAATATCTGAATACCTGCCTGTACATGAATATAAGGCAGTGGAAACAGCCTGATATTATTTCTGCTTGGGGATGAGGTTTCTTTACCTATACCACGTTTAGCTATACCTCAGCAGAAAAAGCCTCCCAGAACAAAGTTCAATGATCACCTGTACTCAAACTTATACTTTTAAAGAAAAAGGACTGAGGAGGAGGAGAAAAAGGAAATTCCAACACTAGATTTTAGTTTTATATCTGGTTAGAGAGCCAATGTGGTGAAGTAGTTAAGAATGCGGAACTGGGACACAGCAGGTCTGAGTTCTTGCCCCTACTCAGCTCTGGCATGTCATAGCCACTGGGTGATTATGGGCCAGTCACAGACACGCAGCCCAACCCACCTCAAAGGGTTGTTGTTGTGAGGATAAGATTGGGAGAAGAATTATGTAAGCTGCCTTGAATTCCTTGAAACGAAAAAGGTGGGATATAAATATAATAAATGAATGAATCGCTCTCAGCCACTGAAACATCACCTTCAGCCAAGCAAAATCTTACAGCTTCAGCTTCCTCTGGCCTAGAAGAAATCTCACAGTGCTTTGTTAAGGCATCCTATAGAAAGCAAGTCTCGGAGACAGGCATTCAAACTTGATGTATCTTTCCATGCATGTTTTCAAAATACTGTAAAGCCACCCTTCATCCTCAAATAAACCAGAGTGGTGTCCCAGAAGTATAACCAAAACAGGTCATATACAAAAGAATGTACACTCAATCCAGCGAAACACGATTGTCATGAGAAGACAACAGCAACAACCATTGATACCTTATCATCCTGCGAGCAGGCGGACCTGCTGCCATGGGTGACTCACAACACAAAGGCAAATCTCAGTGTACCTCTAAGGAATAGCCTGGCACCCCTCAGTCTGCCTGGAAGTGGCTGTAATTTTGAACTGCAGATGGTGCACTTGGAAGACTCGTAATGACAATTTTCAATACAGCTCCAGGTAACAGAGTTAACACCCGCTTTTGCTTTTATGGGGAGTGGGAGAAGGCCATTGTGGTGTACAACGTGCTGGTAAAAGGGGGTGAACTGGTATTAGTACTGGGGTGTGATCAGCACATTTCAAGGCTCACTCGACTGGGCCCTGTGTTATGCCCCCCACCCAGAAGTTCTGGCCTATCCCCTCCTTCTGACCCAGCGAGCTGCAGGGCTCTTTGTCTTTCTCCACCACAGCAAGTGTCAGAAACAGCCAGCAGGGGGCAGCCCAGAACCAAGATGCACCCCCTACGCAGGATTGCCAGCAAAAACCCCTCAGGCCCTGGACTTCCACTACAGGGGGCCTGGACGGAGTCCCGTGGGAAAAAACAAGTCGCCCAGAGCTGGCACTGCATGGCTGGGAAAGGTGCCAGCCCTGTAAAGCAACAATGGCAAGCAGAGCCAAGCCTCCTGCTGAGCAGTGCCAGCGTCGCTAAGGCCCCACTTCCAGACCCACCAATGTCGCAAACCAAATTCGGAACCTGTCTCTGGATTAATGTAACCTCATCTCGCCACCGGCCCACCACAGTGACTCACAGCGTCTGTTGCGCAGACTTGGAACTTTGGATCTGGCACCTGCCAGGGCAGACTCCAAAAGGCATCCCACGGCTTGCATGCATGCCGCCGGTGTGTAGATTGCAGAGCAGATGTGTACTGCCAACTGCTTTGGGCTGATATGAAAGTCAACTTCTGATGGGGAGTGGGGGTGCTCTCATCAAGCCCCCCCCCCTTCAGATTAGGCACATCTCTCTGCACTTTCACAATGGCATATTTGACCTCTCTTCTAGGCCTAACTCACACCCCGGCCTGAGGAGAGGGCAAGGCAGGCGTGTGTCCTACTTCACAGGGGGTAGTCCTCTCTTTGAAGGCTCCCTGTATTTGACGACGGCAGAGGTGCAGGCTGCTCCCATGGGACCCACTGACAGCTGGTTGACATCTGTGGCTGGCATCGCACCCCTGCCCATTTTAGCCTTTCCCCTTGGTCACAGAGGCATGGAGGTCTGCGCCTCTCTTGGCACAGGAAAGGGACCTGGCAACCCCTGGCTCAGGATGGCTCTTGGGGTCCCTGTGGCGTCCCTGAGCAAACTCTGCAGCGGCTCTTCCCGGCACCAGTCATGTCCCTCCCAGCCCTGGTTATCTATGACTGGAGCTCCCAGAGAAGACTCCTCCAGGGGGCAGTGTGGAGGCTAAGCCCCAAGCTTTGGAAGGAACTGGGGCTCCTCAGACTGGCATGGGACACTTGGAAGGCCAGGGATTTTCCACCTTGAGGCTGTGGGTTCGTGGCCTGAGCGTCCTGCACCCCTGCTCTATTTGAAGGGCTGTCCAGTCCAGTTCCAGCTGAAAAAGGAGGAACCATAAGAGGCCTCCCCATTACCCATCAGTCCAGAGCACATGGGCAGCCACCTGGCAGTCAGGCAGGTCACCTGGTCAGAGCTTTGAATACCCACTATGATGGTGTGCATTATAGCACTGTTTGAACAATAGCCATTGTTTCTAAATTTACATCTAGCCATAAATTAGCACTTGTAAACATTAAGCAAATCAGTGTTACCTTTTTTAGTGATGCCTTTTCTCTTTTTTGGTGATGTGGAAGTGTAGACCCTGGTGAACCCAGATGCTCCACCTCTTTGCTCTGATCTAAAAGTATCTAACTGCAAAGTGTCAGGGAGTGTGTGCATGTCGGGGGGGGGGGCAGGTGTATGTGTGGAGCTCAGCATATAGCTAGCCATGCCTGCTCAGCACACAACCTGACTTGAATCCTTCCAAGCCGCCTGGCATTTCCAAGAGCAAGCAGCCCTGTTATCATATCTTCATTGTAAGTGAGAGCAGAAGTTAAGAGATATGGACTTACCTGCATCCCCCTGTGGAACTTGCAGCTGAAATCTGCACTGGTGAATTCCTGGTGTACTCTTACAGTGAAAGTACACATCAACAACTGACATCCGCCCCCCCCCCCCCCGCCACACGTTTTTTAATTTTTGCAAATTAAATGTAGCTGGGTTGGGGAGCTGTTCTTTGATCAGGGAAGCAGTGGGGGGGGGCTCGGGGTGTTTAACCCCCTCCTCACTGCCATCATGTATGTTCCTGTTCTAAACTGCCCCTCCCAAGCTGCTGCAGATTCTGCAGGGGAATAAATTCGGGCACCTGTATCATGTCAGTTTCTTCTCTGACACATGAAGTCCCGGGGAGCGGGGGGGGGGGGATTTAGATTTGGGGCAGGGCCATGCATTCCCTTCCACCCTTAGCATCAGAGCCAAACATGTCAGCCGAAGGGTTTCCCATCTGTGTTGCAGCATCCAGACTTCTGTAAGGTGGGGCAGCAGCACTTTAGATCAGGGGCATGGGTCCAAGGGCCAAGACCAGTCCTCCAAGAATTCCCGCCTGGCCAGTTGCCGTTCCCAGCTGGCCCCGCCCCTCTTCCCAGGCCCCGCCCCTTCTTTCACGGTTTTGTTTTGCGCAGTTTCTCCTTTCCCTTAAAGCCCGACATGCCTTCCCTAGAAGTAGCTACCGGCAGTAAGGGCCTTTCCTACAGTATGTTGGCTTTTTCGGCCTACCCCCTTTTGCCTTCCGCCCTGCCCACGACCGACGCACAGCCGCCAAGAGCGCTTCCAAGAGGGAATCGGTGCTGGTCCTGTGCATCCCTTCACTTACTCCAAATTGAGATCAGCCAGCCTAGCATATTCAGGGGCCCACTTGCCCGTGCTGCTCCGGGAAATGCCGATCTTCGGCTGCAAAGGCCAGCCCAAGTGGCAGCACTGCCCTCCCAGCCGCTCACTGCAAGGGCTCTTCAACACCCTGCCCTGCTCCCAATTTACTGCTGACTCAGAACCGCCTAACCAGAGAAACGAATGCATCTGCGGTGCTATTTTTAGTAAAAGGGAAGAAAGTAGCCACCATTTTTTCCTGGAAAGGCTCCAGTGCCTATTAAAGCAGCATGGCAGACAGTCGGTGTAAACAACTTCCAGGCTGCAGCATCTCTAAACTGGAGAAAGCTGCATTTGTTACATTCCAGCCTTTTGTGCAGCCTTTAACAACATTACAATCCTGATGGGGGAAAAGAAAGTGTACATTTTATTTGTTTGGTTTTATTATGACCAATAAGCTCTCTGGCTGGATTCACATCAGTTAATCAAACACAAAAGAAACAATAAAAATAACAAATGCAATAAAACACAGTATACAATTCCAGGGCATAATTTAAAACAGTTAAAAATTTCAATGTACAAAAAAATAAAACAGTTTTAATGTCTAAAACATGTCCATTAAAAACAGACCTAATTAAAATAGCGGATATAACCCATAATATACCATTAAATGTCTGGGAATAGAGGGCAGTTTTAACCTGATGCTAAAAAGAGGACAAGGCTGGCACCAGGTGGGCCTCAGCAAGCAGCCCATTCCACAAATGGGGGCCACCCCTGAAAAGGCTGTCATCCTTGTTGCCACTTTCAGTGTCTCCCTTGGAGGCGGCAGTTGGGGAAGACTCCAGGCAGGCTGAGGTGGGAAGAGGCATTCCATTAACTATTAAGGTCGCTAACCATGTAGAGCTTAATAGGTTTTAAACAGCACCTTGCATTTATTTATTTGTTGAGTTACCCCCCCCCCCCCAAAAGGCTCTCTAATAAGCAGCCAGTGTGAGCCAGCCAGCATTGGTGATATATGTTTGTTTGTTTATTTATTTATTTATTTAAAACATTTCTATGCCGCCCCCATCACAACAAAGCCTCGGGGCGGCTCACAAAGAATACATAAAAACATACATAAATAATAGTAATGTTTGAAACTTCTGGTCCCAGTTAATAATCTGGCTGCTGCATTTTGCACAAGGTGCAGTTTCAAGGGCAGCCCCATGCAGAGTGCATTGCAGTAATCTAATCTGATCCCTTTTGTCTCTACAGAACCTCTGTGCTTTTAAGAGCTTCACAATGTACAGTTGTTCAACAGGTGCAGTTTCACTGGCCTGGAAAAGCAGTGATGGAAAAAGCTAGGCTGAATGTTTATCTATTATGCAACTTTTAAAAGAATACCACCGGAAAAGCTGGGAGGGGTGGCCAGATGGAAAAGCAACCAGGGTTCTTGCATAGCAGCCTACCTCTTTGGAAATACCCTCCTTTAAACGACTCTTAAAGGCACAAGCACTCTTTTGCATCTGGCCAACTCTACAGAACCTCTGTGCTTTTAAGAGCTTCACAATGTACAGTTGTTCAACAGGTGCAGTTTCACTGGCCTGGAAAAGCAGTGATGGAAAAAGCTAGGCTGAATGTTTATCTATTATGCAACTTTTAAAAGAATACCACCGGAAAAGCTGGGAGGGGTGGCCAGATGGAAAAGCAACCAGGGTTCTTGCATAGCAGCCTACCTCTTTGGAAATACCCTCCTTTAAACGACTCTTAAAGGCACAAGCACTCTTTTGCATCTGGCCAACTGTCATAACTTCTGCACTGGGTAACAAAGACTATGGCCTTTAATTGATGAACCCTTAGATGGAGTGTTCCAGAACAATTTAATTCAGAAAAAGGTATCCCTGATTACACTGTCAGCAGATTATTTTTTGTTAAATATATTTTAATGCAAATTAAAATTATAAAGTTAATTTTATAAAGTTAAATATAATTAAAGTTATATTTTCCATAACTGCAGGTGACAATTGCCAGTGTAGAAATACTACTTATTCTTTCATTTAAAAGAGTTATAGCTCACTTTAGGGTAAAACTTTCAACAATTAAAAATGCAAAGTATGGAGTCATTCCCTAAAAACAATATTTTATACATAAAGAATTGAAATGACAAATAGCATGTAACAAAACAGCAGCAAATAAAACCTTCATTAAAAGCACAGTACCCAAAAATTAACTGTTGGTGACCGAATTGAGATGGATCAGACCAAAAGTCCATTATTCTGTTCAGACAACCATCAGGACTAGTAGCCATTAATGCCTTCTCCTCCAGGAATTTCCCATCAGTCAACCAAGTGTGTCCTACGTACACTTCTTGGACCAGAAAGCATCACCTCAGATGCTGATTTAAAGCCCAGGCAGGGCTTGCATGGATGGAGAGAGTCTTTCAGATAACCAGGTCCCACTCAGTTCCCAATTCTCTCATTCTCCATGAGAAACAAAACAAAACAAAACAAAAAACCTGGGAAGACTCCTCTTCAGAACTTGAACCCACTGCAAGCCAGTGTATAAAATGAGACCAGCGCAAGACATTTTGCTGCCTGAGGCAGCACAAGAAATGGCAAAGGGACATGGACTTAAGGCGAGCCAAGTTATTTTGGCAGGTGGTGCAGAAAACCTCACAAATCTTCTAAAACTCCTTCCTGGCAGTAAGACAAAAACTCAAGGGGGTCAGTTTACATGGCTGCTGCATTCCACTGTGACTTATTCCAACTACAGTGGACTGCAGTGCATGCAAATATTCAAGCTGTGTCAGGTGGTTGCCATGGCTTGTTGTGATGACCAAACCCAGGGCAGGGTGGGTTGTTGCTATGGGCAACAAACTACCCACAACAACAAGCCAGGTGAGCTGCAGCCGTTATGCACTCCAGGCCAACCTCTGATTGCTTCCAATAATCACTTTTATTATGCCATCACCCTGCCTCTGTCACTGGGGTCCGGACAATTTATTTATTTATTTATTTATAGCCTGCCTTTTTCCTACAAAGGGCTCAAGGCAGCTTACATCATTCTCCTCCTCCATCTTATCCCCACAACAACAACCCTGTGAGGTAGGTTGGGCTGAGAGTCTGTGACTGGCCCAAAGTCACCCAGTTGGCTCCATGGCTGAGCGGGGACTCGAACCCAGATCGTCTGAGTCCCAGTCCCACGCTCTTAACCCGGACAATGTCATCTGCCTCTCATAACCCTGCTGTGTATTCCTTCCACATCAAGAAAAATATGGAAGAAAATCCATCATGGGGGAAAAAGAGTAGCTTCATCTTTCCTTCTGACTGGCAACACGCCTAATAAATTAGAAGCACATCTTACAAAACATACAGCTAAGAATTTGTCACCTCTTCCTGACCCTGGAGCCTGAGGCATCAACTTCACTCTGCACTGTGGTAGGATTGGCCCCATGTAAATCCAAGTATATTCTCTCTGTCCCTCTCAGTAGAACTATGGGAATTTTTCACATAAATGTAATACTGACTAGAAACGCCTCTTGATTAAAGAAATTCTAACAATAAGTACAGCTTTGTCTGACCATGTTGAACAGAGCAAAATTTAATTTTTGGATGATTGTTCTACTTAAATATTTCCTGGACATCTTTCAAGGCAGCAGAGTCCTTCCAAAATGCACAATAAAAATCAATGTGGTAATAACAATGATAAAAACAGAAGGAAAACAGTAAGAACTCAACTAAATAGCAATAAAACCAGCCACAACAGCAAACATATCAGGAGAAGTTCTGAATAAAATATATTTTCAGGACCTTCTTAATAGTCTTCAGTGAGGGGACATGGTGCCCCCAAGTGGCAATGTATTCTAGATTAGTGGGGCCACTGCAGAGAAGGCCCTGTCTTGTGCAGTAATTCCCCACTGCCCTCACTGGCAGGCAAGTAAGAACGGTCTCTCTTCAGGATCTTACAGATCTTCAGGATCTTACAAAGATCTCTTCAGGATCTTTGCAGGCTGATATAGGCGAAGTGGTACAAGGAATTTCATCCCAACCTGTTTAAAACATTAAAGTCAAAACCAGCACTTTCAGCTGGGATCAAAAACATGCTGGGAGCCAATATAGCCGGGGCCTATAGATACTATAGGATCATATCACCTTCCCTCCAACAACACTGCTATGGCTGCAGCCTGCACCATCTCTAGTTTATAAACCATCTTCAAAGGCTGCTCCATGTACAGTTCGGCACGTTATAGGGGAAGATTTTGGGCTTCGGGAATAATGTGTGAATTTTAAGCCTATTTGCTTTTGCAGCAGAAGAACTCTGGAGAGGCAGCTGGTGTGGATGAGAATTAAAGCCAACATGGCTTAAAGAACCATCAGCTTCTTAAGTTCTGAATTTTTACACCTCTGTTTGTTTGTTTCTGGTTTGGCTGAAATCTCTACAACCAAGAACCTCCTAAATGCGTAATTTGGAAAAAGATTCACTAAAGGGAAGATGCACAATCTGAATGTTGACCAACTTTTAAACTCCAGGGACTCACCAGATTGCTCTCACCACCAGGAAAAAAAGACGTTTCAGATTCCAGAGCTTAGATTTCCCAATATTTGGCAGTAACAGACAGTGTTCCTCTAGAGTTATATGTACTATGTTTTAATGTCCCATTTTAGCCATTTGGCGAGAGCCTGCCGCGTCTTCCCCCATCTCACGACAGCAAGGTATCTGCCTGCGTGTGGTCTGTCGGCTGAGGATCCAGCCGCTTTGGCCTTTCGCAGCCTTTTCCTCCCTCGCTAATCTGGCTCCGTCTCCCCTCCTCCTGCTTCCCCCGCTGCAAGACCCTCCCCCTGGGCCCCCCAACCCCACCCCCTTTCTAACACGCCCCGACCAGGCCCCACCGCGCTTACTGCCCCGGCATCATGTCCCGCTCGGAGGAGGTAAACCGGCTCACGGAGAACGTCTACCGGGTGAGCCTGACTTCGCGAGCCTCGTTCCGCCACTTCCCGGCTCCATCCTCTCTCGCCCTTCTCTCTTCCACCGCCGCCTTCTTTCTCCAGATTTCCTTCCACTCCTCAATATGTCTTTCCCCTTCTGTTTATTTCACCTTCTGCTCTCCCACCGCCACCCCTGCTTCCTTCTCTCTCTCTCTCTCTCTCTCTATATATATATATAGAGAGAGAGAGAGAGAGAGAATGTCCATGTGTGCATTTTTCTTCTTTTCCCTCTCAACTTCTGTTCCTCCCTCGCTGCTCCCCTCCCTGCTTTCTGTTTCCGTTTTTCCCTTCCTCCGCCCCAACCCTACTGATTCCTGCCATACACTCTCCATCACCACCTCTTTGCTTTCTGGTTGCTCTCACCCGCCTTTTGTTCCCCTCGGAAAGATCTGTCGAGGGCTGGCGGGGGATGAGTTCAGGGAAGGGGAAACGAGGCAGCGTGGAAAGGAGGAGAGACAAGTGGGAAAGACGGTTCGTACAAACCCCTTTCACCTGCCCCTTCCTTTTGCATCCCCAGCCTTTGCACGAGTACAGTTTCCCTGATTTGAGAAAGTAACACCATTAATGCTAGGATCTAGTTCAATACAACCCTCCCCCCAAACCTCACCTCATTCAAAATACTCTAATCCAAATGACAGGAATTATGTGGGTTTTAAAGGACTTTCTACTCCTCTTTCAGTCACATTCTGTGGTTTGCACAATTTATAAGGAGAAAAGTGGCAACATGTACTTAAAAATGTTTATTTATCTTTGCCCTGCATTTTGTTAGATGCTCAGCAGAGCTTTTGGACTTGTAGCTAGAAAAACTTGGAGAAAGTTCATCAAAGGTTCTTGCTTCAGTTCCTTCCTTGGAAGAGCCACAATTAACAATTAAGAGAGATGGAGCCAGTTTCTCCTCTGGGTTCGCTGCTTTGAATGAAATTTGCAGGTTTCCCTCTTGTCTGATTTGTTTCTGATAAAGCTGGAAGCTTTGGGTGGTGTGTGTCTGGTTTAGTATGCATGTGTTTTTCAAACCCTCCCCCTTCCACTTATGGAAATGAAGCATATCCCATGCCAGATCTCACCCTCAATGTACTTGGGTGGGAGATGAAGGGGGAAACTTAACCCTTTCTTTCCCCACCCTGACCCTGAAACGTGTAGAGACCATTCCCTAAACATCTTGACTCCAACTGGATGGGATATTCTGTTCTTATCCGGAGAGGAAACACGCACATCGGCCAGGGTTCCTGTGTTCTGCGCTCTTTGCTGCCTTAGCTCAACGGAGACACATCTGACAGCTGTTAAAGCAGATGCCGAAGGGGCCGTCCTCTTGTTGTGGTTAAGAAGCCGTGGGGTGGGGTGGGGTGGGGTGGGTAAACTCAACTACTTTGAGGTCTGTGAATCCTGGCAGTTGCACTGGTTGTGCCTGGGGATGTTTGGAGCACTCTGAGATGCAAACTCACACTCATCTGTGTGTGGTTGCTGCTAACATTTTTATCCTCCAAGGAGCTCAGGATGGTTTACAAGCTTGCAACAACCCTGTAAGGTAGGCTAGGCTGAAAGAAAGGGAATGGCCCATTGACCCAGTGAGTTTAATGACTAAGGGGGTTTGAATTTGGGTCTTCCCTGTCATATTCCATTCCATGAGGTTACTTGGAGGGCCTTCTCTGCAGTGGCACCCTGATTATGGAATATGCTCCCTAGAGAGGTTTGCCTGGCACCAACACTTTTTTCTTTTTGGTGCCAGGTAAACACCTTTTTATTTTCCTGTTATTTTAATGTTTAATTGTTTTTGATGTGGTTCTATGTTATTGAATTACTGGATGCTGGGCCATTTTATCTGTTGCTTGTTGTAAACCATAAAAATAAATAAATAAATAAATAAATATCCCAACAACCTAATGACCACAACACACCAAGCCATTTCAGGCTCTTCCATACATGCTGCTCAACTTTCCTGTTCATAATATTAATATTTTTACAGATGTAAATATGGTTAATTTGAAAAGGTTTTAATACTATATTTGTGATGAAACAGCAACCTAGATCTTTACATGCCACAGAGTGAGGCAAGAATGAAGCGGCAGACTTCTGAGGTAGCAAGCAGGGCATGACTGTCTCAGACTGTAGGATTATTTCTAAAAGTTCCCTTGCACTGTTTTTTCCTTTAAAAAAAATCCCTTTGCAAGTAGAAAGCTGGCATCCTAAGGAGTGCCTTTCTCCCTGCTGTCTTAGATTTTACCACCTATTGTGCATGAGGCAGATTTCAAAGGGTGAGCACACAGCGTTTGAGGTGGTGCAGTCTGTTCTGTCACCCCAGGACTCTCCCAGAAGACCTGGCCTCGAAGGACAGCATGCCTGGGTACTTGCCAGGGCCTGCAGGCCTGAGTTGGCCCAACCCCTGATCCCTGATGCTGCCCCAGTCCCAGTGCTAGATGCAGAACTACTGGGTGGCACTGGAGCAGCTCTACTAGCCTGCTTTCTCTTTGCCAAGCCCTAGCTGGAGAGCCAGGAACACGCCGTGGCACAGACACGTTGTGCCCAAGGGCCACGGCATCCTGCAACCGGCCCTCTTTGCTCACTTTGTTCTGCCACGCATTAGTCCCCGCAACTCTGTAGCACCCAGAGTTCCCCTCTGTGCATTGTGCTGCATGTTCCAGTCCATCGACGCATCTTCCCCCACCACATCCCCACCTGTCCAAATATTTATCTGTCCCACTGCCTTCATTTCACACCCTGGGAACACTGATCCGACTGTCCCTTGTTTGTCCAGCTAGACTGCCATCACTTCACACCTTCCCCTTTCCCTGCTTCCACCTACTCGCTGGGTAGCGGAGCTGGTGTGCCACAAGAGGAAGAGCCAGAAGGAATCACTTCATGAGAACCAGTGTAGTGCAGTGGCTGGGATGCACGGCTGAGAACTGGAGATTCAGGAAGACCCAAGAGGAGGAAGACCATCTAAGTCATCTTGGGCTCCTTGCAGGAGGGAAAAAGGTGGAATACCAATGTCAGAATAGTTAAACCTCTCCTGAACTCATTAGCAGCAAAAACAGCAGCATCTTCAGGCACCCTGAAGATTAAGGAAGTAATTGTGGCAGAAATTTGTTGATTTTTTGAAGGTCTTTGTTGTAACTGAACTTTCTTTCAAAAAAGTCCAGATAATGTAGAGGCAGTTGCTCAACTGCCAGAATTTATGGCTTGTTCATTCCTATTGATTTCATGGGGGAAGTTAAGTGCAAGTCCCCATCTCCCTAAAGGGGATGCTAATACACTCAGCTTTGTCTGGACTGAGTTAGGAAAAGAAAAATTGGTTCATTTGTTCATTTTCTTCTCCCTTACCACTAGGCCATTCTGGACCAGTTCAACCCCAGTCTAAGGAATTTTGTTACTATGGGGAAAAACTATCAAAAAGCACTCTCAGGTAATGGAGTACCCCAGTCCAGCTCTTGACCTCTTTATTTCCCTTTCTACAACAATGGTGTGAAGAGTTCATTATTTAGTGGCCTGTTTCTTCCGTGCCCCTCCATGCAGGAGTTACAGTGGCTGCCAAGGGTTATTTTGATGCCTTAGTGAAACTTGGGGAGTTGGCCAGTGACAGCCAAGGATCCAAGGAGCTGGGTAAGTGTCTTGATTTGATCTGTTGCTTGTTCAGAAGTGAAGGATGTAAGGATATCTTGTACACAAGAGTGCATTTGCAGAGAGGTGTTAGGAAACCGCCGCATTTGCAGAGAGGTGTTAGTGATTTTGTGAGCATCTTGGATGAGGCAGGCAGGTGAATCTTAACCCACAATGCAAGGTATAAGAGCACAGAATTGCATTGGAATCACACAGAATTGGTCGCTTGTGTATGTGCTGCTTCCAAAGAACCACAGGCTTGAATTTACAAGAGCTGAGCAGGGCTGTCATGAATAGGACGTTTTGGAGGGCTTTAGCATGCAGGCCTGTGTATTATGCTTGAGCCACTGGTACTGATGTGACAAAGCCTACCATGTGATTCTAGTGACCTCATGCAATTCTGCCTTTCAGGCATAATTGGGGTATCTCAGGATCCAGCCACAGGAAAGCCGCCATGTCACAGCTGTTTAGACTTGAATTGGGACTTTGAACTGGTTTCCATGTTAGGCATGAGCAAAACTGAGTGCTTATTATTTGAAGACCACCTTTAATATTTCCTTTTTTCATTCCCAGTGTCAATGCCAGAACCCAGACAGATTTCAAAACAAACAAATATGCCCTTAAGTCACAGTTGATTAAAACTGGGCCCCCTATTAACCAACGGACCATTCACACAGCAAATGATGCAGTAAGAATCTTATGTTTGATGAAGCAGAGTAATACCATTTCCAAATACAGCTAGAATCCAGTTTTAAATGACCCAGATGTAAAGACAACACCTGCCAAAAGAGCAAAATAGCAAAAAGAGGAAAGGGAAAAAGAAAAAAAGCAGCTCACCACAACAAATCTAGCTTATTTCCCCTGCCTTTCTTTCTTGGGAATCCTTCATATAGGGAAGCCTCTTCAAAGATGCCACCTGCCAACTGCAGCAGTACAGTCCTTTCACCTGATTCAGTCACCTGCACAAGTAAGCCAGGCATCCATCCTTAGGGGTGAGCAACCTGCGTCCTTCAGACTAATTTTGAAAGATCTCTGTAAGCTAGCCCTTCAGAACAGTCCTTTCCCTCACAGTCCCCTGGTCAGGAAAGAGGCAAGAAAGCGGAGCACTCAGAAAAAGAGACGAGCAAAAGGGAATGACCCCATCCATGCTTCAGTTGTTTTCTCAATCAGTTTGCGTCTTGCAGCACTAAATGGACTGCAGTGTTCAGATAACAACTGTGAAACTCTGAAGTATGTTTTTGGTGTCTGAACGGTTTGAGGCGAGCTGCTTTAAAGCACTGTCTTCTCTCACATGGCTCTGCTTGCTGGCTATGATTGCCATCAGCGGCTGCGACCGGTGCTCCCTTTGCATCCCAAGGCATGGCAGGTCGGGACACTGGACAGGTCCTTCTTGGCGAGATTGCAGAATCCCCTTCCTCAGAGGTTGCTATTAGCTCCTTCTCTTTTAACATTTGGTATGTGAATGGTTGAGATATTTTTACACTACTAGGCTTTCGGAAAGTTAACTTTTATCTCCCAGCTGTCACAAATGGTGTCTGTGTTGCTCCAAGGTTGTTATTGCACTTTAAACTCTTAGTTCTTTTGTATTGCAATGTGATTATATTGTATACATTCACTGAATTTGCTTTTAAGTATGTTGTAAACCTTGGTGGTCTTATAACCAATAGGCAAGAGATGCATTTCCTTAATATATACATTTCTCCTTAAGGCCTTCTTGGCTATTTGGGCAATATGGATGTGAATTTCTTCCATGGAGGATTGGAAGAGAAGTACTCTAGGTGCATTCCCCATGTGCTCAAATAGATGCTTTCTCTGTGTAGAGTAGGCATACTGCATGCCCAAGGCAAAAGCTGTGTGCTTGCTGCCTAAGTTTTGCAGGGATTGGAAGAGTGTGTTCCATGCGTGCATTTTGCTGGGATTTTGGCTCCAATTAACTGGTCAGTGTTCCTTGGGCAGCTCCTGCAAAGGAATTAACCTGAAAGGAGATTATTCTGGGAGAGACAACAGGGACAAAAGACCTTTTCATAGTCTTGGGAATGCCTGAGATATATTAACCCTTCCATCACCTTGGCCTACAGGTGACACATTGTTCCAGATGGCTGAAGTCCACAGGCAGATCCAAGTCCAGCTGGAGGAGACGGTAAGTATCTGCAAGCCACGAGCCCACTTCCCTGGTGTCAGGCCTGCCTGGCGTAGAGAAGCAGGCCTGCTTGGAGCTGCCTCCTCTCCCCCTCCTCCCGCTGCTGCAGGTCAGACCTGCAAGCCCACCTGTCCTGGTGGTCCAGCATGTCCTGCAGCTACTCTTGGGACAGCTAAGTCTTGGGAGGGAAGGCGTAGCCCCGGCCACTGTCGTGCTGACTCTTCCTTTCCCTTCCTGCTTCTCTGTCACCTGGTCCCAGCTGAAGCTTTTCCATTCAGAGCTGTTGTCCCAGCTGGAACATAAACTGGAACTGGACATCAAGTACCTGATGGTAAGAGAAAGATACAGCCAAACCCTCCCATTGTGATTTCACATTTGTTCAGCCACTGCCTTTGTGTGTCCATCCTTTACTTTCTCCTCATTCTCCTTTTGCAATGTTTTCCCCAGAGCTTAATCTTTTGTTGGGATCAGTGCAGAATCTATCCATACCCTGTAATTTGTGAAGTAAAAATAGTGAAACAAACTACCCTTGAGCATGTCTGGAGTGCCTTTCCCTCACCATGCAGCCTATCACCCCACTTAGCATTTCGATGGCAAATAGCATGGCTTCTCAAAAGATGTGTCCTAGAAGCACCTGTTTTCTTTAGAATTAAGCACTGGTTCCATCTCTGTTTATCTCCATTTCCATTCCTTCTAGCAGACCATGTGGGAGAGATAACAAATTTTCCCCAAACAGAGGGTGCCATTGAGGCAGGAATCACACAAGAGTATAGTAAGTGAGGGACGTAAGACACGGCGGGTAATTCTGTTCAGCCCAGAACAGCTTGTGAGGGATCTTTTATGCTTTTCCTTCAGAACAATCACCCAAGGAAGATGAGGTGCAGGGATAGCTGGAGCCTTTGAACAAATGAAGGAGTTTGTGCACTTGTTCACAAAGCCCATTCTCCTCACTCCTCTGCACTGTTTCCATCAAGCCAAAATTTCCCTTCCATGCAGCCAGAGTTAGTGTCTGGGCCAGGGCCAGCCAACAGTGAACCCAGTAATTCAGTCATTATGCCCATACTGATTTCAGAAGGATCTGCCCTGATATATTTTCCAGCTCTTCTTCATGTCAGCATACATCTGTCTCATTACCTTTTTCACCCAGAAGGACTGAAAACCTCCACAGTAACTGAGGGGACAGGTCTGTATTTTTACATGGAATAAGATAAAGGGGGAACCATGAAGGATCCTGGTCTTTCAAAGCTGACCTGGCCAGTCTGTCAGGCACCCCCATCTCTCTCTCTCTCTCCCTCTCTCCCCCCCCCCCCCCACTTTAGGCCACCTTAAAGAAATACCAGGTTGAACACCGTGCCAAAGCAGAGTCGATCGAAAAGTGTCAGGCGGAGCTGAAGAAATTACGCAAGAAATGCCAGAACAGCAAAAACCCACAGAAATATGGGGACCGTGAGGTGCAGGTGAGTTTGAAGAGAGAGAGAGTGGGGGGAAGCAGTGCCAGGCCCAGCCCCCACAAGCGGAAGTGTTTCAGAAAACAATGGGAACATTACATGCTCCCAAAGGGAATAGAGTCACGTCCTGCCCGAAACGGACATATGGAATTCCAGGACAAGCTATCTGGGCAGGGGATGGTTCAGCCAGGCTCTCTGTCCCTTCCCCCTTCTTTCCGCAAGTCCAGTAAGTGTATTCATAAAATGTAAATATAAGATAACAGGGAAAGCTGGTGAGTTGAACAAATGATCCGTCTGGCCTAGTAAAGACCATCAGCCCTGGTTGAAAGTCTCGTTTCAAGCAGCAGTGTTTGCTTTTACTTTCCCAAGCCCTGTTCTCCACCATGTGCAGGACTGCACTTGCAATCTTATATATTTGTCTATATATTTGCATTTATTCCCCACCCGTTTTCCTTTTGCAAGGAACTCAAAGCAGCATACAGTTATCTCATTCTCTGATCCATTTGATCCTGGCCCAAAGTCACCCAGTGAGCTTCATGGCTGAGCAGGGATGAGAGACCAGACCTCCATGTCCCAGTCCAGCCAGCAGGCTCTCTAGCAATGTGCTGTATGGCCACTCCCCCTTTATTTATTTAAAGTTTTTGTATGCCGTCCCCCTGCTATATAGCCTCGGGATGGCTCACAGAAATAAACAAATACAATACAAATACAATTAAAACCCGGAAACACCCCGGCCGCCCAATTAAAACTTATAAATATTAAACATTGTTAAAATATTGTTTGAATAGAAAGGTCTTAGCCTGGCGCCAAAAAACAAATAACGACAGTGCCAGGTGGACCTCTCTGGGGAGCGCATTCCACGGATGGGGCGCCACCGCAGAGAAAGCCCTCCTCCAGGTACTTTGCTTCCTAATGTCTCTCACGGAAGGTTCCCGGAGGAGGGCCTCTGCTGCCAATCTCAAGGGGCGGGACTGCGTTTACTGCGTTACCATTTAGCAATCATGTTCTCATTTTTTAAACTAGGGAGGCAAGGTAGCTCAGTGTTGGAACAGCTGCTTTCCAGGTAGAAGGTTCCAGGTGTATCCCCAGCTTCTCCAGTGGGGGCTAGAAAAAACCTTCTTGTCTGAACTCTGGGGAAGCTATCACCAATCAGTGTAGGTGATACTGAGCTAGACAGACCAATGGCTTGACTCCATGCAAAGGAGCCTCCTGTCATCCTGGTTCAGTGGTAGACAATGTGGCGCCCATCAGCCCCAGTGAGCCCCAGGACTTTGTGGTTGATGGCTGCCAAGGTGCCCCTCCCACCTTCTGTATCTTTATTCTTTTGAGGTAAGGACATCTCTTATTGGCAGCTGGGAATGCTTCAGAGGAGAGTGAAGACCTCCAGATGCTCCTCTTGTCCTTTCTGTGCCTCCTCTGAACCATAGAGAGGACTTGGGGGCATGTTTAGGAAATGAAGGTAGCAGGCGGATGTTTTCACCTGCAGTGCAGACCTTTTGTGCTGGTGCCCAAAACAGTTTCTCCATCACCATGTGCCTTAGGCCCAGAAATGTTAAACTAGTCTGGTCCTAGTTGATGGTATCAGCACAATTTCGATTGGGGCCACAGTACAATTGAGGGGGGGGGGATTAAACTGTCCCCACACATTCCCTTCCCCAAATTTCCTCCCTCCTTGGTGCTTAAAAATTGAGAGAAACCTCCATTGGCATCAGTGGTCCCAATCCAATCAGGCATGACCTTCTATTAGATTAGCAAAGCCAAGGAATTAGCTACATGGTACATAATTAATATGCTGTTTGACTCTGAAATCGCCTTCCCCAAGCAGTTGCCCTTTTGATGTGTTGGATTGCAATTCCATAAGCCCAGCTTTAGGATGGTGGGAATTGTCATCCTGCACAGCAGGAAGACACCAGCTTGGAGTCAGCTGACAAGATGGCTTGCATGTGCAAATGAGCCATCACAGTCAAATCCCCACAGACAGTGTGCTTGGATCACCCAGTGTCAGCTAAAACACTTTGTTATGGGGAGAGTTTCAGTATTTAGCTGGGGAACTCATAGAAACAGAGAAGCAGAGCAAGTCAGAAGGGTCCTCTAGCTGGCTCTGCTCATGACACGCCTACTCCAATGTGAACAGCCACAAGATGCTTGTGAATGTGTGAACCAGCTGTGGTTCCTCCAGCTGTTTGGTAGGCAAAATATCTACTTTCTTATGTAGCTACAAAACATTAAAAGCCTTGTCAGCGCACACTCTTTTAAATTCTGAAAACATATAATTGGGAGCTATCTGCATGGAGCACTAAAAATACGAGTTCTGTAGTACCATTATTTGAATGAAAATATTCTTCGGAACTCCAGGTGTCTAAAGTTTACCAATCAAACATTCTGGAGCTGATGGAAGCATCCTAGATGATGCCTCTTAGAATGAGGAGTAACCTGGCAACACGTCTGTTTCCTGATGAGAACAGTGGCAATTGCGAAGTTGCCGCTGCTGCCGGGGCTCTCTTCCCAGTCCCGTGTGAGCCTGGAATGGCTGCCTGCTTTGTCCGGATGCTGTCTGGGTACTGGGATTGGGGTCACTAAGAAGTTTATGTCTTTAAAGGGTTTAACATTCTTTGGCCATTTGGTGCCTGGAAAGGTAATCTCTGGAGAGGGGGTTGCGTACAACAACAGCAGAGAAATGCACGCACAGCCCGTGTCTGCCCGACCCATATGCTGACTCACTTCCATAGGTGCCCATAAACATGCAGCAGGATCAGTGCATACTTCTCTCTTGCATGACGCACATGTATGCCATGTATGCATACACAGTGATGTTCAGGGCCCTGCTCAAACACGATACTTGTACGCAACATGAGCTTGGTGCTGCTTCCACATACTGGTTTTCTGTCCAAACACACGGAATCTTTGAAAATGCAGGCCTATGGAAAGGTGCATCGGAGGAAAGTGCGTGCAACTCACTCGCATCCAAGCCCAACAAGACCAAGCTGTTACATGTTACACACCTACATGCATACACACTGACCGCACACACAGGTTTCTTCGGATCTCTCCCATGCGCTGCACTCCCTGACTCACTGTGGTCTGATGTCTTGCCTCTGCTATTTACCATTCCCCCCCTCACCCCCCATCCTGTGAATTCGGGCAGCTACTGAGGCGGTTGGCTCTGGAAAGGCCCCTTTTGTCAACCTTGTTGCCACGGTAACCATTACTTCAGGATCAAGGCCTGCACAGGCTAGTTGCCACAAGGAGGGGGCAAGGAGGAAGAGGGTACAGAGGTAACCCTTCGTCGCCTGGATCCAATGAGATTGGCCCCTGCCCCCTGGCACTGCAAATTGGCAAGAAAGGGGGGGGGTGTTCTTTCATCTCTTGATGCAAATTAATTCCTTCAGAGCACCTTCCTCATCCTTTTGTAGCAGCAATTGGGGTGACTTAAGAAGGAGAAAAGGATTTTGTGTGTGTCCCCAGTGCCTTCAGTCCTATGGATGATGGGACACAGATCCAAGCACACAGTGGTGCTTGTGAATGTACAACTGGACAGTGCAGGTGGCTGTGCGGCAGGACAAAGTAGCAAAGCGTTCTAAAAACTGGCCAGGGAACAATGAGGTTCCTTGGATCTCTTTTGCTGGGAGAGTAAAGAGGGTCTTCGGAGAGTATGGTCTGAAGGCACTAGAATCCTCCAGCATGTCAGAGCTAAGCAGGTCTGGGGCTGGCCTGAGCTTGGAGGGGAGACCGCCTGGGAACCACATGTAGCCACCCTGAGTTCCCCAATGGGAGAAAGGTGGGATATAAATATAATAAATAAAAGCACTTGTGGACAAAACTAATATGCCTACACTCTTTCCCCTTAATGCATTTGAGCATGAAAACATTTTAATGTTAAGAGAGATGCTCGTGGTTCTACTGGGTTGGGCCCATAATTCGTATAAGAAACCTGCTTAAATCAATGTGACACGTAAATCATGGCTCATTTAAAACCTAGTGATTTCTCTGAGTCTGTGACTATATCAGTGAGTTTTCTGTGAGCTGCACAACCTGCCAAGCTTCCAGTCGGCCAGGGTGCTGAACTGTTCCATGGTGGAGGGCCAAAGCACCCCGCCATGAGCCCTCTGCAGGCCTAGCCAAGTCAGTGACTGTGGTCATGCCTACTGATGATATTGCCTTGCCCCCGGCCCAGGCAATTTCCCTTTCTTCTTTGTGGGAAGGGTAGCTGCTCTTTCCAGCACCAGTTGACAGTAAGACCTCCAGTATGAGATTGTTGGCAACTCCAGTGGTCCTAGAGGGCAAGTTGCACCTTCACGAGGAACCCAAAGCATTTCTGCAGATGGGACAATGAACCTCTGCAGACCAGATGGGAAGAAAAGCGACTCAGGCAGTAAACTGTGAGGGGGGTGGGGGTGGGAATTACCTTTGGTAAACATCTGAAAGAGAATATAAAGGCCATTTTAAGTCACCCCACAAAGAGGATTTCAAGGAGTGTGGAAGAAATTACTTCAAACAAAAATAAGAGCACCAAACATCAAGAAAGGACAGAACAGAATTGGGGGAAGTTACAAAATGAAACTGGATTTTTTTTAAAAAAAGTATTATATATTTGTTCTAGAACTTGTTGCAACATGTTTGATACTTAGGGCACTGTAAGAGATAGCAATGGCTGCTTTAAGAGTACTGAAGAATATATCTCAAGTAATTAGGGCTGAAAGATACTTATTTGGGAGTAAGCTCCATAGTACATGGTGGGAAATTCATCTGGATAAACATACATAGGATGTTTATTAGAGCCAAACTAGACATGATGTAATTTGTGTACTTAGCAAGTATGTGACTTTTACAAAAATAAATAGGTATATCTAGACATGGGGTGTTGGGGTAGAGAGACTTTATTTCTTTATCTTCTGTTCTGGTCCCAGTTTGGGTTAGAAACCCCTGGCTTGCTATTAATTTATTATTTAAGAAATATTCATGCAATTACCAATCAGTTGAATGGTGCCACATCTATTTTGGCCCTTAATATTCTCAATTTGTTGGCCTTACGTGTTCTTTTAAAAAAAATAATGCAATTGCTCTGACAAAACAATTTAGAGGCTACATGATAACTATTCATTTACTTTACACGTTACTATGCTACTTTTCATTATGTTCAGAATTTTGGCTTGGTGTAAAATCCAGAAAATCCCAAGATAAAACACAACCTTTTAATAATAATTAAAAGCTCAGAATGCTAACACAGGAGTTGGACAAGCAAAAACATTTTAGCGTGGCACTGAAAAGATGGTGGCGTGGGCATCAGGTGAGTCTGTGCAGGAGGGGTGGGGAAATGATGTGGGGGAAATGCAGATGTGTCCCCCCCACCCCGCAGGCCCTCTGTGTGGTGTCAGAGGCTGTGGCCACGTTCCTTGACAGCATCAGGTCCGCGACTAAAGCGCCAGCTGGAGCTTTTCCACTTGGCGCTTCAGCAGACTCGTCAGTTTTCTTTATCCTTTGCTTTCCCCACATTGAGAATGAAAAGTGGGAACGAAGTACACTTCCAGGAGCTCCTGCAAAGGCTGGCAGAGTGCCCGGCCAGCTTGCTCCTGCTTTTTGTTCCCAGTGTTGAAGAGTGATGATATATATGCTTGTTAAATTCAGTAAATAAAAAAATGTGGCACATCGTATGCAGTTGAGAGGGGAGCTATGAAGTTCTGTGCAGAAGTTCTGGCTGTGAAGTGGCTGAGCATCAGATTAAAACAAGTTGACTCCCTCATGATCTGGATGCCTTTGCTCGTCTTCCTTTAGTACGTAGAGATCATGAGCACCAAGCAGAGTGAACTGGATCAGTTTGTGGCGGAAGGCTACAAGGCCGCCCTGACGGAGGAGCGGCGCCGGTATTCCTTCCTGGTGGATCGTCAGTGTGCCGTCTCCAAACACTTCAGCAACTATCACACCAAGGTGAGCTGCAGAAGGACGGAGCAGAAACCCCAGCGTCTCTCTCCCTTCATCCTCAAAGCACGGTTCCCTTGCCCTTTCCTCAACAAAAGAGGGAAACATGAAGGGCTCCAGGCATTCTGTGATTTCGCAACTGCACCATGGAAGTACAGACTTTGGTACAGGTGCAGGATTTATCCTTCTGAGAACCTCTGAGCCAGTGTGCTGTAGTGTTCAAAGTGTGTGACTAAACCAGGGGAGTTCTGGGTTCAAATCCCCACCCAGCTTTGAAATTCACTGATGGGCCTTGGGCTACCCACCCTTTCTTGGCTTACCTTCACTGAAAAGAAAGGGTGTATGTTTGGGGTGGGGGAACTGTGCACACTTTCTTGGGCTCCTGGGAGGAAAGGTAGGATATCAATGTTATAAATATAACCAAATTCAAGGAATATCCAAACCAGTGCATGTGTCGAGGCCAAACACATAAAAATACTATAGCTGAAAGCTATTCCTGTCACTAACCAAGCCTCAGGATGGCATTTCAGTCTTTTAGAATGGAAGCTGCATGTGTGTGTGGAGGAGCATATAAAGCAGGGAAACCACAAAAAATATCAATGGTTAAGTGGAAGGAGGCAAGGCCAGAAAGGGCCACTTTTGTGGGGTGAGGGGAACCCTGAGGGGCACACAGAGGTCCCTGGTGAACCAGATTTGGCTCCTCACCTGAGTTTTTGCACCCTCGAACTGAGGGGCACCACAAATTAATGGGGTCATATCTGGTGCAGAGGGGAAAGTAATGTAATCCTTTCCTACCCAATATAGTCCTAAGAAAAATCCTTTCCCTGAAGCCAATATTTGCAAGGGCAAGGGGAGAAACCTCCCAGTGCTCAAAGGAAATGGAGTAAGTACCGGCTTCAGAAAAGGGATTTTCTTCAGGACTGCAGTAGGAGAAGAAAAGGTTGAACTGACTTCCCTTCCACCCTGGATATGTTCCCAGTCACTATCACTGCTCCAATCCAGTGGACACTGTTTGCATTTTTAAAAACCTGTGTGCAAAATGCAAAGATCGTGTTTCCTCTGGCCAGCCTTGGTTCTCTGGTCCTTGCTGGCATAAAATTAGGCTTGGAATTGTGTGAAGTCTTAAAGATGAGAAAAGCAAGGTATAGCACAGCTTTTCATGGCCCTGAAATAGGATCCAATGGCGAAGTACAACTTTTTATTGCCAAGCTTAAGAGGAAGGAAGTGGTTAACCAAAGGAATCAAATGAAGCGCACGGACCTTTCTTCTCCTCCCTTTAACTTGCTGCAGGTGCGGGAGCTGCTGGCCACCAAGTTGCCCATCTGGCAGTCTTCATGCACCCAGCCCACCCGCTTACCTGAGCGGGTGCTGGCCCTGGTAAAGCTCACCGCCAACAACCCCTCTGGCGGGGCTCCCATGCCGACCCCCGATGCCCTCCCTGGCTCCAAGGTTGTGGAAGAGCTGTCGGAGCTTGGACCAAACCATGTGAGTATCTGCCTGTGGAGGGCTAGTGAGCAGCCAGCCATGGTGGGGAGAAGGAGAAGAAGCAATTGTCATCCACCAAGGAGAGTCCTCTGGTTTCTGGGGTGTGAAGCCCATTTCCCAAGCCAGAAAATAAATCCTGATAGCAGCTCCCACCAACACATAGCCAGGACAAACGAGGCATTTTCTGGCTTTGAGGTGGCCTCAAGGTCATAAGCCCAGGAAAGATGAACCAGCAGGATGCATCCATGTATGTGCCTGTGCGGTAACTAATCTGTCCCTCGCTTTCTCTCTCCTCCCCTTATGCCATCCCTCACAAACCCCCTGCAGCGAACCTCCATCCAGGAGGTGACACCACTGCCAAACGGGGACTCGCACCGCGGGCGGGGATCCCGGGACTTGGGCCACGCGCCGGTCAGCGAGCCCAACACCATCACCTCGGGTCTTCCACCTACCCAAACCACTCAGACCCCTCCACAGACCAAGACAGCCGACAGCTATTCTTGCACCCTGCCTATGCCGCGGAAGATGTCCATGGAGACTCGGCTGGCAACGCTGGGTGAGTGTCCCGCACGGCCTGGTTGGTGTGGCGGGGAGGCTCAGACAGGCACCTGCGGAGGGGCCACCCCGGGATTGGGCCACCCCTTCGCCACTGCACCTGCTTCTGCACCGGCCCAGCCGTGCTGAGGATGGGAAAGGCAGGAGTCGATGTGCAGACGTGGGAGCACTGGCCAGGGGGACGTGTGGGGCAAAGGCAGCTAGCGGCAAGGCAGAGGGAGGGGTCCACTGAGGCCATCTTGCCCAAGGGTCCCCCGAGAACTTGGGGCTGGCACACCACCTGCAGCCCACCTGTGGCTCCCAATCTGCAGCTCAGTTTGCCCCCCCCCCCCCGTTTAACAGCACCTGTTAAAAGCAGGTGAGCCAAATGGGACAGTTTCCTTCCATGAGTGTATCGGGCCTGGTCAGCTGTAAGAGCCACCTGTGCTCCACCAGGCCAGGGTTCCATTCACACGTGGGCCAGCTGGAGGGTCTGCAGCAGGACACGGGAACAGAAGCACCCTCTTGACTAGGTCCCCCCCCCCCCGGAGCACTCTGCCTCCCACAGCAGAGCTGGTGCCCGAGCACCAGGACCAGTAGCCGTTGGCAGCCTTATCCTCCATGAATTTGTCCAGTCCACTTTTAAAGCTGTCCAAATTGGCGGCCTTCGCTCCATTTCATGGCAGCGAATTCCACCATTTCAGACTGCACTGAGCAAAGAAGTTCTTTCTCTCATCTATCCTGAATCTCATGTTCTTCAGAAAACCAGATGTTGGAATATCAGGAAAAGAACCAATACCTGTCCATGAGCTATTAGCATTCTTCTTTTTTAAAAAAAAATGGCACAGCTCCACCAACTCATGCAAGAACAGCCATTGCAGGGACAGAGTGACATCCCCTTGTGCAGCTTCTGAAATAAAAGACCCCAAAGAAACCATTGTTTAAAACTCCAACATTCTTCCAGATCTAACTCTGAAAGGGCTTCTACCAGCCAATCATCTGGACACCATGCCAGAAATACAGTGCAACGAAAGCCAAGGCAGAATCCATTAGCAACCCTAGTTTAGCAATTCGCACACCTAAATCATGTTTATGCAATGCAGTGGGTCCCACATGTATTCTGGAGTTGATATTGCCCCAGGCAGAAAGCAACTTGATGCCCCCTGGGGAGGTTTATCTTTTTCCTGCGCTGAGCTTGAACCCTGCTCCTGCCTCAACAGTGGAGAACAAGACCCTGCCCCGCATCAGTCCTCTTTCGGTCCTACCCCCACGTTCCGAACGCCGGAGGGTCCAGGCAATATTCTCACATGCAGCAGGCGAAAACAGCACACTGCTTAACTTCCAAGAGGGAGACGTCATCCTGCTGCTGGTGACTGAGGCACGGGACGGCTGGCATTATGGGGAAAACGAGGCGACCAAAATGTGAGCAAGACCCTCCCTCCCCCTTCTGCCCCAAACTAGTCCAGGTGCAGCCCTGGTTCCCCATACCGAAGGTGTGAAAAGTGCCCTCCCCCCAGGCCATTTAGCCTTACCTGCCTGCATCAGGTATGCAGCTCACAAAGATTAGGATCGTGTTTCCACCTCTGTGGAGAAAAGGAGGCCTGGAAGTTTGGGGAGGAATTATGGCAGAGCACCCGGCTCAGAAGCGGAGCGTCCCAGGTTCAGTCTGCAGTGAGGGGTGAGACCTCTCTCCATAGCCCTGGAGAGCGACTGCCAGCCATACTGGTCTGGACGGACCAACAGCCCTGGCTCAGTACGTGGCAGAGGCCTGGGCTCACACGCTGGACCCAGCGTGCCCAGTGATCCCTTGCACGAGGCTCCCAGGGTCCTAAACTCCAGGGGCCTGTGTTTGGCCACACTTGGTCTGCAAAGCAGACCTGGCTGCTCCTGCTTCCATTTCTTGACCATAATGCTAGTCCTTGACCATTCTCACCAGGAACTAGGAGAGAATCGGAGGAGGATGTGTTTTAAGAGTCTGTTTCTCACCCCTTTCCTTTCCTTTCCTTTCCTTTCCTTTCCTTTCCTTTCCTTTCCTTTCCTTTCCAGGAAAGGCTGGTTTCCTTTCTCCTACACCCGGCCCTTCCCCACGGCTGAGGGAGCTGACAAACCATTCAGCAGGTAAGGCAACAAAGAGGAGCCTCGTGGCTTAGAGGGCAGATTGTATAGGCTGTGGAGAGACACCCTGAGCCCTTGGGATGACTCTCCACTGGCCTTCTCGGGGGAAGAGAAAGTGCTTTCACAGCCTTTCCCCACCGGGAGCCCTAGAGGTGGATTGCATTAGAACTGATCTTATCCCCAGCCAGCAAATGTCCTTCTTTTCCCTCTCGCTAGCGGCTTCCCACTTAGCAAGCTGAACAGCAGCAGCACAGGAAATCTGGACCGAGCGGGGTCTCCACCAGCCGGCCCTGAAGCAGGGGACAGTGCCCGTTACAGGCCTTCACCTCGTGCCCTTGCATCCCACCAACGGCCTTACAGCATGATCAACCCCGACCTGTCACAGGTGAGTTTGAAGTGTGGCATGCGGAAAAGACAGACGGGCAGGCGGGCGGGCAGGCAGGCAGAACCCACCCCCCTCCCCAAACCTAGGGATGTGGAAATCAACCAAACTGAAACTCGGTGATGTTCTCTGAGTTCCACGGTGAAGCTCAAGCCAACTCTTGCCCATACCAGATTGCAAGATTATTCTCTTGCATGATCCTCTCTAAGTACTTCAAAGTACCCAGTTTCCCTCTGTTGTTTGAAGTGTGTTTATGTGCTTTTCTTGAAGGTATGCATGTCTAATACTTACTTTTGTGAGGCATTCCCCCTCATGCAAACAGTATCACAAAGCTGGGAATGTACAAGCTTGGACTGCCAATTACACTCTTATTCAGGTTGTGGAAGTGTGAGCCCGGCAAATTGTGTTTGCAGAGAAAATGAAGGCAATTGCTCATACAGCCCTCCTGAATACGGCCGTCGTCTTAGTGTTTCTGTGCTACCACCTAGCGGTCAAAGTCCACTAGGTACCATTTCTTAACCAAAATGGCTCCTGTTGAGTACAATTTTTCTATAAAGCTTAACAGTTCGACAGACAGGAATTTTCGATGTCTTGGGGCCTGGATATCTGAGTTGGTGAGCATGGATGGACACGATTCTTTAGTGCTTGAACTTTTCTGTTGCCTCCCTTTCCAGCTGGCAAATGAGTTTGGGAGTCCGACTGCCTCTCCTTCAAGGTAAGGAACCCTACTCTGGCAGTCATTCATTCATTCGGTGCAACCAGTAGTGGCCTCATTCATACCCAAGCATGAGTCCCGGATCAAACCAGGAGCCGGTCCAGTCCAGCATTTCTTCGCATAGTGGCCAAGCAGCTGTCCAAGGGAAACCCACGAGCAGGACTGGAGTGCAACAGCACTCTCCCACCCATGTTCCCCAGCAACTGACATACATGGGTGTATTGCCTCTGATAGGTGGCAGGACTAGTAGCCACTGATAGGCTTCCCCACTACGCACTTCTTCCGTCCCCTTTGAAAGCCATCCAGATTGGCCGCTGCCACCAGTTCTTGTGGGCGCGACTTCCATGTTTTAAGCATGCACTATTGCTAGAAGATGACAGAATGGATTGAGGCGCCACAGACTGTAGGGGGAGAAGTCACACTGATGCTTGTTTGCATTCCAGACTACGGGCGATATGTGCTGCTAGACCATTTTGTCCTCAGTGTTATAGTTTCATCCTCTCAGCTTGGCTTTTCTTGGTTTTAGACTAAATGACTGCATAGACTGAGGCACTACCTTTGAAGGCAGCTAGACCCAAATGCGGCTGTGCAGCTGCCGGCTGAGATGAGCAAGTTAGTCCATATTGCTCTGTTAATAATTCCACAGAAACCCACAGCACTAGCCCCGCTGGACTGCTTCCAACCTCAGTTCAATGTTGGTCTAACCGTGCTCCTTCGTTGTGACCCGAGATAGGTGGCAACCAGGAGATGGGCTTACTCTGCGGTGGTGTTCCAGGTTTAGAATGCCTTCCCCAGAAAGGATTGCCTGCTGCCATCTGTCCCCTTCCAAGGGTGCCTTGAGGCCTGTAAGAGATGCTGATAGTAAATTCCAGGCAGAAACCAAGTGGGACCCTGGATAGCTCCGGGTGAGTCCTGCCAGCTGGAGCTCTTTGCTACAAGGACAATAGTGGGAAGAGCTGCCTCAGCGGGCAGCTGGAGCCAACTGAAGCCTTCAGTAGGTGGAGAAGGCCTGCAGTGTGGCCACTCGATCCTTCTGGAGGAGCTGACTAGCTTGGGAAAGGGCCGATTCTGCTGCCTGAGACTCCTGCAGGAGTGGCGGGGGAGGGGCCCTCATCCTTGGAGCGGGACAACCAGGCCCTGTTTCCAGGAGTGCCCCAAAGATGCACGGACAGTCTGAGTCGGTCTGAGCAAGATGCAACGGCTGGGGGTTATGATGCCATCTCTGCATTCCTTGAGGACGGGGGGATGCCATTTTTCTGCAAGGCTTTAAGAAGCCGTCGCTGCTCAGTATCCTATCTTTGTTTTAAGCGTCCACTCCAAGATATCCACTGAAAGGCGAGTCAAAAAAATGTTCATAGCGGTGGGTAACTGCAGGAGGTCCAGGGGCCATTTCCAACCACCCTGCAGGCCAATTTGGAAGGAAGGGAAACTTTAAAAAAAGCGAAATCCGCCAGTTTCTTCCAAGCTTCCATGACAAACCACTCCACTGCACCCATGGAGGGCCATTTTGTTCTCCTTCCTTTTATTTAAAAAGATGCTTGAGGGGAGGCAGCAGGTCGTGTGCCGCTCACCCCCTGATCTGCAGATGCAGAGTAACAATTCCTCCCTCACAGCTTCAAAAGCGCTAAGACTTGGGCCTTCTTCCTGCCATGCTGATGGACATTCTCCTTCTTTCCGACATCTCCTTTCCCATTGCAGGACCAACCCTTTTGCTCACATCAAGCTGAAGCGTACAGTGACCAATGACCGCTCGGCTCCGCTCATCCAGTGAGAGGCGCAGCGGTGGGCGGAGGCAGACGGCCGCTCCCGCGTCTCTCCCTCGCCCCCACCGTGTGGCCCTTCCCGCCTAACAAAGCATTTCCAGCTCAGAGGCAGGCCTGGCTTCCCATCACCCCCTCCCGTGGCCCGTTGGGCTGCGGCTCTGCAGGTTTGGACCACTGGGCCTGCGCACCACAGGAAGGCCGCCCTGCGCAGAGTTCTCAGCTCCTGCAGGAGGAACAAGGCAGCAGCCAAAGGACAGGAAGGGCAGGCCGGAGGAGGGAGTGAGGGTGGAGGCGATGGAGGCAGAGGCGTAACGGTTGGACGAACAGAGGCGGAAGAAAGAGGGTGGATGTGGAACTGGAGGGCAGGCGGAAGAAAGAGAAAACGAAGGTGGATAATGAGGGATTGGCAGCCGCCTCTTGCACCACAAAATTTCCGTCCCTTGGGATGTAATTGACACTTTTCAGAACTCCATGGCAAAGCTTTCACTGATTCAATTAAATGGGTGTTGTGCCCCCGTACTTTGAAATAAGCCCCCATCATTCCGACTGTCAAGGGTCCCTCATTCCAATTTTTTATTTCAATGGAAGCAGCCTACCGGAGGGCGTCCTACAGGAGTAGGACACCTGCTGTGCATGGAGACCTCGGTCCTGGGTTCACCCCTGGCATCTCCTGCTAGGGCCAGGAAGGGGCCCTGCCGAACCCCTAGAGAACTGCTGCTGCCAGTCAGTGTCAGCATTGCTGGGTTAGGTGGACCAGCAGTCTGATCCAGAATAAGGCGGCTTCCTAAGTCCTCAATTCACCCCACTTTCTCTAGACTGGGTTCAGGTGGCCAGGGGGCTTGCTTGGTGGCTGCACTTATCAAATGATGGCTGGTGTTCTTTCATCACATGGCAGGACAATCCTTTCATCTCCTGGGCAACAGCTCTTGTGAGCAAGGAGATTACATGAGAGTGATAACAGCAGGTTACCCAAATCTCCCCTTACGGTGCAGGCCTTGGAGGCATCTGGGTTGAGAACAGGCAAGATCGGTTTGGGAGAAAGAGGTAAGAGGTGGTCAATGTGGAGAGGACTTGAGAAATCCAGAAAAGCTGAGTTTGAGGCAGATTCACACATGCAGTGAATTTCATGCAGTGCGTCGATAATTTGTCGCTCGGTTGCCGAACATACAGCCTGCAGCAATCACACGGCTTGGCTGCTTGACTGTGTGGAATGACTCAACTGAAAAGCATTGCCTTTGAAGCAACAGGTCCTGCTAGATCTGCAGTTACGAGGCTCAGTGACGCATGGGAGTCTTCATTTCATATTGGAATCAACAGGCGATCCATGCACACGTGTGAAGCAGCCCTTGCTGATGGGACCAAACGTGTGAATGGTCTCCATTGAGGGGATAGAACAATCCTCGGTGCTTGAGCTGCAGCAGCTGTTTGACGTATGCACTCCATCACTCGCCCTTACTTTAATTTAGTGATGGCATGCATATTTCAACTGGCCTTTCGTTATCTGTGACAGGGCAACACGAGGTCACAGGAGAAAAGGAGCTGGAATTTATGATTCTTGGATTTGCTGGAAATGCAGCAGTCCTGGAACTGTTTCCTGTGGACTGCAGGCCAGTCCCGGAGCCCCGCTGAGGTGACCCACACAGCTGGTGGGTTCTGCCTCCTCTTCAGCCAGATTTTATTTTACTAGGAAAACATCCGTCTCACTAATATGCTTTAATGAAACACAGGCCACAAAATTTTCTCACCATTTCATTTTGTAATTTATATTAATTTTTTGTGGTATATTTAACCATGCCTTTATTATTTTAGGATATATGGCAGTCTGTAAGAAATTTAGAGACTTTGCCATGGTCCCCAGATAGCATAGTGAGATATATAGACCAAGGAGCCAGGGGTCAGGACTCCTGAACGTTTTAGAAGATGGTAGGTTAGAGCAAAACCATTGAGAAACTTAATAATTGAGTTTAATTCCAGTTGCTGTGGTTGTTGCAACAGACACAACAACAGCATTCTTGTCTCGGGGGACCAAAATGCAGGCATTATGGTCAAAGCCAAATCAAAATAATTCAGCTGCAAAAGCTTTATCTGAAGAAAAACATATTTGTTTCCCTCTGAGGAAAGGACTAGTTTTAGCATCATGTGCTGCCCCCTGCAGGCACTGATGCGCCATTACAGGATTCCTGACAGCCTGGTGACACAGTTGAACTGGCTTCAGTCTCGAATTCACTCGCTGGTTCAAGAACTTGGCTTGAGTTGAGTTCAAAAAGAAGTGGCAGCTACTGGAACAATCCATGACTTTCTTTCACTCTTGCAACATTTTTCAGCTAAGCTGCTATGGAAGCAATGGAGAGGGTTGCCAACTTTTGCAAAGTCCCCTACTGAACTGGGAGGCCTTCAAACAGCCTACAGAGTGGGGAAGGGCTTGGGGTTGTGACAACATAGGGGCTTCTTGGTCTTGTGGACAAAGCTCGTCAATGCAGGACAACAACCCCAGCATTTCAGCTGTGCGAGGCTGCTTTCCAATGAGGTTTTTGTCATGCCTTTGCCCTGGAATTTGTGGGATGGTCCAGATTATGTGTTCTATTTGTACTCCTCCTGTTTTTTTTCCTGTCACTACTTCCATATTTTTCCTTATCAGAAAAAAAGTCTGTGAAGGAGATGGGATGGGAAAGTTGCACAATGTCTTTTGATTGGTAATAGTGCTAAGAGCTGTTCACCTGGAAGCAGCTGAAATGAGTTGCCCATATCACTTTATCTGCTTGTTTGCAATACTAACTGAGCTCCCTTCCCTACCAAAATTCTGGCATTCCCACTTTTGACTGTAGGGTCAGACTGGGTGCAATTGACAGTATAAAGCTTAGCTACAATGGGCGTGAGATATTAAGGGAACAAGAGCAGCTGATAGTAAGAAATGGTGAATAATCTAAGTTTGCCTAGAACCGCATTGAAGATCAGCATTTGATTTAGAGCAGGGTGGTGGAATTGCACGCATCTCGCAAGACAAAATCGCATTTTCGTAGAAGGTGGCCACAGATGGCAAGCAGAAGGGGTTGGAGAAGAAGGGAAAGCTGACAGCATTTGTGTCTTCTGTTTATGTTTCTGGTGTAACAGCCAACACTGAAACTTTGCTCATTTCCTCAGTAGCAAGATGTGTGCACTCCAGATGGAGGGGCAGCTCGTGTCTCTAAAGGGGGGGTGTTGCTCCCACTTCTCTCGCAGCGTCGCTGCAGATGTCTGAAACGTGGCTGTACTGTCTGTTCCCCACTCCACTTCTGTGTAATGTCTGGAGCTGCTCTAAATCACAGTCCCTAGAGGATGTCTGTCGCCAGTGGGATGGGACAGTCTGTTGTGGAACTCTGGATGGCCATTTACGGAATGTCGACTTCTGGGGTTGGGTGGGGAGGGAAGTATGAATGTGGAATTTCAGTGTGGAAATACGATTGCAGATGATCTGTGAAATGACCAGCTGCAGGGGGTTTTTTTTGCAGCAGATTGCGACCGCTGAATGTGATATATATCTTAAACCTCTGAAGCTGGAAATGTGTGCCTTATTAACAAGAGACACCTTATTTTACCATACTTACAGCACAGTCCTATATATTTACTCAGATGAAAGTAAATATACTCCCAAACAAGTGGTTATAGGAGTACAGCCTTAAGGGCATACTAAAAGATAAACCTTGTCTTTTTGCATTTCTTGCCTTTTGCTAGAGAGAAATGACCCCCGTCACCACAGGTGTGTTCTGTGCGTGCATGTGTCTTGCCTGTATGTTTCCGCTGAAATAATTCTGGTTTCCTTTTTTGCATCCTGCGTGTGTTTGCGTGAAAGTCTGCAATGCAAATTCAAGTGTCAGGATTCATAGAGATCGGAGTTTTACAACCCCACAGCTGAATGTTGAACTGATGGGAAGTTTTGACTTTAACGATGTTCTGCTTTGGTGCTTTGGGAGGGTGGTGATCATTCAGTTGGCAGAAGTACAGCTCACTGTAACATGCTGGGGGGGGGGGAATCAGAATTCTGACTTCTTTTGCTTCTTAAATGAAATTCCATTTTGGCTTGCACATGATTTATAGCCCCCAACTAGGAAGGATCCATCTTCCTTTCTCCAGTTCACATATTTGTGTGTGTGAACAAAAATGAACATATGCAGACCAAATGGCGATTTCCCGGGCTATATACCTAAGCCAGTTATCTTTTGTCCTTCTAAATGGAAGAGACTCGTAACACCCTGGGAGTAGGAAAATTCTCACCTCTTCTTGACGGACAATTGTGTGTGTGTGTGTGTGTGTGTGTGAGAGAGAGAGCGAGCGAGCGAGCGAGCAAGTAAGAAGCACCATCCTGTAGAGTTGTGTTTAGTATAAGTAACTGTGGTGATGGTGGGATCTCAGTGGCTCTGTATATATTTCCCTGTTGATACTTCCTAATTCTAATATTAATAAAGTTTAATATAAACCCATGCCTGTCTAGGAGTTCTTATTCTCTTATAACCAAGTGGCAGCCATCTCAGGATAGGTAGGTCAAGGCATGCAGTGGCAGAAGACAGGGTGGCCTGAGCGGAAAATGTATCACATGCTGCAAGAGTTTGGGGCTTTTTCACTTTCCACAGGTGCATGCTAGATTTAGTGCAGAGAAGAAAATAATTTAGCATATTCTCACTTAGGAAGCTGCCTCCTGCCAGGGCCATTTATTTGTCCACCCCAGGGTCTCCGGCAAGAAGGCCTTGCCTGTCCCCTCCACCTGATCCTTTCACCTGGATTTTAACAGGAACTGGCTCCTGAGCCTTCCTGCATGCGCTCTGCCACCCAGGTAGTGCCAGTCCTCGAACCCTGTGAGGCACAACGCAGGGGCTATGCAATTAAAAACGCTGCTCTGTATCGACTGCAGAAAAACGCCACAAGGGAGCTAGGACCACAACTCCCATAAACCCCAGCCACCATTGCCAATGCTCGAGGTGATGGGACCAGTAATCCAAACATCTAGAGGGCTCCAGGCTGGGGGAGGTTTGCACTGCAGCTTTAGCATGTGCTTAGAATGAGCGCGCACGGTTTTGCAATGGCCAGCTGCCACGACTTCTCTTGCTCTCCAGTCGTTCCCATCTGGACTCTGTACGAGGCACTTGGTCTTGGCTACAGGCCTGTCAGGAGCATGGGCAATGTGGCAGGACGCCACTATTTCCCTGCCTGTCTTAGCTGACCAGTTACAGGCACTCTCTGCAGTCTAGCTGGTCACAGACTAGCCTTCTGCTTGTCTACTCTGGGATGTATTTGCAAAGATATTGCTCAAACTGTGAGCGGTGGAGGACAAGCTGCACTTCCCTGACACAGCCGTGGCTTCCTGCTTTATCGTTATCCTGCCACTAAACGGTGTACATTTGATTCCAGTTTCTGCTTGCCTGTCTGAAAGAATTTGGCCCATTCTTGAACTTGGTTTGCCTCTGGATGGCCTCGCCCAACCACCAGCCTCCAGAGTGACACTGGAGGAATTCCCATTTATCAGCTCTGCACGTCTAAAAAAATGAGGCCTTTTCCTATTTCCTTGTGTCCCCATGTTGCTAATTCCTTCACCATCCTCGCTGCCCACCCACCTGCCCATCTATCTTTCACACAGAACCTTCTCTTAGCGTTTTCCACCCTAATGGTGCTCCCCACCTGTATCCACCAATAGTTTTCCGTTCTTCACCCAAGTGAGTCTGCAAATCTGGAGTGATGCATTGTCCTGTATGCGTTCGCCTTGCCTCATTCCTGGAATTTTATGAGGACAGGAAAGCAAAACGCCATTGTCCGACTGTAAGCCTATGCTGCTTTCCTGCTACATTTCCACCTTCTTTTCCTTTCTACAGAAAAATTGTTGTGGAGGAAAAGATGCAATGACCGCGTAATGTCATTTGATTAGCCGTGTCAGGAGCTACCTGTGTGGAAGCACCCCAGCTGTCTAGAAGAGCATCTTGGTGGCAAGTGAAGGATCTGTGTCTTTATTTTCAGAGAACATGCATCGCCGATCTCTCAGATTCACAAGATCAGCTTTAAAACAGGGAAGCCTGTAGGCCTAATTTGCTCGGGGATTCCTCCAAGAGGCAGGGCTCCAAATCCCACTGCCTGGAGGATCTCCACTCTTTTGATCTGAAATTGTACATAACAGCAGAGATGCTCTTCCAAGCTGTTCTCCCGAGGAGGAGAAGCGCACGAGGGAATCTCCATTACTCTCAGATTGGCTTGACCTGGAACTCAGCCAGCAGTTGGTGCCGGCGGTTTCGCTTCATGCTGAGACGCTGAGCGCAGTGCAAAGCCAGGAACTCAGCCAGTGCTGGGAAGCTCCGCCACTGTTCCTAGCGCTGCCCAATCCACAGGCGGCGGCAGGAAGACCAGCCAGATCCTCCAGCACAGCCAAGCAGGCCTGGCCCCTTCTGGCACAAGGGCAGGCTAAAAAGGGCCCAGGGGGGACATCCTCCGGCCTGCGGAGGCCCTCTCACACTCTTGCTGAGCTGCACCCCTGGTTTAAAATGTTAAGCTCGAGAGGGCCTCACTTAGCGACTGCAGGAGCGGCAAAACTGGGTGGCACACTTTATACAGGCCCCTTATGTTTTCTGCACAGCCTAGAGACCCAGTGCCCCGCGTTGCTTCTGCTCTTCCCTCCTGCCAAGCCACTTCCCTCTTCTGCACCCTCATCCTTTTCTTCCCTTCCACTCCCATTTCTGGAGCAAACCACAGCTGCTCTAGTGGCGAGTTAGGCAAATTAATTCAACATATGCAAATATGCACAATTTATTATCATTGCAGAATTCGGAGATTTTTAAAGTTCTGATACTTAAATACTCTCCCCACCCCTACATACTCCCTCCCATAACCCTTCCATTAATGTATCATCAGCCCTACATCCAGCCTGCAGCAACATCTCTGGCCATCCACACACACAAGACACCTCGACCCATCTGCCCCGACACATCTTTCCCCAGCTTATGAGAGCATTCACATTCCACTCCCTTTCACCCACCCCACATTTACTTTCAACCCATGGAATCGTCCCCAGAGAAGAGAATGGATGTGCATTTTTGCATTTGCTTTGATTCACCCCTCCCCTGTGTGTGTGTGTGTGTGTGTGTGTGTGTGTGTGTGTGTGTGTGTGTAACACAGCTATATAAGATTGGCAACGGATAACTTCCCTTTCTTCCTGTGCATCTATGCTGCCCAGTCCAGAGGGGGCAGGGAAGTGTTCATGTGGCAGGCTTTGCTTCCCTCAGAATTTACAGTGAGGGAATCTGAAACCAAACGTGGGTCCGTCACTCCACCAAGTCCTGGCAGGTGGGAGACATCTAGGTAACCTGACATGCCTGGCAGTACTGGGCAAATCGGGGAAGCCTGACGCCATCGTCGAATGAATACGTTGTGGTGGGGTGCTGAGGGGGCGTGACACGTGAAGGGGAGCCCTGGCCAGCCCTGCGCAGACCCGGCCTCTCCACATGCCCTGGCTGCACCCCGGGATGCCACACGTGGAACAGCTCCCCCTGCTGGGCAGGATTTTGCGCAAACGAAAGCAGCTTCCCTTCATATGTTGACATATGAAGGCTGGGTGTGCAAAGCCAGCATGCATGGGGATATTAAGGGAGAGAGTCCTGTGCATTCCTTGCACACTCTTCTACTCTTTACGCCCATGGACGGTCTTTGGACACCCACAGAGAATGTGCCGTTCCACCCGGGAAGCCTGACAGTGGCCTTCGGGAAGGCAGGAGCCTCAAGGAGGGGTCGCGCCCCTTCAGTCGTGGGTTCTCACAGTGGACAGCAGGTCTCCTGAGGGAGGCACAAGCAGCTGATACACAAAGTCTGGAGGGGGAGGCGGGACCAACACAGATCAGACTCTGCCTTTTGCCCAGGAGCCAGCAAAAGCCTCTCGCATCACCAGTTGGGGCTCACACACCGGGGTGGCTCCTTCCAGTACGCCAGCACATCGCTTCTCTGCAGAACACGTGCCAAGCAATCAGTTGGGTGCCACAGGAGGATGGGGAGCACAGCAAGCCTTAAGGGGTGCAGGGAAGGCTTTGACGGCTAAGACAGCAGGAGACTTGAGGTGGGGACTCTGGTGCCCAGCACGAAGGGCCGCCACTTCCTCCTCCTCCTCCTCCTCCTCGTCACCATGACAATTTGCCCAAAGCATCAGCTGCTAGCCTGGTTTCTGGTGCACTTAGCCAATGCAACCCTAAAATTTCAGGTGACCCTGGGCAGGTAATGGGATCCCACCGGACTCTGCACACCAAGTGACAGCTACTTTGCAGTGATCGCTTTCCCCACCTTTCAGCTTTTGTTCCCACTCCCAAAAAGAACCACTCCCCTGCTAATTTGCCAGCTTGCCCGTCTTATCAAGTGCATCTGTTTCCTTTGCCACAACTTCCCTCCAGACTATCAGGCCTGAATCTGCGAAAACATAGTTTTGTCTAGGACTACCAGCTCTGAAATCCCAATATGCTACCTCTTCCTTTCAAACATGCACTCTCTCTCTCTCTCTCAGAGGAGCTATCAGTTGAAGTGTCTGCTTTCATTTTTGTATGAGTTAGACACAAATCCTTTCCTTGGGATGGCTAGGAGGAAAAAACGGTGTGCACCCTAAAACCCACCCCTTGCCCTAGAAGGTGGAAGGGCCTGGGATTGAATCCTTCAACTCAAGGGCTCCGTAATGACATCATTTACAGTCCAATGAATATTTTCCACTGCAATAACGCCAGGGGAATGCAGGTGATCTTTCATTCCAATCCCAGATCATTCTGCTGCTGGGAGGGCCCCTGCAGATTCATGCGTGTACCTGTCACATTCCCAAGTTAAGCCCGCCTAATCTTGCTACATGCACGCTCCTGCTTTCTAAATCTGGTCCAAAGGTACAGCAAGACTGAGCAAGTTCCATCACTTCAAGACCCCCACAAAGCAGATGATGCCAAACCATTCCCTGCACCTCTGAGCTCCCCATTCCTTCCCCAACAACACCTGCCTGCCTTGGTCCCGTGTGTTTGGCACAACTGATCAGTGGCTAGTCCAGTCCTTGGAAATCCTTGTCATTTCACTTGTACCCAGTAGGACCCAGTCACCTTTATTGAACTCCCATGCGGGTGCTGAGAAGACGTCTCCATCAATGCTAAGTATGAACCATGAATGATTTTCCATGTGTAGCCAGCCAGGGAGACACGAAGGGCACTCCTGTTATTAGCCAACTGCTGTCTGTTCTGTGGCCACTACGCATTGGCGGTTCGACAGATTCAGCATCCTCCGATATCACTTCACAATGGATAAGCAACCAAAGGATGCTGAATGATGCTCATCCCTTCTGAAAAATGATACCTGTCGTTCACTCCTTTGGGGTCATTAAAAGGGTCCCTACATCCAACCAAATCTCACCAGCTCTCTTCATGAGTATAATCATCCCTTCATCATTCCAAGGTAATGGGCAGATGGGATTGTTCCATCTCGCTGATGAAGTTTTCTGTCCAAGGTCTTTTCTTCTTTTTGTAATGCTGGTTAAAAAGGGAGAGGCACCAGCTCCATTTGGCACAAAGGGGGTTTAAACTGGCAGCCGTTGGCCATATTCTGCGATTGTAGCCAATGAGATTCAGGGAGACACGGAGGGCTCATGAGCAGCCAGAGGCAACTTCCAGGAGGCTCAGTTCCCCACCCCACCCCACCCCACCCCACCCTCTCAATTTGGCACAGAGGGTCCTTACGAGGGACACACCGGAGAGCAGAAGGAAGGCTGGGCAGGGACGGGGGTTATACATTCAAAAGCCAGTGCTGGGCAGGGCCCCTAAAATGGAGGAGATGCCGCCCTCGTCCCTTGAGGGCCTGTGATTGTTCATACAAAAAATTCCACAGTCCTCCAGCCCCCACCTCTTCTCCAAGTGGGGGCACGTCGGAGGGCAGGAGAGAGCGGGGCTGAGTCCGCAGATTTCCGGCTCCAGTTAGCAACAACGGCCCCATCCCCTGCACGCAAATGCACGCACAAATAAACGCGTTGGTCCGTCCGTCCGCCCGCCCGCCCGCCCGCCCACCCGCCGGCCACAGAACCGGCGGGTGATCTCTTGGCCTTGGCAAGTCAGCTGGGTGACTGGGCAAGGTCCCCAGACATCGAGGCAAGGTGACAGGCTTGTTTAGTGGTTACTTCATCTCTCAGTTCTCAATCCGGCCTGGAGAAGGGGAGGGGGGGAGGAGGAGGAGGAGGAGAAGGAGAAGGAGAAGCTCACTCTGTTTCTGGATGGCTTATTCTCTGCTTGAAAGCCCTTTGAGAGAAGAACCTGAAATGTGCCTTTGCATTTAATTTACAGGCATTAAAAATACAAAGGACATCCACAAGGGAAGGTGATTTAATGCTCTCCTCCCCTTCTGCTGACCTGAGGAAAAAAATCTCTGAACCTGCTGCTTGCCTTTGATGTGGGGGAAGGGGGAAATTCCTTCTTTGATGCTGTGAGAAGGATCTCTATCCAGTGCAAAGGGCAGCTTCTGAAGAGGGATTTTCCTGAAGCCAGGGAGGGAAAGGTCCAATTCATGCGCCCTACGCACTTGCTGGGGTCATTCATCTCACTCAGGTCATGCTTTTTTTAAAAACCCAGAGCATCCCGTGCGACCTCCATTCAACACGCCTTTCCCTCCATCATGAATGGTCTGCAGTAGCAGTGCAAAAGATGGTTGCCAACGGGCGCCAACCATGGGGATGCTCCGGACAAAAAGTCCTATTAAGGGATGCTTGCAAGATGTCAGAGGTTTCATTCCAGTCTTGCCTGGCCTCTAGGGGACTCTAACTCCCACAATTCCAGTGGGCCATGCTGGCTGAGGGTGATGGGAATTGGAGTTAAAAACACCAGATTTTTTTTTGGGGGGGGGGGGGCTTTATTCTGATAAGCCAGAAAGAAACAGCTGGAGGTTTTTGCCATGAAGTTGTGCCATGGAAGCGAAACAGCCCCAGCTGCTTCTCCAAAGCACCACACAGAATTAGCCTACTTTGGTTATCTAGCCATCTCCAACTTTGGTTTCTCCCATTGTATTGGACTACAACTCCCATGCTAGCTAGGGAGTATGGAAGCATCATATTTGGAAGGCCCACTGTGGCAGCCCCACTCCATGGATAATGATTACACCGGCTGGGGATAATCCAGCACTTCCGTGGGGACCCAGGTTGGGGGAGGATGTGGTGGCCGCATTCCCCAAACAAGACGCATCCACACAGAGGCTGCTCACCAGCTGTGGGTCCCAGTTCAGTGTCGCAGGACGGAGAAAGGTGTGGTTCGAGGGCGGGAGAGACGGTGAAGCGGGAGAATCGCAGGGTGTCCACCAGGTCAGCCTCGGCCTTCTTGGCTGCCGACAGCAAGGGAGGGGCCACAGGCACGGGCGAAGGGATGGCGAGGTGGGGCTTGGCTGCGTCGGGGTCGGACACCATGGAGACATAGGACGGATTCTGGGCCATCAGGGGGAAGTCATCGTCCCACTCAAAACTGCCACCTGGTCGGAGAAGGAAGAACCGGGGAGACCGGAAGAAGAGCTAGACTGAGAGCCGGAGCAGCGTGGACGACGGTCGAAGCAACATTCTCCAGCCCAGTTCAGGCCATACTTTCAGGACCACAAGTTCCATTGGCCATGCTGGCTGGGGCTGATGGGGCTTGGTGGCCAACACATCTGGAGAATGCTGCGTAGGGGAAAGCTGGGTTAACCTATCAGTCTGGGGACAGGAAAATCTGTCTCCTGCCTCCACACACAGACTCTTTTAAGGATGCTGACATACATACTTATAAAAACCTACAATATAATAGAAAAGTTACTCCGGATGCAATGGTGCACATAGTTGTGCCAAAATTCTTTTTGCGCTGGCTTTCCTGAGGCACCCACAAGCACATTTGCACAGTTAAAACTCCACAAAAAGAATCTCCACGCAGTCTCCTGGTTCTCCTTCATTCCCTCCACCCCCACATCCCAATGCACCTGCAGCGGGAAGAGATCTTAGGGCTTAAGAGGGAAAATCCCTTCTTCCCACAGTAGCACAATCCGCGGGAAGGGCTTCTCATGGAAACCTGTCTGAAATGAACAAGGAGGAGGCCAACACATGAAATTGGACAGGATGCTTCTAAGCATGTGCAAAATGCTCAGAAACTGGTCTTGTAGACCTGAGGAGGTAGACTCAGGGTCAGCTGGGCTTCCTAGACTCCCTCTTAAATTAGGCAAGCTTAACAGCCAATCCTAATGAGAATCCGCTAATTAATTATGGGCAGGCCCGCAGCTTAGGGACAGAGAACACTCAGAAGGTGCCTGGCCTCTCTGGCCACTAAAGGGTTAGGGATATCCAGAGACCTTGTAGTTGGGCAGGGCTGCCATCCAGATTTCTTGGCCTGCAACTCCCATCATCCCCAGTGAGCACTGGTCACAATGGCAGCTGCAATCCAGCATGAGGCAGCTTCAAGTTAGCACCCCTTCTTTTTCGGTGTAAGCTCGTGATGCTGACCATGCTGCATGTGGCTTTAAAAGGAAATGAGGCAGGTCTGCGGAGGATCGCCTCTGCCAGTGGGTGGCTGCCATGCTTTATCCGCTTCAGCTGATCTGTCTCCTGCAGCCCCATCTGGAGCAAGGAGATCTCGCCTCAGGCTCCGCCGCTGTTTATATCCAGGCCAGGTCACCGTAACGCGCTCTGCACCTTTCAGAAATACCCTCCAACGGGTCAGAAGGTGGCCACGGGGATGCTGGTCAGAGGCAAGCATGCCATACAAATTCTCTAGGAGTTCTAGTAGCTGCCGGCGTCTTTCCAGGCTCAAGGTAATCTGCGAGTCTTACCCTCAAATCCCTGAATGGTTCGAGTACTGATGATCGGACAAACCACCCACATCTGTACAAGTCCTGCTGATGCTTTGAGCTCCATGCTGGAAGCCCTGCTCCCTGGCTCTTCATTAAAATGGGTCAGACAGACAGGTACCAAGAACAGGGCTTTCTGGGCAGTAATCCTAAATCGATGGAATTGACTCCTGCTAGATGGCTGGATGACTCTATCATTACTAAACATATTTTTAAAATTTCAATGTCTGTTTTATTCACTGATGTCCTTAGGCTTGATTTGCAGAGCTTATTTTAACAGATGCATGCATTTTTAATGGTTGAAAAATACATGGTGTGGCCGGGGAGATACAAGAGTTCAAAATGTGCCTGCATGTACTGTTCCCGCTGAAGGAGAGATACACAAATCCCTCCTTTGCACATGGCTCTGGTAGCTCGGAGTATCTAGGCCAGTGATGGAGAACCTGTTAGAAACTGAGTGCACAAACTGCAACCCAAACCCCACTTATTTACCACAAAGATTCAACACTACAATAAAACCTGAAAACTGTGGTTTTAGTTTAGAAAAAACACCTCACAGCCAGTCCAAACACACACACACACACACACACACACACACACACACACACACACATATATATATATATATATATATATATATATATATATATATATATATATAGGCCAGAGGACTGCCCGTACATGCGAAAGCTTGGACAAGTTGCTATTAATGAGTCAGCGGTCGTGAGGTCATCACCTGGTGCCGCTACTCCATTACGAGCAAGCGCGTGGCCCCTGTGTGCACTGTTACCCAATGCTTGGCTGCTGGGGCGATGCTGGGGCGACACGGCTCGCGTGCCACCTGAAGGGATGATTTTGCAAACGCCATCTTGAGTGGCTTTTTCTGCACTGCTCATCCTTTCTTCCCATTCTAAACACATTCCAACCATCAACACCATGCCAATACACCTCGTTTTTCCAACCCAAACCCTGCCTTGGTGCACACCCCTAACCGGAATATAGGGTGAAATTTCTATTGAAAAGAGGACTATGAGGAAAAGGCATTAGCTGAGTAGCTTTTTCTGCACAGCTCAACATTTCTCCCCATTCTAAACACATTCCAACCATCAACCATATCAGCGGACCTCATTTTTCCAACCCTAACCTTACCCTGGTGCACACCCATAACCTTATTTAAATAAAAAATTACAACCTAAAAAATTTCAACCTAATATAGGGCTAACATACCCTTCAAAAGAGGACAATTTTGAAAAGGCCTTCCTTGAGTGGCTTTTTCTGCACAGCTCAAAATTTCTCCCCAATCTAAACACATTCCAACCATCAAAATCATGCCAGGACCCCTCGTTCCTCTAACCCTAACCCTACCCTGGTGCATACCCCTAACCCTAATATAGGGCTAAAGTACCCTTCAAAAGAGGGCGAGTTTGAAAAGGCCTTCCTTGAGTGGCTTTTTCTGCACAGCCCATCCTTTCTTCCCATTCTAAACACATTCCAACCAACAACCATATCAGGGGATCTCGTTTTCCCAACCCTAACCTTACCCTGGTGCACACCCATAACCCTAATATAGGGCTAAAGTTCCATTGAAAAGAGGACAATTTTGAAAAGGCCTTCCTTGAGTAGCTTTTTCTGCACAGCTCAACATTTCTCCTCATTCGAAACACATTCCAGCCATCAACACCATGCCAGGACCCCTCGTTCCTCTAACCCTAACCCTACCCTGGTGCACACCCCTAACCCTACTATAGGGCTAAAGTTCCATTGAAAAGAGGGCGATTTTGAAAAGACCTTCCTTTTGTAGCTTTTTCTGCACAGCTCATCCTTTCTTCCCATTCGAAACTCATTCTAACCATCAAAACCATGCCAGGACACCTCGTTCCTCTAACTCTAACCCTACCCTGGTGCATACCCCTAACCCTAATATAGGGCTAAAATACCCTTCAAAAGAGGGCGATTTTGAAAAGGCCTTCCTTGAGTAGCTTTTTCTGCACAGCTCAAAATTTCTCCCCAATCTAAACTCATTCCAACCATCAAAACCATGCCAGGACCCCTCGTTCCTCTAACCCTAACCCTACGCTGGTGCGCTTTCCTAATTCTAATACAGGGCTGAAATTCCAATAAAAGTGGGCGATTTTGAAAAGGCCTTCCTTGAGTAGCTTTTTCTGCACAGCTCATCCTTACTTCCCATTCTAAACACAATAAAACCTGAAAACTGAGGTTTTAGTTAAGAAAAAAGCACTTCACAGCCAGTCCAAGCAAGTATATATAGCTATAAAACCTTGGCAGCACACTGACCAGCAATGCGAAAGCGCAGACAAGTCGTGTCTAATGAGAGCAACTCTTGCTGTCATCGTCTGGCTCCACTGCTGCTTTTCGAGCCTGTGCATTGCCATTATGTGCCCTATGATCCTATGCTCAGCTGCGGGGGCGATGCTGAGGCGACTAGGTTCGCATGCTGACAGAGAGGGCTCTGTGTGCCCGCTGTGGCACGTGTGCCAGAGGTTCCCCACGTAGACATAATGATGGATGGGGTCTAATAAACTGTAGCTTTATCCAGCTTTATCCAGTTTATGACCACTGTGTGGTCATGCTGAGATTGGACTCCTGCTTAGGTCTTCCCTTGAAGAACAGTTGGGAGCCCCCGCTTGCGTACTAGGCCGCAACTGGAGTGGCTTCTGGTACTTGCTTCTCAGACACATGAGGAGAAACCAGTGCTTCCTTGTTCGCACTGCGTTCGCAGGCACAATTCAAGCCCTGCCCTGGGTTTTTTGAAGGACTGCTTTCCCCCAACTGGACTCTCATAATAGCTACGCCTGTGGAATTCCCTCCCAGAAGACAGCCAGTTGGTGCCCCCTTTCTTAGGAAGGCAGATGGCAAGGACTTGTTGATTCTCTTCTGTTTTTACCTTCAGTGTGGCCCTAAATTTCTAAACTCACCCAAATGTTTTATGCCTCTCAGATATTGCTGTTTAATTATTCAATTCAATCTCCTCCAACCTGGTGCCCTCCAGTTGTATTAGAACTATGTCTCCCATCATTCCTAACAATGGCCATGTTGGCTGGGGCTGATGGGAGTTGAAGTCCACCTTGTGCGGGGGTCGGAATTAAATGTTGCGTTGTACTAGTTTTCCTATCAGAATCTATACTGGGATTTTTAGTTTATTGTATTCTGTGCTCCAAAGGTGCAGTAAGACATGTCCTAAAGTAGAAGGATATAAAAACCCGTTGGGCTTCCCTGCCACTTCACTGCTGAAGCACGAAGCTGCCCTGGATCCATTTTTAATAGTAAGGGAGGATCTGTTCCACCATCTGCCTCTTTGAGGCAGACAACAGAAGTGACAATTTTAGACTCGGAGCTTTCAAGCAGGAATTTTTTAAAAAGAGTTTATATCCTAAAAATAAACTGTTTAGGGATTGTTAAAATATGTACAATCACCTCTTCCTGGCACAACACTTATTCGGTATTTTACAAATTATGATAGCTGAACTGTAATTTTGTTCTGAATTAAATCCAAAATACATATTTAGTCATTCTCTTCATGAGTTGATGTTTAAGAATTTGAAAGAGTCAGAATCACCGGCTTCTGCATGAGTGACTGCACTGGACGGACTTCCTAACGAGGAGGACGCAGGCCTCACTGCCGTCACTCATGCAGAGATGCAAAATGGCGCTTCACAGAAGGGTTGCATCAAAACAGGAAAATCTGAGCTCAGCAGATGTCCCTCCTGCTTCTGATTGGATGACTCAATTTAGCCAAGTTGTAATTCGCACAAGTCACACTAGAACATGCATGGGCTGCTTCTGTGCAAATTTAATAAGCAGGTAAATGCACAAATCGTTGTCTGTCTTAAAGAAGGAGGCCTACAAGCTGGCTCAACTTATACGACACCGAGTCGGCCCCAGCGCGGGGCTACCCAACCAGAATCCAGGAGGCCAGACTATAAAATCCATTCAATTTTCACCCTCATGTCCATATACCCTCACACATCAGGCAGCTAGTTATTCTGTTTCCCTTCATCAGAGAGGGCTTCAGGATCCCCTCACACCTGAGGAAGACTTTAAAAATTAGGGTGGAAATTAAAACATCCCCCAGGAAAGAATGCTTGAAAGGAGGTGAGATCTCTGGCCCCTCCATGCCCTGCTCACAATTCCCACCAAGTTGTGATTATCTCGTGTTGTGAGCTGCCCAGAGGTGGCATACAAATGTTTTAAAGATAGGGCCCACTGCAAGCTTAATGACACATCTTGTTTGGCCCTTCGTCTGTTGCAGCAAAAACAGGGGCACTTTAGAGCACATTCACAGTGAACAAATATATTATGGCATAAAAGATTTGACATAGCAGGCTCTGGCTTACAGAACTAATGTTGTTATCCCTCTCTCTTTTGTCAATCTTTTAGATGGCACAGACTCTACTGTTGTTTAACTGCTCAGTGTATGTGTTCTGGATTCACAAGACCCTGTAGATATTTGATGAGTTGATTGGTCCATCAGAACAGCCTCACAGGGATCTGCATGGGATCCATGGGATCCCTCCTCACGAGTCTGCATGGGAAGCCGCATGGACTGAGGGCACCAGTTCACTGTGCCACCGGGGCTGCTGGGCAGAGGAGGGACCTTCAGGCTATCCCAGCCCTGTGGTTGGAACACCAACCCGCAGTCCTCCTGGTTGGCTGGAGAGGGTCAAATGATGTGGAGGGGCCAATTAGATGCTACGGAGGGGCATGAAGACATGCAAACCTGTGGCCTTCACTCTGTCATTGGAGGAGGCAGCCTGCCGAGAGCCCATGTAGAGTAGCAGTTAAGAACGTGTGACTGAGACGCTGGGTTCTAGTCCCCACTCAGCCATGGAGCCAAATGGGTGACTTTGGTCCAGTCTTGGCCTTTCAGCCCAACTGACCTTATAGGGTTGTTGTGAGGGGTAAGATTAAGAGCAGGACGAGGAGAATTATATTAGCTGCTTTGAGTTCTTTTTTCAAAAAGGTGGGATATAAATCAAATAAATCAATGAATGAATAAACCCCTGGCTTCCAGCTGCCATTTGAGTAGCTCTCTGGCATCCCTTGACTTCCCAGGCCAGGAGGGTTGTGGGCTACAATGGAAGACTCCCCAGAACAGCCTGTTCCTTCCTGATAGCACAAGAACCTAATGCAAGATCTGCACAAGAACCTAATGCAAGATCTGTCGGCTCCAAGTTCAGACATGAAGTGCCTGACACCCATGTCGTAACAATCCACATTACTGAGTTAGAACTCGCTGAAACCAAATACCAGATTTTTAAAATATAATTTCACAGAGATTTGGTTTTCAAAACCCTTTATGGGCCGTTTCATTCTAACCCTTCTCTCTCATTTCCATTATTCACCATAATCTTAGTAAAAAAATAAAACGGCTAAAAGCCACAAAAGCCCTAAAAAAATTAATGTCAGGACCCCAGGCTGCCTTCAGCCAATCCATCTCCAAGGCAGTTCCTTGGTCTTAACAACAACAACAAGACAATAAGATAGCCAGAATAATAATTTGTGACTTTCTAACAATACCTAATCTGGTCACTCACAGATGGAGCTGCAGGATGAAGCGGTAGATAAATTCACTCTAATCCTTGGCCTCAAGGCTCAGAGGCACCCCAGCCTCACATACCCCCAGTGACAGGCAACCCCTGCAGCCCCTCCCAAATGCCAGGATAAGCAAAGATGGCGTGGCTGAAGTGAGCCAGGGCCAGACTAGGCCGGGGCAAGTACCTGCCACTAGGAGTGGGAGGGAGCAGAACGCCTGGCCGGCAGCATCAAGCTCAGGAGCCATTTGGGTGCTGCCTGAGAACCTTGCTCTGCATGTGTGTGTGTGAGCCCCTTTCTTCCAGAACAAAGCTGCCATCAAAGCTGGTTTGTTATTGGTCAGGCACCCCAGGTAAACTCACTGCCATGTGAGGCTTCCCAGGTTTGGGCAATGGGGGGTACACCATTATGAGCCCTGTGGCCCCAGATCCAGACCTTCGCAGTCCTGGGCTCTGCTCAGCATGTGTGCGGTGCTGGGGGAAAGCATCCTGCACTGGGGTCCTCAGGAGCTGGCCTCCAGCACACCTCCCCTTCTCTTGTGTGCCCTGAGCGCAGCGCCCCCAGGAGGACTATCCCAGCTGTGGCACCCACTTGCCGAGGCAGCCATCATCTGATCTCCAAGGGCCAACCCCTGCAAGGCCCTGGCCTAAGCAAGCAGCCACTCCTCAGTCCAAACTGGCGTCACTGGCATGAGAGCTCAGGTAAACGCCTCACACCCTGCTCTCAACCGCTGCCCGGGACTGTGAACCCTGCCCGGCTTTGACCTCACGCCTGCTTCCAGCCTCTCAAGTCCCTCCCAATTCTGCCCTGTCCCCCTTGCCCACCCACCACCTCCATCTCAGTCCTTGACCCCTGCTGGGGCCTGACACTTTGCCTAAGCCAATTAACATGTTTACCATGCAAACTCAGGGCAGGGGCAGGTTGCTTCCTCTCTGTTCCCGCGTTGGCATTCCCAGGCTGGCTGTGATAAGGAATGTTTCTCGTGCCCTCCCTTCTTTTTGCCCCAGTACTCACTGAAGCCATCAGCTGGTGGGAAGGCGTCCAGACCCGGTTCTGCCATTGAGCCTGGAGAGGGGGCATCACCGTCAGGGGCTCCCTGCGAACTCAGCTCATTGGTTGGCGTCTCCTATATACGGCAGAAGACAAGGATGGTGTCGCACCCAGATCTTCCCTTCTGGCTCCTCCCCTTTTGATCTGACCCTGATGTCCTTACTGGCTTGTGCATGTATGGTTAAAATCTGGCTGATGCCTTCCAGGGAGTGAGGCCTGAATCTATTCTTTCCACTGTCTCTTGCTATCACAGAGTATTCACGAATGCCAAATGATCAGCAGGGAAACAGCTACCCATAGAATGTCAGCAAACAGTTTCCGTGAGGGGAAGTGAGAGGGCAGGACGGGTGTGATTCAACCAGGCACAGGAGGCAGCGCGTGGCAGGCAAGGACGTGGGCGCGTAGAATGGGAAAACAGACCGTAAGATACGAGAGAAAGAGAAACCGGAGCCAGGATGGCTGACAGGTAGGGGGCAGAGGCAGCTGGGATGCAAGGACCTGATCCCACAGCAGCCCCATGCACAAAACCTCAGCTCTGGTCCTGCTCGCAGCTCACCTGATCAAAGAGGTAGACGGTGACATCATCAAAGAAGGAGACCATCTTTCGCTTCCGGTCGAGCTCAGCAGCTGCCTCCTCCGCCGAGCGCGGCGACTTGAGGAGACCACGCAAGTTGCGGGCATCATCGCTTTCGCTCACCACAATGGGGACGCCCCTCCCGCCACCTCCAGCCAAGCCTCCATCCTCTTCCTCTTCGGCATCATCTTCATCCTCATCCTCTGCCGCCATAGCAGCCTCTCTCCCTCCCAGCACTGGCCCCTCCCCCAGTGCCGCTCCTTCCCAAAATGGCCCTTTCCTTCCCCCGCCAAGTGGGGGGAACGTCTGCAAGGCCAGAGGCGGCAGTGACAGAGACAGGCGCGACAGCTTGGCTGGAGGTGAGGACCGGGGTCGAAGGCGCAGGTGTGAGCCAAGGGTCGGAGGTCACGGAAGACAGGTGATGGGGAGGTGTGGAGGCAAGGCAGGAGGGGTGGGATGGGGGAGACAGGAAGAGAGTTATTCCAATGAGAGCATCTCCCAGCTCCTGCCCAAGCAGAGCCCTGCACCTTTCCTCTGCAAATACCACTGGGGGAGGCTGGGGGAGAGCGACGGCATGCGCTCCCCAGTCACGCCAGTCCTTCAGGAGACAGTCCTATCCATAGACAGAGAACGACCAACACCTCCCATCATGCCTCAGCCAGCCATGTTGGCAGGGGGAGGCTGGGCGTGCTCCCTTTCCCTCCTGTCTAAACTTGCACCCTCAGGCATCCCCTCCCTCCGAACTCCACAGAGCGAATGCGCACGGCTTCTTTCACAGAAGACATTCTCCAACCCTTCCTTCATTTTGTTGGTCCTCCCCCACAGCTTCTCCGGCTCTCGGTTTTGGTCGCAGGGCAGCCAGAAGTGTAGGCAGCGCTCCACACCATGTGGCGGCCCCTGGGATACCAGCTGGTGTGCCCTGGAAGGAGCCCTGCCATGTGCATCTCCCATCTGGACCAGGGCTCTTTTGATGGCGTGTGCACACAGAGCGAGTGGTTGCAGGCAGGGGACCAGTTCCTCGTCTGCGGCGTGTTGTTCCCCTTTCCCAGAGTGCACTGGGGCTGACCACCTGTCTTCCCCCACTGCTGCCTGAAGTGAAAGACAAGATGGTGGCCCCACTCCACGTGCTGCTGGACTGCCCTTATTTCAATAGTGATGGCGGGAGGGCATCCTCCACTCCACCAGAGGGCAGCAGAGTAGCTTGGCGGGCACTGGGCAGGCTCGAGCTTCCAGCACCTCGCTCCGCCTTGGCCCCTGAGTCGAGTCCCCCACCTCACTCTGTCTAATGGTAAGCCCATCTGTACCCAGACTAGTTCACCTCCCCTCCTTATCACAGCCCCACGGATGGGGCCCTTACCTTTGATATCTTCGCCAGCCTGGTTCACTGGAGCACCAGCCTCCTGCTCCTTTTTGGGCTGCTCAGCTGCCACCTCACCGTCTTCTGGGGCATCTTGCGATTCTACCACGATTGGCACTGCTGCGTTCTGGGGCTCCGTCCAGGCAGGCACCTCCCCTTCTTCCCTGCTCTCTTCCCCTCTCTCTGGCAGCACGAGTTCAGGCTCAGTACATTCCCCTTCGTGCTTCTCCTCCACCTCCTCCTCCGGTTTCTCTTCCACATCCTTTGGCCACTGGGCATCCCCACTGTGGCTTCTCCTGCCCTCCTCCTCCTCATCTGTATCCTGCCCTTCCTCTGGCATTAAGGTCCACAGCCTGAGAACAGCCTGGTCCTTCAAGGGGGCAGCTGGAGGAAGCCCCAACGCTGGCATCCGCTGGCCACCAAGGAGGTTGCGTGTGACGTTCTCCTGCAAGGTGACCAGCAGCTGCTCTTTGCACACCTGGACCACAAAGCCTCCATCCATGGTCGTCTTCTCGGTGGGCTTTTCCTCTCCGTTAACAGCAGGGGCCGTTGCTGGCACCTCCAGAGTCTCCGCCTCGCCATCCGAAAAGTAGGCCGAGTCGCGGTGTGGAGTCGCCGGCCCCAAGCTCCTGCCGACTTCTTCTTCCAGCTCTGCCCCTTCCTCGCTCACTGACAAGGTGAGATCACTGGTGGACTGCGAGATGGGCGTTGCCGGGAGTTTACTGGAATCTTCCTCGGCCTCCAACACTTCCTCTTCCCCCGATGGTGGCGGTGGTGGCTCTTCTTTGAAGATAAACTCAGGTGAGAAGGTGCTCTCCGTTTCATAGCCGCTGTCACCAAACTTTTGTCCCGGAGAGGAGTAGTGAGAGGCCGGGCTGCAGACGTCCGAGGAACTGGTGTTGGAAGGAATGTCCAAGGAATCCACGGAATCCAGGGTTCCCCTCTGCCGGTCGGGGGCCGCTGGGGAGAGGCCGAGGGCCGTGGGGACCGCGGAAAACCCATCCATGGCTTCCGGCAGGATGGCGATGGTCTCCTCGTCATTGCTTTCTGCCAGCGTGGACAGCGGGGGTATTTCGACAGGGACGATCGCGTTGCAGCAGCTGGACGGCATGGCTGGGAAGGGGGACCCGGGGGGGCGGGCACCCGTCCCCCCCCGCTGCTTTGGGTAGTCCTGCAGCTCGTAGGTCTTCACGGCGGCACCCATGAGCGGGTCGTAGAACTCGCCGTGCTCCCCGCCGTCCTCGTCGCAGGGCGTCAGGGGCAGCATCGGGCAGTCGGAGAGGGAGCCGCGCTCCACCTTCAGCGAGGAGTCATCCTCGGTGCCGTAGCTGTCCTGGTGGGGGCGCCGCAGGGGCGGGCCGTGGTTGCTCCAGCCGCTCACCATGTCTCCCCGGGGGACGGCGCACGTGCAGCCGGCCCGGGAGCACAGCGGGCAGGGCAGGGGGTTGCGCCGGCCGCCCCCGATGCTGCTGTCGCCGTCGTCCGTGCCGCTGCCGGAGCTCCGGTCCTCCATCAGGGAAGGCTCCTGCTCCCACGAGGGTGACCCCTGGAACTCGGAGGGGTCACCGGCCAGCGTCTCCCCCGCCCCGCGCTCTTCCATCATCTCCGCATCCCAGCTGCGCTGCTGGTCCTCCAGTTCTCGGTACACCGTGAGCAGGGACTCGGCAAGGAAGGCTTCGCCCCCCGAGGCCGGCGTCTCGGTCAGCGAGGTCTCCTGGATCTCTCCTTCCACGTGGAAAGGGTTGCCGTCGCCCGCGGCCAGGAAGGGGTTGGTGCTGGGCGGCTCCTTGGGCCGGTAGGAGGCGCTGGGGCAGTCCCAGTCGGACGGGAAGAGGGGCTGGGGGGGCGAGCCAGGGCTGGGGGCACAGACGGGCCCGTCGCTGCTGCTGTGGTCCTCCAGGCGGATGTAATACTCGCTGCTGACCGAAGGGCTGCGGGCGCTGATCACGGGCACGACGCTGGGCGTCTCCAGGCTGTGCCCGCGGTGCACGGCCTGCTTGTAGAAGGGGTTGCCGCCGGGCACAGCCAGCCCCCCGTTGGTGGAGGGGTACTCAGGCGGGGCCGAGGCGGGGCCCTTCCACCGCCCCAGGCGGGCCTTCTCCCACATGTACTCGAAGTTCAGCCCCCCGCTGCTCTCCGTCACTGTCAGAATGTCGTCCATGTCTCCACCGTGGAACCCATCCAGGAGCGGATAGGCCGAGATCTCTTCGGACGAGCTGCGGTGGCGTGCCGAGGAAGCGGAGGCGGGCGGTGGCGAGGAGGAGCGCTTGGGCTTCAGGGCGCTCCAACGCCACTCAAAGCTCTCCTCTGCCTGAGCATTGGAGCGCTCGTTCAACAGGTAGCTCACCTGCAAATGTAACTCTTCCATGGTTGGGCGATGGGACGCCGGAAGCCAGCAGGACTGCATCACCTCATACCTGCAGCAGGGCAGGGATGGAGGAAGGATAGAGGAACAGTCGGAAAAACAGGCAGAAATAGGGGGGAAACCAGTCGGGGAGAAATAGCCTGAGAGAACAGCTAAGGGTGCAGAATAGGAACATTAAAAACGCAACTGCCGTCAGAGAAGAACTGCAAAATTAAGAGAAGGTGGGAAAGGCAGTAAGAACATGGCTGATCACTCAAAAGAAAAGGAAGAGATAGAAAAAGAATTGCAAAGCAGAGGGAAGTCAAATAGTATGATCCCAGGAAGAAGGAGGGCAAACAGGAAAGAAGAGAGTGGTTAACTAGAGCAAAGTTGTGAGCCTTGGCAGACAAACAGGAGGATGAGCAGATAGGAAAACTTAGAATAAAGGAGGAATGGCTGTTAACATCAGAAGAATAAAACGGGTGAAGGGGGGAAGAGGAACCTGAGGTGCAAATGATCTGCAGACATAGAACTGTTGTGATGCAACAACGTTATAGCTTCCGTATAGCTGGAAGTGCCTGATCCTTCCTAATCTGGGAAACGAAGCATTCTGGTTAAAATCTGGAGGGGTGACTTGATGTTGTGGGCCGTCCAGAGAGCGTTGGCTATGTGGGGCACACACATGTAATGAATAGCAACAACAGCAGCGAAGGAAGCTGTGTCATCCAGAGCACTGAAATTCAACCATGTGCCTTCATCTTTGTACTGATCTCAGTCAAAATAAGGATGAACAGTTTTAGTGGCTGGAACAAGTGAATATGACTACCATATCTGTGCTGACAATTGCAATGCGTTATTCGGCATCCGGCATTTTTAAATGCAAAAATTGATATAAAAAGGCGGCAGGGGGTTAGAAATCCCACTAGCAGCTTTATGTTGAGACAGACCACTGGGTCTTCTTGCTTGGTGATGCTGATTCTGGCTGGCATCCGCTTTCCAAGATTCAGGCAGGGTTCTTTTTCAGCCCTATCTGGAGATCTTCCAGGGAGGGCCAGAACCTGCGGGGGCTTCTGCGGGCGCTTGAGCCCTGGGCTCCCTTTCAGTAGGCACAGAAAGAATGACGTTCCACACAACTGTGGAAAGCAGAGATGAAATTGGCTTCTTTCTTTCTCAAGTGATCCATAAAGAGGAGCACTGCAGCGGAAAGGGAAAGTACACAAGTTTCAAAACAAGATCTCAAAAAAAAACCCGGGGGGGGTGTGTCCTGAAATCACCAGGTCAGCACTGCAGAGAGCAAGGTGAATTATGCTGATGTGTGCCCTTTTAGATTTTTGCCTAAAGGATTAAATTAACTCCTGTACTTGAATGGAACAACGGAGTACACACCGCTTCAAACAATTCATTCTTTTTTAGTACTAGAAAAAGGATCCTTAAAAAAAACCCAACGCCATGGCTTCCAAAATGTAAAACGGAGCACTGAGGAACCTGGGCAAGAAACAGAGGTGTTGTGCTCCTTGGCACTGGTTTTGTTCAGAGGTGTTATTAAGAGAAGAATAAATATACATAAAAAAAAAAACTAGCTAAAAGAAGGCAAGGACACCAAGACTGGTGTTCTTGCAAAAGGGAAGCAGGCAGGGAAAGAACATTTATATAAGGACTCACTGATTTTAGGGTCCAGTCCTAGGCAGAGTTGCAGGACAACTGGGAATCCCAGCTTTGACTTCCAAACTGAGCTGCCAGATCAGAGCTGGAACACACACCCTCTGCCCTCAGAGCCTGCATGGAAAGCAGCAGGCGGACTCAAAGGCTGGAGGAGTGACCTTGGAGATGGGCTTGTTCCTGTGGGATGGGGAGGGGAGGGGGGACAGGTGCTGCCAGCATAGGCCGTGTGCACCTGCTCTGGGCAAAACACTTAGATGGGCAAAAGTGGCTGTCAGGAGAACTGCAGCCCCCCCCCCCTGTACCTGCCTGTTCCTCCGCCCTTCACAGGAAGCCTGAATTCCTCCAGGCTGGGAAAGTGACAGGCAGGCTCTCGGGACTGTGCCCATGTTGCTGCTCTCCTTTTGACAAGGTATTTTTGTTTAGCAGGTGCTTCCATGGCTAATGGTCTTTAATATTGTCTTAATTTTATTGCCGTGTTGCCTTAATGTGACTTCCAGCTGATTGGAAGACAAAGTTTAATACAAATTTAGACTATGTATTCTCTTAATGGATTTTATGTTTTCAATTGTCCAATTGTTCTACTGTTTTTACTGTTGCGTTATTGTTGATTTATTATTGCTTTATTGTAAGCCACCCAGAGAGCCCTCAGACGATGGGAAGATCTATTAACAGAACAAACAAATTAATTAATTAAGGTCACCTAGGCATAATAATTTGCACAGACCTTTTTGTTTGTTCTTGACCTTTTTCAGATCCAAATTATTGGGGTTTAGAAAAAAACCAAAGGAATACTTTCAAAACCTACAGTCTCCATATACAAAAACATGCCTGTAACTAAAGTGGCATTTTGGAGAGCTCTTGAAGAAAGGGGCTATCTACATTAGTATAAAAAAGATATACATTCTTAGTTTCATTGCCACCACATCCCTCAGAAACTCCTGGAACTGTAGTTTGGTTCTGGGCATTGTGACAGACTTCCAGGGGTCTCAAGGGAATTTGGGAGGAACAGAATATTGCAACCATCTTGTAGTCTGTGCTGTACATGCACCTCTAGAAGACAATTAAAACCATCCAAAAACTAAAAATAAAAACCTAGTTGAATCAGCCACTAGAAAGACACAGCTAGAAGGGGCATGCAAATTAACTTGTAGAAGACTGGCCTAACAAAACACAACTCAAAGTGGGGGTAGCAGAATTAATTCACAAACCAGTGGTGTAAATTGAAGCGATGCAGGAAGAACAGGCAAAGAAAAGGTGAAAAGCCCCACCATGGCCGGAAGACGCACTGACAGAAGAACAATGTGGGAAGAGAGATGGGTGGACAGTCAGAGGAACAGTTGGAGGAACACAGAGAAGGAAGAATGGAAGAACATTAGGAGAAACAGGAATGCTGAATCGAACAACCTTCAAGCCCAGGAAGGCATCCCAGAGCTCTGAGCTCTTCAGGGGATAACAAGAGACCCTGAGGAAGGATGGAGGAATAGCCAAGAGGGGGAAAATACCAGTAGGTGGGGCTCATTCTCTTCAGATGCTGTCCTAGACAACAGAGGTTTGTTGGTGCCTGGAAGAGGTAGTACAGTGAGGGGCCTGGACCGTGGGGCCAAAGTCCAGGACCCCACAGCCGGGGGTGGGGGGTGCACAAAATGAGCACACAGACAGTGGCAGGTGAAGAAGCAATATACCATTTTGTATCATGGTGGTGCTACAATTGAAGTGAGTTTAGGATGCAGATAAGCATCTGCTGAGAGTATTTTCATTGATTGATTGATTGATTGATTGATTGATTGTAACTGGGTTGTCATACATGTTGTTCTGATAATATACCAGGAATTGTGGATGCGGTCTTAAAGCTTGGAACGGTGGCTGCCGTGAGGGAACAGAACGGGTAGCTGTGTGCTTTACCACAGGTGTCGTACACAGGGCTGCCTAAACCGGCATCCCAATCAGACCGTGACGCCCGGGGGCAAAGATCAGCAAGACATACATACCCCTGGCAAGTGGAGGAAGGACTCACCAATAGTCAGAGTAAGGAAGCTTAAGGCGTGGCTTGGCCAGTTTCATCTGCTGTTCCTTGATGACAAAGGTCAGCACCTCCTCGTCGGAGAGGTGCCGGTACGGCTGGGACCCAAATTCAAAAAGCTCCCAGATGGTCACCCCCATAGACCTGGCAGGAAAGCAAAGGAGAGAGAGATCAGGACACAGAGAAAAGGAAGGCTCCAGCCCAGGTCTAGATACTGTTAGCATGTGGGGCAGAGGGGGAATATCTTGCACAGGGCTGGCCCTGATTTTAGGCAGAATTGTTTAGAAGTAGTTTTAAAAGCCTGGGTCAGTGAAAAAGTCTTTGCCTGTTCCCAAAAGGACGTAAGTAGGACACCAGACAAACTTCTCTGAGGAGACAGAGAAGCACCCCTGAGAAGCCAAGATGGCACAACCACAGCCAGGGTGCCACCACGGTGAAGGCTTTGCCAGATTCAAATCTGTATACACCCTGGGCCCCTCCACCCCATACAATCCCTGAGGGCAGAGCCATGTTGAGACAGGAAGAAACCTGCTAACTCTCAGCATAGCCAAACGTAGTGCTTTTTTTCTCATAGAATGCACCGGAGCAGAGTTCCGGCACCATTTTTCCACAGATTTTCCAAGTTTTAAAAGTAACTTTTGAAAATTTGATGTTTGGTCCACGTGGATTTGAATCGCCCCGTTGAGCGTAGCAGGTCGGTGACAAAATCATTAAAACGGTGCATGCGGGCTGCTTGTGTGTCGAATCCGATGCATGCGGACTTCGTCCGCGCTGGTTGTGATGGCGCTGCTCGGCTTGTGGTGCTGCTCGGCTTGTGACTGGTCGTGTGGTCGCGTGCTGAATGCTTACTGCAGGTGGCAACTGTTACGTTTCGTTACACGACTGACGTGTGTGGGTGTGTGTACAGTGATCGACTACTTACGATAGGTAAATAATTTCATGAGTTCCGGCACCTTTTTTCTTACAAAAAAAGCACTGGCCAAACGTGTCTTTTAAAAAAATCTAAACGTGTCCCGCATTGTGCCCTAACCAAAGAGCATCTGTAACTAGGTATGTTGCAGGGGGGAAATGAAAACAATTAGATGGAAAGAAATGTTAATGCTTGCAAGTTAGGAACATTTCAGTTCTAACCCAGTTGGAAGATACAGCTGTGTGAGGGTGCAACTGAGAATGCACACCGATTTCCCCAAATACAGAGGTGTGTGTCTGCGGGGAGGGGGGGAGGGGGTCCTTAGCACTCACCAAACGTTACTCTCCTTGGTTTGGTCCACCACCATGAGGCTTCCGTGCATCTCATCCAACAGCTCCGGGGCAACCCAGCGCAAGGGGATCCAGAGCCGGTCCGGAGTGATGTAGTAGTCTTCCTACGAAAGAGAAATGAGCAATGATGCTAGATAAGAACGGGTCTTGGGCCCTCCGCTGTTTCACAAGAGACAATATGGACCCCTGTTTTCACATCAGTGACTGCCTATGTTACACCTTGCTCTTACCCTGCTGTCAAGCTGCTTATAAGGTGCTCCTTTAAAAGAATGAGGAAATACAATATTTAATAGACCAATATCCTCATAGTGCAGGATCTGCTCCTTGCTCCATCCATCCCTATGCATTATCAATGCCATGGCCTGTTTTATCATTTTTTTCTCCTGTCTTTCTAAATTTCTCATTTTCCCTTCCTTCCTTCCCCTTCCCTCCTTCTTACATTATTTTAATAATTGTAGTTTTAATATTGTATTTTAGAATTTAGAATAGTAAGCCGTCCTGAGCACTTCTGTGGAAGAACGGGATCTAAATGCTTGAGATAAATAAATAAAATTCCAGCTTTTTCTTCCTGCATAGAACCCAAGGCAGCTTACATAATCCTCCTTTCTTTCTCTGTTTTATCCTCACAACAACCTTGTAAGGTAAATTAGCTGAGAATTTGTGATTGGCTCAAAGTCATCCAATGAGCTTTATAGTCAAGGGGGGACTAGATCCCAGGTCTCCCCAGTCCCAGTCCCAGTCCCAATGCTCTAACTGCTACAACCCACTTTACTACAATACCATAATAGTCAACTGAGCAGATGCTACATCATAATTGTAGAGAGTAAGAAGCCAGTGTTGTCAATGGTAAGAAAACTTAACACACATCAGTAATCTGAAGAGAAGGGAACCATGGAAAACACCGACTTATAATTATATAACCTGGGCATCAACTTATATCAGTGCAATGTGGAGGTTGGAGCCCTGGACTGGGACTCGAGCGAGCCGGGTCCTGGTCCCCACTCAGCCATGAAACTCCCCAGGTGGTTCCACCTATCCTACCTCACAGGGTTGCTTTGAGGATAAAATGGAGAGGAGGAGGACCATGTAAGCCACCTGAGACTCTTTGCGGGGAATGGTATGATATATACTTAATGAACAAGCACAGCTGTATAATTAGGAAGCAGCTGGGTTATTGGTAAAAAAATAATCTCAAAAGACTTTTCAGTTGAAGGAAGATGGATGTAACTGCACGACTGCAAGAATCTGACGGAACATGAAGAAGGGACATGGACACCCGTGTGCCCTCGGACAGCTTTCCTGGCACCCACAAATGCCTCTGGGCTCCCTCTTGGGGTTCACAGAAACTCTTAGGAAATTAATACAGGAAAGACAGGGCGTGCAAGTGTGGTGGACCAGAGTGGGAGAGAGGATGAGGCGCAGGACATGAGCTGGGCAGCAGAAGAGCTGGGGAGGGGGAGCAGCTTGCTTGCGGTGAAACGGGGCTCTGTCAGTGCCTGAAACGCTGGGGCTCAGACCCCACCTCCATGTTGAATGCGGCCGTTGCTGCAGGCCCCTTGACTAGCTCCACACGGTCGCCCTCCAGTGGCAGGCCCACGCCGCTCCAGTTGGCAAAGGTGACTCAACACGCCAGCTCGACGTATCGCTACGTGGGCAGTCGACGCCTTCGCACTGCCAAGGCCACCAGCTGCTCTTTCTCCTCCTCTTTGTTCCCACCACTGGCACCACCTGCCTTATTTGTTTACTTAAAACTTTTATATTCCGTCCCTTATGCATATCATCTCAGGATGGCTTACAATCATTAAAATCAAGCACACTAAAACAATCTCTAACAAGAATAAATAACATATAGCAAATAAAAAATTAAAAGTGACAGTACATTAAAATACTAACTTTTAAAATAACGGTTGCATAAAAAGGTTTTGACCTGGTGCCAAAAGGAGTATAAGCTGGGCGCCAGGCAAACCTCTCCAGGGAGCGCATTCCATAATCTGGGCGCCACCACAGAGAAGGCCCTCCTCCAAGGAGACGTCCTTTTTACCTCCTTCGGGGAGGGTTTCCAGAGCAGGGCCTCTCCCACAGATCTTAGGGGGCATGAGGGTGTATAAGGAAGGAGACGTCCACTTAGGTATCCCAGTCCCAAGCCTTCTGGCAGGCAAAGAGCCAGTGAGCAGGTGAGCAGCGGCATCTACCGCTTCTCCTGCTCAGCAGCTCCACCGGCACCTGCCTCTCGCCCTGGCCTGGACCAGGAGGAGAAGCCAGTGGGGTCTCCTGCCGAGGGGCCCCAGGGGACAGGCCAGCTCTTGACGTCAGCCGTGCTTCTGGTACAGCAGCGCCACCCCATACCTTGTAGTTGTTGTGCGACAACCCATAGTCCCCAACCCTCACGGTGAGGTCAGAGGTCAGCAAGCAGTTCCGAAGCGCCAGATCGCTGCAGAAGGGGAAACAACGCCTCAGTTAGCATCACTGAAAGAGGGGAGGGAGCAGGGAAAAGGTTTGTATTACAGACATCTCCGCAAACATAGCCAGGAAGAATGGGCAACTGGTTTCTTTTTGTCATGCATTCTTATATCCATTTTAATCCCACCCTTCCTCCAAGTTTGCTTTTCTCAGATACGCATAGCCAAGCCTTCTTGTCCCCTGAAGAGGAGAAAAGGGGGAGACACCAGGAGGAGCAGCCATGGGTGGGGTGGGGTGGGGCCAATCTACTCTCATCCTAAAGGAGTTGTGCACCCCTCTTTCGAACCACTAGAACCCACCTTCTCCATGAAGACCTTTCGAGTTCTAGATCTTAAAACCCATGGGATTTTTTTGAACAAGAGGTACACATTATCTGCTGGAAGAACTTGAGAATTCCGGGGTCTCCACCCTCCCCCCCGCCCACATGCCTACCTATGGATGTAATTGTTCTTATGCAAATGAAGCACTCCCAGAGTGATCTCGTAGGCCATGCGCTGCAGTGTGCTGAGGTCACGGGTCAGCAGATCGGGAGTCATCCCGTCGGATTTGCGCTGAGCTCGGAGGTAGCGTTTCAGATCTCCCTGGAGGGACACGAGTATAGAAGGGGAGGCAGCTGGAACTAGCGACTGGCATTAGCAAAGCCAGCACAAGGTTTTCTGTCGATTTGGGGAAATTGTCCCAAATTTGGCAGATTTTCTGCATAAAGGAGGAGGAGAAGCTTTCATTTCCTGTTCTTACCTTGTCCAGACTTTTTGCTCTTTCTCTGAATGAGCTGCATGAAAAGGCCACTCCTAGTCTAGAGTGATGTGTGACCTTTGTTGTGCCATCCAAACGGTACCCACTGCTCGGATGGCACAACAATTCACGGCAACCTCTGGCCACTGCAAGCATTTTCAAGATGGCTCGCCTCATGGCAGCCCTGAGCGTTGATTCATCCTCAGTGGCTTGCCATGAGCTGCCAACCGGCCCTCTGGGTGAGACTGGCTCTCCCACCCCGTCCCATTTCGGCTTCTGCTTACTCACCAGCTGGCAAAATTCCATGATAAGCAAGAAGGGGATGGTCTCCGTGCACAGACCGAGGCATTGCAGTATGTTTGGATGCTGGAGGCTTCTTGAGAGCAAGGAAAGAGGCACAGAAACAAGAAGAAAAAGGGAGGTTTGGCACAATCCATCTTACAAAGAGGGGGCTCCTACTACGGTCGGGGTCTCCCTTTCCAACTGATCAGTCAAAGCTTCCCTCAACCACCTGTTGGGCTTCGTGTCACCGGGACTCCCCAAAGCCTCTTTACCAATGGCCAAGTCACCCATCAGCTTGCAGTAAACAGTCCTACTGACCCAACTTCCTTACTCTCCACTCTTTTAAAAAAATGCAAGCAAGAAAACTGTCCCAGCTGAACCGAGACTCCAACAAATGGGAGGGGACAGGAAGTACACAAACTCTAAGAAAAGAAGGAGGAAGCAGAAGACACCTAGAAAGAAACTGTGAAAAATGACCGGACACACAAACACAATTGTGGAACTTAGCTTGCCAGCTGCTTCTTTTCGGTCCCCTCCCACACCCCAACACACACACACACACACTTAAATATAGCTGGACAACTAGCAAGAAATCCTTTTTCTTTTGAGGGCAGTCTCTGAATAGATGTTAGTGCTTCTAGGCAATGCATTCTTCATGCTAGCAATCAAAAGCCATCATGCAGTTTTTCCATCTTTTCTTCTTTAACATTTTTTTGTAAAAGAAAACAATATAGAAAGAGGTGCAGAAAAATAAGGTAGGTTACCAAAGGAAGGTGATCCTGTCTGGAAGGCTCATTCCCAGTAAAATTTTGTGAATGAGACAGGCTTTCCCTCATCAACTCCCCTATCAGGAAGCACTGATGGATATACCCAATCGAAACATGATGCAGGAGATTAAAGCCATCTCTTGTCACTGCTCCAGCCTCTGCTGAAACAGAGGCAGCAGTTTACAGTGGTACCTTGGCTCACGAACTTAATCCGTTCCAGGACTCTGGTTGTGACCCAAACTGGCTGTGAGCCAAGTTAAATTTCCCCATAAGGTCAATCCATTCTGTAACTATTTTGTTTAATCAGAAAGATGTGAAGCAAAGTGACAAAGAACAACAAAGATCACGGCCATCTCCCCCTCACCCACCCCGAGCACGAGGGCGGCCATCTCCCTGCCCCCCCCCAGCATGACTGCGATCACACCCATCAACCCTGCACACACCCGTCACCCCGGCACACTGTGGGGGAGAGGCAGGCGTGAATGTGGGTGTGCTCGGGGGGGGAGATGGGCGCGATCGTGCTGTGGGGGAGATGGCTGAGATTGCACTCGTGCAGGAAGGCGGGATGCGATCACGGGCGCGCTCGCGCAGGAACGACGGGCGTGATCTCGGCCATCTCCCCACTCGGGGTGGGGAGTGAAGGACGTGATCTCGGTCGCCACCCAATGCAGAGTTCGCCGCCTGAGTCAAAATTTTTATGAAATTTTTGTTCGCGACCCGATTTGGTCGTGAACTGAGGCGTTCGTGAGCCGAGGTATCACTGTATACCAGGATCCTGTATCAACAGCGTTTGTATGACTTTTTCCGTTTCATCGGCTCCTTACCGATAAGGCTGGGCCTCTGACAGGAATTTCCTCTGCTCCAGTGGCCCAGCGCTCACCCGTAACTCCTTCACTACCACCTGTGCAGGGGTGAAATCCGAGAATATTTCACCCAGAATGACCTGAAACAGAAAAGAAAAAGGAGCCCATGTGAACATCTGAGGCTGGGATACTGGGACCGACTCTACAAAGCATCGTGCAGCGGTTCTTAAAAAGCAGCACTGGCTGCCAGCTCATTTCTAGGCACAACTGAATGGGATGATGCTCTCCAAGGCCCTAGACAGCTTAGTGGCTCGGCAAGGAAGGGATGAGACACAGGGTGATGAAATGCATGCTCCACTCCCGGGTTTTTCCAGGTAGGATGAGAAAAGAATCCTGCTGGGAGCCCTGCGGACGGGCTGCTGCCAGTCAGTGCTGACGACGCCGAGCAAGAGAAGCCACTGCTCTGGATCAGCAGGAAGGCCATTTCCTCTGGCGTCAGAATATTGGCACGAATGCCTTTTCCTTCTTTAGGGGAAATCTGAAAGTGCGATTTCTTAGCTCCATGTCATTCCTGCCTTTTAATAAACTCAGGAACACCTGGAAAACCTTTTCTCCTGTTATTCCATAAAAGCAGCATTCCTAGAGCATCCTAGGAAGCAGACAGGAAGCCCCAAGCACAGCTTTCTGGGATGTTTCAGGAATGGGGCTCCCATGGTGGAATCGTAAAACCTGCTCCGAGCACGACTCCCCCTTCCCTTTTCCAATAGTTGAAGGCTGCCAGACTAGGCCTCAGGATGGGGCTCTCCTCTTGCACCCAGGTTCTGCACCGTGGACCTTGTGGTCATCCCTTTCTGTGCACACACATATACTCCAACATCAGCTGAAGTTAGGGAGGGGTTGACTAGACACAGAGCCTTCTTGGTGGTGACCCCTTGTCTGTCGAAAGCTGCACCCCACTTCCCCAGGGAGCCTTGCCAGTCACCAGTTCCGACATCACTTTGGTGCCAGCAACACTCTTTCCATTTGCCAGCAGGGTGCCTTCTGCAACCTGGCTCTAGTTTCTGTTTTATCCACTCCACTGAACAAGGTTGTTTGTTTTTCACTGCTGCTATTTGTGATTTTCTGATAGATACTTTTAATGGTTGTTTTCATTTTAGATAAACAAAAAGTAAAACTTAACACGCTATGACAGCTCTCCCATTTTCATGTGCTATGCCCAAGCCCCACCAGTTATGGGATACTGCCTGTATTTGCTGGAACGAGCCTTGGGTCCTATCTTTGAATCACTCGGACAACAACCTCCAAAGAAGTTCTTGCTCACCTTCCCAAACCAGCCATTTCCAATCTCCTGCAGATAACTGAGGTGCTGTCGGCTGAGTCCCAAGTGCTTCACTAAATCTGGAAGAGAGAGACAATGCTCCAACTGAGAACATGATGCGTGGCCCAGGAGCTGAGCATCTTCCGCCATGCCCCAAAGCTACTGAGCAAAGGTATGTTGTGAGATAAGCTAGACAGGTTTAGGAAGCCCCTGCCAGACAAGCATGGTTACACCGCAGCACATTCCCAAAGGACTCTGGGGACTGTGGCCTTTTGAGTATTCAGGGAGCCATTCTTAGCATGCCCTTGACGCCAGAATACCAGGACGCTCTGGGGAAAACCATTACAGCAAGATGGTATGGAACAGTTGTGCCAATGTGCCCTCAGGCATAAGAGTGCGATGGGACGGTCTAAGCTAAAGCAAGAGTGAACTGGAGGCAGGACTCCTGGAAACAAAGCTGAGACAAACAGGGGCTGCTGCATCATCCCACGAACCATGAGAACATTTAATCAACAGCAGATCTGGGGGACCAGGCAGGGGCATTTATTCCAATGTGCACGTGGGCACATTTTGTGCAGTGGTTTTAAAAAAGGGTACAGTGGAAACTAGGCTTTTGTTCAGCCGAGAATACAAACTTTTCTCTTTTTGCGGTTTTCCAATACAAACATTCTCCAAGGTGCTTACACACTGGGGATTTGGCAGGGACAGGATTGCACCAGATTCTTGTACAACTGAGAACAGTGAAGCCTATGGGACATGAACTACCATGAAGGAGGAACAGCAGGGGCAGAAGGAAAGAGCAGAGAAGCGAAAACGCAGACTGGAGGAGGAGGAGGACAGAAGCCTGCTCTGCACATAATGAGAGGCCGCAATGGGAGAATTTCCCAGCAGAGTTTTCTCGTGGTGGCGGCTCTTTTGAATATTTCAGCTGCGGAAGGGCATGCTGTCACTTTTCATTAAGTCTGAACCCAACTAAGGTAGGTCAGCGTGGTGCTTGACTGCTAGCTCGCTTATGGGTTATAAGATGTGAATAACTATTTTAACAAATGATTTTGTGAAGGAAGACAGTCAGTGGAATGTGCATAACTGATAGTATCTCACTTGTTTCTAGGCATTCTGGAGTGACCCAAAATAATACTGAGGTGGCATGTTTGTATTTGCACTGCAGTCCCAAACGAAGGAAAGCAACCTTTCCAAACTGAGTTGGCCAATCATAAAAGGCTTTCCACAGGCCCCTGGGACTTCCTTGTCACTCTGTCCTGGTGGCCGACAAGCCATCCAGAACCTACAGGCTGTTTTAGGGTTGCAGGTGGCTTGGCAATCACCCCAGCATGTCGTGGGAGCTCCCCCACCCACGGCTTCAGTACAGGATCAGGCAGAAGCATTTGCTCCACAGAAAAATTTGCCCATGGTGGCGCTCCATTACGTGCAAAGATCAGTCGCTGGGTCTGCATGATCTCAGAGGAGGAAAAAAGTCACAGCTGACTATTTCTCTCACCTCTTCCCCCAGTGGGATGCCAGTCACATGCCAGGAAGGGTTGCACATAAGCCTTAGTAGTGTGGCTCGGGCAAAATAGACAAAGAGCTCTACAACAAAGATAGCAAAATCCTCAAATGATGCACCCCGAGAGGACTTGCTGGCACGTCATTCTACAATGGAACCGGGTTTGACTAACTGCCAGTGAAAGGGATGCCGGGCTTTCACCATAGAGGCACCCAAGGCTAGAGTGATGCCACTGTATAATCTTGGAGAATTATACAGGGGCTCCAGCCACTCTACCCTTTCACCATCTCTATGAAACAAGGCAGATGGGAAAGGCATTGAAGAGGAAGGCAGTCACTCTCCATCTCACCATCCACACCTCCCCCTCCCAAAGCCCTTACCTGTTTGGGGCATCTGTTGGTTGGAGGATGGGAGTGAGACCTCAGAGAGAGGTAGAATGTAGACATCTGGAATAGACTGAGAGGAAGAGGTCTCCTCTGCTGGCGGCGTGTACTCTCCAGAGTATTCTTCTCCATCAGGGTTCTCAAATTCCTGCCAGGTGGGCAGAGATGAGTATAAGGATAATCAATAAGGAAAAGGTCTGAATAATCTTAAAGAACATTGAGGGCCTTTCCTGATGTTTGACATTGATTGGGCTCAGGCCACATGATAACACACTCAGGAGCTGAGGGTGGGTTGCCCTAAAACCACAGCTTGTTGTCGAAACATGAGTTCTTGAGCTGTCCCTGGAGAACAGCCCATGTTTCTCAGCCAAGCAACAAACCAGGAGAGTTTGTGGTTCACAAGCCATGGCTTCTTAGTGCAGCTGGGTTCAGACAACATGAAAAACCATAGTTCAACCACAACCCATGGTTCAACAGCACACTCAGCCCTTGAGTTGTTGTCCGAACCCACTCATTGTGCCCCTGCGGTAAAGGCTCACTACCCCCAGTGCCGCCTCCCTAACCCATCAGCTTGTCCCGGCATGGTTCCTTCCAGATGTTTTGGACGACAACAGCTATGACGGCAGCTGTAGCCCAAAACCTCGGAAGGGCAACACACGTCAGGAAGGCCGATTTACAGTTTGGCATCTCCTTTCAGTGCACAAGGAAGAATAAAAAAGGTACAGAAAACACACGTTGCCCACCCCCCCCCCCCCCCCGCACAGCCGGGCTCACCTTGAACCCCACATCGCCACGCTTGCAGCACAGACAGGTGAGCAGGAGGAAGACGAAGGCCAGCAAGCCTGAGCAGGAGACCAGGACCACGGCGTAGGGAGGGGCCAGTGAAGCCCGGCCCGGGGACAGACCATCTGGGGGAAGCCAGAGGGGAAACGATGGGACACGCATTTCAAACAGCAAGGGTAACTCGGGAAAAAGAAATCCAAATTAAAAAAGAAGTGGCACGTAACAGAAACACAGCACGTCTCGAGGCAGTTAGCGAAATTTCAAGTTTGCTTCAGTGGGGCTGAGGCACAGCTAATGCTAGTGGAAGGGGAAGGGCAGTCGAGGGGGGAGAAGGGGATGAATCCCTTATTCCAGCCTTCCCCAACCTGGTAGCCTTCATGGCCTTCACGCAACTCCCAGAACGCCCACCCAGCAGGGCCATTGACTGGGAATTCTGGGTGCTGCAGTCCAAACATATCTGGAATGCACAAGGTTGGAGAAAGCAGCCTTACCCCATGATGTAAAAAAGGCTTTTGGGTCCTCAACACACACACACGTCTGTTCAGAACATGAACCCTTCCCCAGCTGTCTGTCATCTGCCCCTCCACAAATCGGCTTTAATCTCAAGCTCCACACTTTTCTATCCCTGTACAAAAAGCCCTCCTTTCATCTGTTGCCATAAACATTTTCCAACATCCCCCCGCAGTGCATAAGATTTTCTGCAGTCTGTCTAACAACAACAAAACAACCACACAAGGTGCAAAGGTAAGCATCCCCGCCCATCCCCACGGCTGCCTGCAGCATGCCCCTCCCCAAAAGTTTACCAAGCTGAGTACTGGCGGCATCTTTACTATCCCAGGATTCTACTGGGCTCTAACATACAGCCAGAGGCATTCTGGATATTATTGATGGCGGTGGCTGCAGCAGCAGCAGCTGTCGTGCTCTCTACTTCTTGTGTAAGGACAAGGACCAACTGATTTATAAAATACACATATTTTTACAGGAGCAATGATTTAGTCTTGGTGAACCCATTAAAGTTCATATGCCCCAGCATTTGCACCATTATGGACTCATGGCAGGCTGGACACTTTGCATGTATCCACTTTTTATTCTTTTAATTCTCCCACACAATGCCTCATGCCACTTGTCCTGGCCTGGCAGCAGTCCATCTACCAAGTGCCTCATACACAGGGCTTCACCTTGGACACATGTAGGCGAGGTTTTTCTTCAGATTTTACTAAACAGTGCACATCCACTCTATAAAAATATGTTTTCTAACTCTTTCTCAGTTGGGACTTCCCTCCGCAAAGGATCCTGGGAATTGTAGTTTCAGAGGCAGCTAAGACTTCCAGCCATACCGTCCCACAAACTACAATCCCAAGGTTCTGTAGAAAGAAGCACAGACTATTAAACTGGTTTAGAGAGGTAGTTCTGCTGACCAGGTGCGCAATTTTACAGCAGAGGCTTCTGTTGGAAGGGCCACCTTGAAGTGCCCCATCGATGCTTAGCACCTGAATGACAGATGGAAGAGGCATGCAAGTCACCATTTTCCACCTAAGGTGAGATTTATGGCCTTTCTAAATTGTTGTCATTATTTCTGAACTGGCATCTTTAGCTATGGATTAGAACATGAGCATTTTGTGCTAAGCAGTGTCCTCTTTTTACTATTTATTTATTTCTTAACCTACATCCCCCCGCCGTTTTTCCTTTTGCAAGAAACCCAAGGTAGCTTAAATAATCCTCTTTGTTTCCTTTTTATTCTCAGAAAATTGTGTAAGGTAGGTTAGACTGAGTATCTAAAGTCTGGCCTAAAGTCAATTGAGCTTCAAATGAGGGACTAGAACCTTAATCTCTCAAATCCCAGTCAAATACTCCAACCACTATGCCACACTGGCTTGGGTGTTTCCTCTTTTAAAGCAACGTGTAAGGGACAACTCTAGTCTGATACACCCTGATCTTCAAACTGTGCACAGACCTGCTTTTCTGGAGGCCAGGCACAATGCTGATTCCATTAAGGATGATTACAGTAGAACTCCATTACAGAGGAAATCCACCAGGTTTTCTCAGGAACAAAATCTGAGAAGGGGCCTGTTGCAGACTGCAAGAGGAGTTGTTGGTACCCCTTTTTGCTGCACATACTGAAGCCCATCACACAATTCGGAGCAGCAGGCCTGCAGAAGCGGTTGGGTGGGGAAAATCCTCATTTCTCTATAGAAAAGAAGGCATCCGGGCCCAAGAGTCCCAACACAAAGACTCCTTAGCACCAAACCGGAGGCTGCCTCCCCCTTCTGTGACATCAGAGCAAACAAGCCAGTGGCAGCTAGAGAACAACACCAGTGCCATGCTTTATAGATACAAAGGAAGATGCAAGAGAGGGGAAAAGAAACTGGGAAGATTGTGCATGAGACAGAGCAGGCTGGGACGGCAAGATGGGTAGAGAGAGAAAGATGGTTTTGATTTTAAATGAGGGGAAGACTTCCCAGTTGTTAAAACAGCTGGGATAACAAGGTCCTTCAGGCTCCAGAAATGGAACAAGAGTCATTAGGTGTCCCGTGAAGCATTCGCATGAATTCGTCTAATCTGGGAGTGGCGTGGGCTTCTCACCGAACGGTGCTTCAGAATTCACTGTGGGAAGCTAAGATTGGTGCACGACAGAAAACAAGAGCTCTGCAGGACCAGATGAAAAGTCGCTCCAGCAGTCTAGCAACACCCGCTTTTGCATGGTAGCCAGCCGCTTGCTGCTGGAAAACGCAAGGCAATGCTCCCCAGTTCTGATCTCACATACATGCACACAGACCCTGTGAGGAGGTTTTCATTGGCCCCATTTCACAGACGAGTCGCTGAGCCTGCCTTGACCAAAGTTGCCCAGAAAGTTCACAGTGGACTTGTGGGTTGAGCTGTTTGCACAGCCATCTCCAATGCCGTGTCATAAGAGGAGCCCCGGCGCACCAGTCCAGGGGTCTGTCTAGTCCAGCATGCTGTTCACACACCACCAACCAGCTGCCCACAGCCAACCAGCTTTCCAGTAGACACAGTCCTGTGGCTTGTTCTCACCCTGTTGGCCATCTGCCTCTGCACCTGATCATCCATTCCTCCCACATACACACCTTCCTCTGCCTTTCAGCCTGTTTTTACAACCACCATCCATCCATCCATCCTTCTCCCCTCCCCATCGTAAATACCTCCACCATCTTCTCCATCCCAGACCAGCTGGCTCCTCCAGCGGCGGATCGCTCCTCACACACGCGCACGATGCTCCCCACAGCACGCAGGTCCATTTGCCAGCAGGACAGCCAGAGCGACTCGCCCCACTCTCCCCAGATGGCCGTCGGATCCAAGGCAGCTTCACACTAAATGCTGTGGATGCCACAGACCTCCCCAGCCTGGCCCTCACGCCCACCCCAAACGTTCATGAGCCTCATTGCCTTTTCAGCCAGGTATTAAGGCCAGATCTTTGTTATTATCAAGGACTGCCCCACCACAATGAGTGAAAACATCTCTCCTTCAACCACAACAACTTCTGTTCTTGTTGCTGGGGCTTCTTCATTTGCCCTGTTCTCACCAGCACCCAGGGGAGGTTGGGGTGAGGGGAGGCAGGAGAGAACCGCCACCAACAAATGCCAATACTGGCTAACATGTCTGATGAAACCCAGGGATGATTAATTTCCTCTGTGCAGGAATCCCTGCCTTCCCCCGAGAATGGAATTTATAGCCCAGACACCATCACCAATCTCCCTTCTGGGAAGAAACCCCACATCTGTTGCCGTACCCACTTTTGCACCCAAGGGGATGTCAGGTTTGGGCAGGCAACCAGCACACAAACAGGTGGTCACAGTCGGTGGAGTGGGAAAGAAACCAGAGAGAGGGTCTGTCACCGGTGGACAGGAGCTCGCGCGACCCTGCCAAGACTCACCATTTTCCGAAGGCGCTGCCAGTGCTTTCTCGGGGTTGAAATACGACATGGACACAGCCAGGAGGAGGAAGGGGCCTTGTCTTAGCATCTTAGGGGGGAGTCGGGAATCATGGATCAGGAAGGAGGGGAGGGAGGCGGGGAGAGGTCTCAAGATGCAGGTGTGGTTATGTGTGTGTTGGGGTGGGGGGGCAGAAATCAGTCACCCAGCAAAGCAAAGCAAAGGAGAAGCACGGTAGACATCAGTCATCAGAGATGATGGAATGAAGCAGAAGACGCCAGGAACAATGGTACCCAACCGATTGCATCGCCCGCATCCTTAAGACGATGTGCGACTGCTTGGCTAGCTGCTACCTGGAGCTCATTCCCAGACATCTTCTCTCATTGCCCAAGGAATGCGAGAGGATGAAACATAAAAGAAGAAAGCAGAGAGAGGCAAAGGATATTAAAGGTGCTGAGGCGAACTGGAGACAAGGATGCAGTGTGTGTGTGTGTGTGTGTGTGCAAGCGTGTGTGTGAAGGGGGAGAAATTGTAACAATAGGTGATCTCACATGGGGAAGGGAAAGGAAGGAAGCAGATGTATGGGGAAAGGGGAGGGGTGGGGAAGAAGTGAAGGAGAGAACCTAGAAATCCAATTGAAAAAGGAAGGAAGGAAGGAAGGAAGGAAAGAAAGAAAAAAAAAGAGGGGAAGAGAGAAATGAGGGGGAAAGGAGGTTGGGTGGTTCCCCCCCACCACCAGATCCTTGCTCTCTGGGTAGCAGAGAAACTGATGGAGATAAGAGCCCTCCCATCCAACCCAGGTTGTTGATTGGGCAATGGACATGTCACTTAGGCTAAAGGGAGGAGGATGCAGGAATAGATGAAGGGGGGTGTTGTCACCATGGAGACCTGCTCCTGGGTAGCAGCAGCAGCAGCAGCAGCAGCAGCAGGGAGTGCATAAGCAAGAAGGTGAAGACCAGGAAAGGATGGAGAAATCAAAAGAGGGTTCAAGACAGAGAGAAACACTGCAAAGAGGAGACTGGACATTCTGTACAAGAGTGGGGTGAAACGCTGCACTTGGGGCGCTTCCAGACAGATGGCTCCTGAGCCCCCTTTCCAAACACATTGTGCAGCTATTTCGCCTTTCCCTCCTGAACTGTTTTTGTTTTTGCTTTTTTCTGGTCAGTAAAAAGAGAGAACCACTGGTGAGAAAACATGAGAAGCTGACAAATGGTGGTCTGTGAAGGCTGAACCCGGGTAAACGTCTGCAAATGAGGCAGAGTAATTGTGGGATGAAAGTCTGGTTGAAAAACACCCCTGTTTCAAAGGACACAGACACATATGCATAAAAGAGTTTCTCTCTCACATGCATAATGCTTCACGCTGGCAGAAATAGTCTCATGTGTGGTTTTATCTCTTTCCATATTTTATTTGCACAATTTGCATTCTGCTTTTTAACTGCAACACAGTAGACAATACTGATTGAATGATTAAACGTAATGTCACTTGGAACAACAATGAATTGAAAACTAAAATCAGTAACTGGGAAAGAACTGAAAAGGAAAGGAAAACAGCAGAAATTACAGCAGAATGTTTGCCGCTATGTTTGCCGCTTTTTGAAGCTATAGTTTTGATAGCTTCAAAACTATCAGGCAAAATAAATCAGAAAGAGCACAATGAAAGAAATAGGTCTTGACTGCTCACTGAAAGGAAGAGAGGGGCATGAAAACATGACATCAGAGGAAGCAGGAGGGGTATGCTATGGCCTAGGAGCCACCACTGAGAAGGCCCTGCTTTTGAACCCTTCACGAAAAAAAAAATCACTTCTACAGGGTCACCCAGACATTTTGTCTTATGCACATCAGAATGAGTGGCCCTCCCCAGCCTGGTGTTCCTCAGACACGCTGTGTTACAACTCTCGAAATTCCCAGCAAAAACAGACAATGGGAACGGCAGATCAACACTTCTGGTGTGGCATCAGGTTGCACACAGCAGATGTGGAGCAGAGGTAAGAGGTGTTCCGACAACCCAGCCATGTACCCTCAGAGTGCAGATACTGTGCGTGTCTCTTCAGACAACCCATGCATGGGCAGGTGCACTGGGATGGAGCCCACCAAGCATGCGCTGATGATGATGCAACCTGGAGCACACACTCAGTCCTCTAGAGAAAAGGGCACCACACACGTACCGCAGCAATTTATGCTCACAGGTTCTTCCATGAGCCCCCCAACCAATCCACAAGAATCCTGGTTCCAGGAACCGGGGTAGCTGATACATCAGTGTGAAAGGGCAGAGCTGGTGGGCACCTTACATTCACTGGACCCAGGTGGGGTGCATCCCCTTTGATGCCAACCATGAAGGAGCAGCTTCTAGGAGGTGCTCCCAGGAGGTGCTTCTCCACTGGGCTGGGGCTGGCAGGTGAGATCCTGTGCCTGCCCGCCTGCCTGCCAAAAGGCATTGTTGGCGTTGTCTGAAGACCCCTTCATCCTGATCCACTTTCTGGTCCATGTGAGTCAGTGCACTTGGGTGACAGAGGCTGCATAAACATTCCATCATGAAAACATTTGCGGCGATTGATCAATGCACGCCATTGTCAGTGAAATACTTTGACAGAGCACATCAAAACTCACTCAGGCTGCAATTACATGTCATACTTAAAACACGTTTGAAGCAGAATTAACTGCCTTGGCTTCCCTCCACAAACTGCAAGCATTAAGTGTGCTGATAATGCTGAGAATTTGCTCACTGGCATCCCTAGCCACCTCACGGGACTACAGTACCCAGAGTTCCTTGGGGAAAGCCATGACAAGTCGGTTTAAAGGCCCACTCACTGGCGACTGCAAATACACATCCTTTCTTTTCTGCAAGAAGTGAATCGGAATGCTTGTACTCATTTGCACATAATGAGGTCTGAGCAACAAACCTTGGATTGCAGCGCTGTCAGATGCAAAATTAGGACAGAAAGATTTGTGCTCAGACCTTTGCTTATCCGTGAAGCTGGATTATAGAAATGGGGTGAGCCAGTGGACAAGAAACCGGGGGTCCAGAACCCTCCAATTCTCTCTGGTCCCCATGTCAAATAGGGAACTGGAGCCACAGATAACAGGAATCCTTTGGAGACTGAGAGAAGTGCAGCTTGAAGGACAGAAGTGGGACAACGCTTCGAGTTACGAATGCACAAAAAGACTTTATTTTCTCAGCTTAAAAAAAAAATCCCCAGTAAATTAGCAGCTTCATTTCTCCAACATTTTCTTTTCCTTGCCACTTTATTGCTTACCAAATGAAAGTGTCTAATAAAAAGGGGTGATTTAAAGGCTTTTGGCCACCCCAAGCCAGGAGCAATGATCTGCATCCTAGAACTCAACACCAGAGAAAGGGGGCAGAGACAAGAAACAACTTACTTTCCAAGTAAATTCAGCCTCTCACTGTCAGAAATGCACTGAGGAGGAGACAGATCTGGATCTCCAAGCACCATTCCCAGATCCAGCTGGCTCTCTATTACAACAGAGATCTGGCCTGATTTATGACATCTCCTACCATGAGTCAGTCGGAGCGAACAGGAGCAGCGGGGAGGGGGTCTCGTTATGTGAGGCCAGGTATCAGAATTGTTCTTCATCCTAGAACTGGTGCTTTTTTTATTTTGATCAGAAATTCAGGTAATAGGTCCGGAGTTTAATTTAATGGTAGGCACCAGCCCTGCGACATTTTAGTTCATTGAGAAAATTCCCTCTGAGCGTGTGGTGGTTGCTATGTACTATCAAGTCATCTCCAACTTATGGTGACTCTGTGGATGAATGAGCCCCAACATGTTCTGCCCTTCACAGCCTTGCTCTGATGGAACTAATCTGATGGAACTAATCCATCCTGTAGTTAGTCTTCCTCTTGTTCAGCCTTCGCCTTTTCCTGATCGTCTTCTCCAGTGAGTTTTGCCTTTTCATGATCTGTCCGATGTATGACAGCTTCATTTGCATCATTTAGCTTCCAAGGAAAGTTCTGGCTTCATTTACTCTGGGACTCACTTGTTCAACTTTCTGTCCATCCAGGGAATTTGCAAAGCTCTCCTCCAGTACCATATTTTGAATGCATCATTTTTCTTCTTGTCAGCTTTCCTCACTGTCCAGCTTTCACAGCTGTACATAGTGACTGGGAATACAGTAATGTAGATGATCTTGGCCTTGGTTTGCAGCAAAGTGTCCTCACATCCGATGATCTTTGCTAATACTTTCATTGCTGCCCTTCCAAGTTTCAGTCTTCTAATTTCCTGGCTGCAGCTTCCCTTTGAATTGAGGATTGAGCCAAAGTATGCAAAATCTTTCACAATTTCAGTTTCTTCATGGTTGATCTTAAAGTTGTATAATTCTCCTATAGTCATGATTTTTGTGCTTTCAATGTGCTTCTGCACTTCATCAGGAGTTGTTCAAATTCACTGCTGCTTTCTGCCAGTAATATGGTACTGTTGCATATCTTAAATTATGGATGTATCTTCCACCAATTTTCACTCCTTCCTCTGATCCTAATCCAGCTTTCCTTATGATATGTTCTGTGTACAGATTGGACAGATAGGGAGATAAAATACATCGTTGTCTGACACCTTTGCTTATGGGAAACCATTCTCCAAAATTCTGTTTCTCCATACTCTGCCCTGATGTAGCTTCTTGTCTGTGATATGGGACAATCAAGTCCAGAGGCACACGCATTTCTTCCATCGCTTATCATGATCTACATAGTCAAAGGCTTTGTTTAGTCTAGAGAGCACAGACTGAGCATGTGCTAAGTATATTTTCTTTACTGCAAAACAACAGTTCACTTCTTGATCTGGAATTCTGCTAGAGCTTCCATATCCATGTCTTCTTTCCTTTTCTTTTTAAATAGATTAAAGTCCACTGGTATGCACAGCTGTTTTGAACTACGTCCCTAAACATAAAGCTTCATTTGATTTAATGTGCATGCAAAATTTTGCAAAGCTACGTGTTCTTTTATCCTCTTTTCCAATTTTTGGTTTATACTCTGGATTTGGATTCATATCACTGGCCATATTTAGTAGCATCTATCCCAAATGTATTTTCAAAGTTTGTTTTTCATTGTAATATTCCAAAATCCACTAAGAATGA